AGCCTCGGTAGGAATCCGAAGGTTACGAAAGGTGTCTGCCCACCATGGAGGGGCCCCCAAAGAGACATCATGATCTACCTATGGGTTTGTGGTAACCATTCTCTCGTTTCATTACCAATACAGACTTCACAATCTCCATATAGCTCGTCCATTCTCCGATCGCCTGGCCCTTTGAATGTAACTGACACGTCTGATTATTTCCTGCCCAACCTCAAGCTGATGATCGAATCGCGACACTTCTCAAAGAAGCTCCCGCAAGTCTGTGTCGCGCCTAATGGCGGTACCTGACGTTTCATGCCAGTACACGTCCTGGGCGTGCGCTCAGACTTTGCATGAATTAGGCCCATGTGTAGCCGAAAACCTTGTTTGCTCCTCGCTAAATCTAAACGGGGATCAACTATCACGCGCCCTCAAAGTCAAATACAGTACGTCCGTCTTCACTGCAGGTATGGATGAGAGGAGTGATGGTTTGCCCCGTCCCGCATCGAATGGCACCATATGGCATATGCTAGACGAAAAGCCGTTGTTTGCGTTTCAGTTCGTACGATTTCTGATTTTTGTCACATTTTCTAAAGTGCCATCCGGTCCACGGGATTGACGGTAGGTAAGTTCACCCGGAAGCCCCCATACCCTACGGAGTGTCTTGGTTACATGTGAGGGCCGTCTAGTTCCCTCGAGGCTGGTCGACGAGGATGTCCTCCAGCCAGCCAGCCTGGAAAGCATGTTTTGGGTAGAATAAGTCGGCGGGGCATAGCCAGTGGCCCCCTTTGCGCCATCGCGGGAGCTTACCGTCGCCTCGGTAGTGACCCGTCCGGAAGAGTCAAGGGTCAAGGAAATTATATTGGAGATTATCGTCGAAACTTACTGCGTAGACCAAAACTGGTGTTTGGTAGTTAGTATGTATTTTTACGACGTTGGTCCCAATTGAAGCCTCGGAGGATGCGCGTCCGTACCTAACTCGGTTAACCCGCTGCCCTCATTCTACGGATAATGGACGTTGAGCGGCGCGGAACCCCACGAACTAACACAAAAAGGTTCTGGCTGGGTCGATCCATTCAGTTATTACTCACCGTGTCAGTGGTAGTCGGAGATTTGATAACGAGTAAGTTCAGCGTGGTACCGTCTCATTGTTCTTCAATGTTCATGGATCTTTTTTTGGATATTCCCAGCATGTTGAACCTTATTGATATTGATCAAGGGCCTTTTGACACGCCAACTCTTTCCTCTTCGGCAGCTCGTACCGAGGCAAGTTGCCTCTCAGAGCGACTTTGCAACTAATGTCAATATGGCTATCCAACTGGCATCTATGATAGATTGAAGCACAGGGGCTGCAGCCGCGAACATATTATGCAGCAGGGTCCTCGCTGCATCCTTCACGGGCTTGCCCGGTGACATATTTCCACAAGAGGGGCAAACCCCCGAGTCACACATGACATTGAGACATTGAAGCATCGAATCAAAGAAGCCTCTATACCGGTCTCAAAGACGACTGATTAGACAATCGCTCTAGATTTACAAAGATCAGAGAAACCAGGGCCATCAGACAGGTGGTGGCTGGAAAAATCAAGGGACGCCCTACATAGTACGCGTTCGGGGACCTCGGCGAAGCTCAAAGAACTTGTTCAAAGCTTAATACTAGGACGCATGCGGACGGAGTCTACTCCGTCATCAAGCCTTCTGCGGGCGCGCTGACGACGGGAAGAACTGAAAGCGGTCAAGCCATGTCCCATGGTCCACGGTCCATGGGTACAATCAGCCTCCCTAGGCAAACAAGCAGGTGCTGCGGTCTGCCACCGGATTTTGCGCGCTTCATCTCGCACTTTGTCTGGGCGGCTCTCGCACTTTACATCTCGAGTCAGGAAGAGCGGGGCCTGTGGGATAGCTCGCTCGGCCTCGGATCTCTCGTCAGCGCCGAGACCGAGGGATCCTGACCATCGACCTAGAGTCCATCACCCACCTCGACTGAAGGAAGAGCCGTTTGTTGTTCAGCCCCCAGCAAGTTTGCGGCGAGTCGAATAATATTTGTGCAAGCCAAGACAAATTACCAACGGAACTGTTGAATCCAACCTTGTGTGGCGTCGCATCGCATCGGGATCTGGTGTCACCCGGATTCTCCATACCGGCCCCATGGGACCGGATCCAACATCTGCCTCCGGAGCTGCCCGGACCTCACCTACACAAGCACCCGACACGCCGCAGCCGGGCCAATCCCAGCCCCCGGCGGCCCCCGAGGATGAGAGCGTGAGCAACAGCAGCAGCAGCGTGACCCGCCTCGGCATCGGGAGCAGCAACGGTGGCCGGAAAATCGAGCGCTCCTGTCAGCTGTGCCACCGCCGCAAGATTCGCTGCGACAAGAAGCAACCTTGCGCCTCGTGTGCCCGTGGCGGCTTCCAATGTCACTATCCACAGGCGGGCCAGCCGATACGCCGTGTCCGAAAGACCACCATCGCCGACGTTGCCAGCCGGATATCGGACCTGGAGAAGACGCTTGTGGCCGGGGCGGCGAGCCAGCAACAGCAGCAGCTTCCGGCTCTCCGGGCTTCGCCATCGGCCTCCACGCCGGGGACGGCTTTTGGTTTGGGGTTGAAACCAAATCATTTTAATCCATCAGCATCCAGGCCAACGACAGCGTCAGCTTCGGTTCCGCACGAGAAGAGTGTCAACGATGAGATTCTTCTACGGAAGGGATCGTCAAGTCAATACTTTGACGATGTCCTGATATCTCGGGTCATTGAGGAGGTAAGTGATTCTTTCATCCACTCGGTGCATGTGATAGTCGGCTGATAACTCATCAAAAGGAACATGACATTCAATCAGTCCTCACCACACCACAGAGTAGTGAGTCGGCAGCTACAGCGGAGCTATCGCCCTTTAATCCCATGGGCATTCTCTCAGCACCAGATCTCAAACTAGATCTTGCTGAACTCCTTCCTTCAAAGTACGGCGCCATAGAACTGTGGAGGAACTATGTCGACAATATCGAAATTTGCAACAAGATACTCCACCGGCCGACAGCAGAAGTACTCGTCTACACGGCCATCGATGATCCTCGAAACGCGACCGCGGAAGCACTAGCGGTCATGTTTGCCATTTTCTTTGTCTCAACAGTTGTTCTGGAGCCCAACTCGGTCCAAAGCTTCACGGGCGAGGACAAGGTGACGAGCCTCCATCGCTTCAAAACAGGTCTCGAGCAAGCTTTTGCCAAGGCCGACTTTCTCGAACATCCTTCGGTGAAACTACTCGAAGCCATGTCTGTTTACTTGGTATGTATACCTTCACTTGGACCATTCTTTCTTGTGCTGATACTAGGCGCAGGCGGCTCTCAGGATACACAACCCCGGCCGAGGCTTGTGGACGTTGAACGGACTGGCCATCCGAGCAGCCCAATCGATCGGTCTACACCGAGACGGGACTAAGCTCGGCCTCTCACCCTTTGAGTCCGAGATTCGCAGACGTATTTGGTGGCATCTCGTCGCTCGCGACGGTCGAGCAGCGGAGGACTACGGCTTCTCAAATATTTCAAGCTTCAACCCACAAATAAGCGTGAGCTACCCGTCAAATTTGGACGACGGAGACCTGTATCCCGAGATGAAGGAGCTCCCGCACTCTCGCACCGGCTGGACGACGTTGACGCTGGCACTAATCAACATCCAAGTCACTCGCACATGGCACCGTCTAGCGGCCATGGCCTCGTCGTGGGCTGAGAACCCAACACCGGAATCTGTCCGCGCCCAGATCGTCCAAGAACTTCATGAGTATGCAGAAGGCTTCCTTCGGCATTGCAATCCCGTCATTCCCCAACAACGCCAGACCCTCCTCGTTGCGCGGTTCATCATTCGCAAGGTCGACATGGTCACGCGCCAGCAGTGGCTCAACCTCCAGCATCCAGAGGCGCGCGACTCGTTTGCAACGGAGGAGAATCTCCTCCAGGCGCTCGGTATCCTCGAGGACGGCATGAGCTTGGCGTCGGACGAGCTGCTGCGACAGTACCGGTGGTCTATGCAGGCGTATCCTCAGTATCATATGCTTCTTTACGTCCTGTGGCACTTGTGCGTGAAGCCGGAGGGACCGAGTGTCGAAAGGGCATGGAAGGCTGTGGACGATAGCTTCATCCTTCTGAAGAGCGTCAACGCCGGTTTCGGGCCCGCGGCGAAGATGACGGTTCTAGAAACATTGAGAGCCAAGGCAACGGCGATACGACAGGGTCTTGACCAGCAGAACGGCGGTGGCGCCGTCATCGTCGGCGGAGCGACTGCCCACGGTAGCGCCGAGAAAGAGTCGTACCCTACGCCGGGTGGAACTGATGATAGATCAGAAGCGGAGGGCATGGTGGATAGTGGACTGGATAGCATGGCCGCTGCCGATGGGATGGACTGGGCTGGCATGATGCAGGATTTCCCCGACTGGACCACACTGATGAACGAGTTCCAGGTGGATGGTTTGGACTTCCCAAACTATTTGAACTGATTTTGTACGTGCGCGGAGTTTTGGACAGGCAGATACCAATCCCAATCAACCATGGACATTGCGTCTACAGCCTCGCTGGCTTTGGCTTGCTAGAGAGCTTCGCATGAATACTGGAAGCAGTGATGTTGCGGACGTCCCTGGTCTCGATATCGACCACCGCTTCGCCACCTTGCACGCACATATTCCGACTCCAGTCCCCTTGGCCGTCAGTCAAGGGCGTCTGCTTCTCTTCCGCGCGTTCTCGAGCCCTGCCCTGCGCCTCTGCGCGACACCTTCGGGCCCGCGCAAGCCTGCGCACGCCATCTGGTGAGCTTCAATAGCTGACAAAAAGCGATCAAATTTCAACCAGCGTCGATGGTTTAGTGGTAAAATTCTCCGTTGCCATTCAGCAGCGTCGGGGAGCCGGGGGTTCGATTCCCCCTCGACGCAAAGATTTTGCCTAATTTCACATTAATCTTTTGCTGCTTGATATCAGACCATCTTATCCTTTCTCTCGGAATTGCTCTTCTTATTTCCTATGCAAGACGTCTGTAGCCCCTCTGAGAATCGCACAACCATTGTTCCTTGCACAACCGGCCTGTAGGTAAATTCAATAGGAACGTGCAAATGACAATTGGGGCTGGGTGGGGACTTTTTACACTTTCCTCAACGGCCAATGTGCGCATGTTGGCTGCATTCCGCGCCGCTCGGCTGCCTGATCTTCATTCTTGTTGATATCTAGCTAAGGGGAGGTGTTGAGCACATGCCTCATTGATGATCTATATTCCCGGTCACTTTCGAAGCCTAGACTGTCCTTCATCCGTGATCTAGGCTAGCTTCGAGACCGAAGTATCTATCATGGGGTAAGCGTCTGTCGGGGTGTATGCGAAAGAATCAGTACTGATCCAGGTGTCGCAGCTATACACACTATTACAAGGTCAAAGATTGGGGCAGCCCAGCGTGGCAAGCCATTTGGCCTCAGCTGGTTCAAGATGCTCTGCTCATCATAGAAGCATCGGACATCTTCCTGACTGGGCCGGCAGAGTCTACTGATATCATCACCTCACCGATCACGAGCGTAGACGAAGGCATTGTTTTCAACGGGGTGGGAATTGACGGTCACGACACTTTTAATTTTTGCCGTGAAGACCAAAACCAGAGGCAGTTCATGAAAACAGCAGAAAAGCCATACGACCTTCCTGTTGCTTGCATACTTTTGAGGGCTTTCGTCCTATGCCCACAAGGCATAAAAGTCTAGTTGGTACCCTCTAAATTGCTGCATGTGACGAAGGGACGCGACTAATATCTCTCCACCTTAGTTCTGATGGGAAATGGGATGGGCTTCTATGGAAAGCTATCCGCAATCTTCATGATACCTTATGGCCTGAAGACTCTTTACAGTGTCCTTGGCAGGATTACGACGAAGATGACTTCTGGGAGGATGAACAACCACAAGGAATTATTGGGATGCTCGCACAGAGATCGACACCTAAATCGGGCGCCACTGGTATCAATGAGAAGGAGCAACAGAGCACGCAGCAACATCTTTCGAAGACTAGGGAGGACAGCAAATATTTCCTTGCCTCGAGAGCTGGGTACACGATTACAACGGCCCAGTTGAAGCCTATCAATGGCTGGCTCCGAAACTGCGAGGAAAATCCTGATCACAATCATTGCATCGCAAATCCATTACGATGGCATGATATCCCTGGCATCTGCTTTCGACTCATTGACATTCAGAAGAGAAGCATTGTCGTCGCCCCTGAAGGATGCTCCTTTGCCATTCTAACATACGTCTGGGGTGGTGTCGAACAGCCCAAACTGGAAGAAGCAAACGTTGATAAATATTCGCGCGACTATGGGCTAAATTCAATCTGGGGGAAGATTCCAACGACAATAAGAGACGCCATACTCGTGTGCAAAATTGTTGGGGAAAGATATCTTTGGGTTGACGCGCTCTGTATAGTCCAGGATTCTCTCCGCGATGTAAAGGTTCAAATATTACGAATGCGCGAGATCTACTCCGCCGCCAGGCTTACCATTGCAGCAGTCTCGGCAGAGAATGCCGGAAAGGGGCTACAAGGAGCCACCACGGTAACATCTTCAACAATATGTGACTCTATCGATGAGCTGGATATTATCTTGGAGCGTTCGCCTTGGGGAAATCGGGGTTGGTGTTTCCAAGAGAAAGTACTCTCACACCGGGCTATTCTCTTCACGTCAGCTGGGGTATCTCTGCAGTGCCAAGAAACAACGATCAAGCTGGACGGTACTCGTCTTGCCGACTCCAAGGCAGACACGGCTCTCCATAGGTCGCAGCGGGTAGGAGGCCTTTTGGGTATCCTTCCAGGAGAAGAGCTGGAAACCTTCTTGTGTGCTGCAGAGCACTACTCGAAACGGGCTTTCACGAAGAGTGAAGATAAAATTTCAGCCTTCCAAGGCGTTCTTCAGAAGTTCAAAGCAAGTCTTGACGGGGAAGAATCAACGTTTCATTATGGCTTGCCATCATGCGCCTTTGACCAAGCCATTTGCTGGCGGACAGCAGATCATCGCCCGCAAGTACGGAATCCAAACTTTCCCAGCTGGTCATGGCTCGGATGGGACAACAGTGTCACATTTGACAGGGCCATACTGAGAAACGCCCACACGCGCCAAATGACAGGAGATGAACGAGGTCAAATTGTGGTAGTAGGCCGTGGTATTGAGGTGCGCTATCCTAGCCATCGCTATCGGAAGCCAGCTGCTCTTTCCTGGGTCCCGCATGCAGAGGATGGCATCTTCGGATTTCCTTCTAGCGTAGTATCAGGGTTCTTCAACAAGCTCTCTCTCGACTTGGTGGCAAGCATCACAGATCTCCGCATCTCGTCAACGCCCAGGAAGATTGAGGGCTCAAATGGTCTTTATGCTGTATACTCAGCTATCTGCAAGGAGCTATCCCTCTCCCTACTGCCTCCCTACGGAATATATCCAAATGACACCCATCCACGGCACGGTGGTCAAACATTGAGGACCTATGATGCCAATGACCACAAGAATCACGAAGCCTGTGACGCAAAGGACCCTCTCGGTTTTATTTGGTTAGATTGTGCCTGGAGAGAAAGCCGTCCCAAGGCCTTGTACATGGAGTTCATGGCCCTTAACGGTCATCCGGGCGCAGAGGGTTCTGCGGGCTGGCACATCACTATGCTGATGTGCCTCTTGAAGTCTGATCCCTGCAAGAAGTGCTATTCCTATGAACGGCTTCAAGTCATGGACTGCTGCATTCCAGAGGCAACTTGGATGAGGATTGGAACAATGACAAAGTTACCCTCTATCTTTTAAGCAGCGTCAAAACAAACTTTGGGTAGGGCTTTTAGATATTATAGAAGAGCGTAGAGACACCAGGGTAGCAGCAATGGGTATATTGAGCCGATTGCGGCCGATTTGAGTTGTGATTCTTCTACTCAGTGACTAGAATGTCATCGATACGCGGAATTTGTGTGCCAGAATGCCATGCAATAAGTCCCTATATCAAGGGACCGACGGTGTACGATAATAACTCCCGATATGCCGTGATCACCGTTTCCATCCCAAAAGTGATCTTCAATGATCTTCGAAGCAAGAAATTCAAGCCGACTGTTGTGCCTGCCGTATGGCAGTCTGACCGCTCAGAGAATCATAGTTTCCCATCCTTCAACCTTTTCGGTCTGCTCGGGAATAGCCTCCAACTTCCGCGTCGTCGTAGCCCTCCCACGCGAGTCTGCTACCGTCGTCTCCACGCTGTCAACCGGAATGACCGTCGGTTGCTGAGCATCACCGTCGTCGGAGTAAGGACTTTCGCTCCCAGTGCGTTCTGTCGACAACGGACCACCGTTGCTGCTGGGGCCCGCCTGATTGAGAGCCCCTTCCATTACGGCTGGTGAAGGAAGCCTCTCATACCACTTGACTGAGGGTATCTCTGTGGCCGAAGGGGAGGTCCGACGATCTGTGGGTGACGGGTCACGGCTATTGGATCCGCTTGATCTGCGGGTACTGGAACGGTCTCTCTCGTCGAAGGGGTTGATGAAGTCTCCCATGGTGGTGTTCTTTCGGAGAACGCCAGAGTTACACTCTTCAAGTTCGATCGTTTCCCATCTATCGAGCTCCATTCCCTCCCTTGGCTCTCCGCTGATGTGACGACTCACGGTTCTGCTCTTCGCGCTGATGTGTCGGAGTGAGTTGATCAACTTGTCGACGACGTCGAAGCCACATTTAGAGGATATAATCAGTAGGAGAGAGAGAGGCCAGAGTATCAAGGCGGCAGGAAGCCACAAGAGGAACAAGACCTTGTGTTGCAGTTTTTTGGGTGAGCTCTCGTACCATCTGGGAAGGAAACGACACCTATTGAGGAAGGCGTAAAAGACAAGCGCCGAGATGGTGTAGACGACGCATGCCGCCCCTATAAGTATGGTGTCCCGGAAGTTGCAATCGTCGTCTCGTATGCCTGCGCTGAGGCCGACACCAGGGGCGGGAGGAGTAGGAGCCATCTTTGTTAGGCTGGGGAAGGAATAGTGGTATTGGATGATGAAAGCCGTGGTGGCTTCAGGCCTCGGTGTCTGGTTTTTGTTTGCTTGGTATTCCTAGTGGGATAATTGCAAGAGAGAGACTGGAGGTGAGAACGAGGTGTTCAAGCACGATGCTGGCCAGGCTGGGACAAACGAGAAGAGTTTATATAGGGTAGAGCATGTCTATCTACGATTGCGTCTCAACGACATAGGGTAAGATGTCACTAATTAATCGGAGATAGTCAGTCTATCCGTTGGTGCCGTGAAGTCAAATTATACCTCTATGGTCAACATCCGCTTTGCATGGCATCTGTCGGGAGCCACAACCTTGCTATGATTCGCCTGGCAAGTTCACTACTTTCAAGCAAACTTTCAGGAACAGAAATTTAGCGTCTTTCGACGCAATGACGGCGGTGGCGCTGGATCGTGTAAGGGGCATCCTGTCCCTCTCCTCTCGTGAAGTCCGTTCAGGTCAGTTGACAATAAGCCTCAAAGGTGTGCATAACTGATGTGTCATAGTGTGGAAGAGATTTCTTCGTGCTCCTTGCAATGCCATGCAGACTGTAGATGATCAACCGCGTTGGGGGCTGTGAGGTAACGTGAAGGGGAAAGAGCGGTGTCAAATCTCTCACGAAGGAAATCTGAAGAAGGAGAAGGAAAGAGGAAGGCCCTTCATGGTTGGCCATGTTCGTCAGAATGGTCAAGACTAGATATTCAGACCAGATATTGAGACTAGATATTGAGACTAGACATTGATACTGCAGGCCGTTCTGGCACGATTCGATTGATGTGAGTCATGAAAGGATCTCACAATGACCAACATACAAAAATCAGCTCGAATTCAAATTTAACCACAAGTGCTTACATGAACTGAATATGTATCAGTATCAGCACTGGCAATAACCAAAAGATATTTCTGTTATTTTTAACTCACTAACTAGCAACTCTTAAGAATGAGTATAGTCAACTTACTCGTGGCCACCAAACAATGTGACCGCGATGCCCTTAGCAGCCCTCTAGCTAGACATGCAGAATTCACCCCCTATTACTTAACAGCGGGAGCATACGGCTTCTGCTCAACCATCCTAGCCTTATACATCCTCCACACCTCAGCCGCAGCCGCCTCATTCTCAATCGCCACGATCTCCGACGCAGTCAGCCTCTGTCCGAGCAACGGCTCCTTCTCAGAGATCTGAGATTTCCTCTTACATTGATTGTCCTGAGCGCGGTTGCCAGCAGAGCAGACGGCACAGGGAGCAATCTCTCGGTCAACGCCTTCAGTAGTTGTGCAGCGCTTGAAGTCATGGCAGATGATGGCCGCAAAGTTGTAAACCATAAAGACAGGCCAGAAAGCGACGACGAAGATGGCGATTTGGATACGGATCAGGGTATCGATGGCCTCGACCGAAAGACACGGCTCCCACCACCAGCCGCCGGAGTAATCGTCCGAAAACGTCTGTGCAGCCGCATACGCCTCGGCAGCGCTCTCAGTCTTGTCCTTCTCCTCCATATGTCCTGCAAACAGGAAGCCGACGTAGAACGAATAACAGAAGAAGAGAGCGCCGTGGAGGAGATACACCGCCGCCGCGATGGCGTTGAAGACTTCGGGGTCCAAGACGTATTGCTCCGAGGGCTCGCGGATGACGTTGCATAAGGTGTAAGCGCTGAAGGTAACCAAGAAGACGGCGTAGAGTATGACGAGGCCGAGGGCTGTGGCATCGAAACAGGTGAGGGGTTCAGAGTCCTCGTCGGTAGTGGTTCCCTGGGATGGCGAGGGCAACTGCTTCTCCTCATCGTAGTTCATATCGCAGCCAAATTGTTCGCCGGAGGCTTTGACGATGTGGAGGTAGTCGGTGTAGAAGGAACTGACGTTCTTGATGGGGCGGGACGTAGCCGCGCGAACTGAAGCCATTGCTGTTGCCATTGTGATAGGTTGTGACGGATGATACGGTGTAGCAGAGAAGTCAGACGAAAGAAATTTTTCTTGTTGCTTGTAGAACGGACCTGTATCTGATGAATGTGAGATGCTGGATTGAACAGTAGGCTTTCATGTCGAGGAGTTGGATGCGATGTTTAATATCTCACGAAGAAAGGATCGGAGAAAGACTTCTGCACAGTCTCGAGGACCTCTCTAGCGACACACGCTAGAAAGGCATCGGGAAAAGTCAATACGAAGCAGACATCAAAAGACCGTTGGAAACAGAAACCTTGCTGGGGCGGAATGCCACCGTCCCATATTATATCTATAGTATTATACAGTACTGGTACAGGATATCAGGCGATGGCGATCGCAAAGATTTCCCCTCAACTCCATGGAAAGCTCAACATGGTATCGTGGTGTCACGAGTAAGAGAAAAGTATGTGCGTGAATCGAAACGACAGCTCCCCAAAGCCCTAAAGCAGCCCCCAATATTCAACCCGAATGGAACCGAAAAGCCTTTTCCCCCTTAGCCTCCCTGCAGTGATGCTATGCCCTCCCAGCCAGTGCGTTCAGTCTACATCATCGAGGCTGGTGTCGGAAGTGTTACCCGTGTCACCCTCGCTAACCTTCCACGATGCCATCTCCGCTACTGGCACCCGCCCTCTCAGCCACCGCAGGGTAGCGTCCGTACCCCGTTCAAGAACATTCCACCTAGGAACTCTGAAGCGGTTGCCAGCCACCTCTAGACGCTTGAGCCCGCCAGTGCCACCTAGAAGGCCAAGTCTCGGGTTCAAGTGTGCAATGTCGTTATTACCAGCATCGACAACCTCCATGCCCTTGATGGTGTCTGGGTCGAGCTCGATCAAGTGGTTGTTTGCTGCCAAAAGGACGACGAGCCTGGGGAAAACTGAGCGCAAGTCAGGCGGAAGGGCAGTGATGCGATTCAACGAAACGTCCATCTTCTCTAGCTGCGGGGCAACCAAGTGCGTAGTCAACGGTGAAAGGCTGGTGATGTGGTTGCTGACAAGGTTCAGCTCACGCAAGGCCGGTAAGTCAAGCTCCTCTGTCAGATAAGATTCGCCAACCAGTTGGTTATGCGCAAGAGACAGGGCAGCAAGAGAATCGGCGAAGAAGGACAGAGAATTCGGGAAGCAGGTGAAAAGGTTGTGATGCAACTGGATCTCAATGACCCTGTTGTCGGCCGCGACCTTGGAACACACCACAGGGTGCAACGAAGCTGATTTGGTATTTGATCGGTCTAAAACGCCTTGCTTGACGGGCCATGTCTCGTTGGCTAGCGTTTGCGAACGCGCTCTTGCTGGTGATGTCGGCGAAGAAGTGGGAGGCGTAGCGAAGTCATCCTCGTCCGAGTGGTTATCGCGAACTAGAGGTTCAGCTGGTGCGGCAGTGGTGTCGGGTTGGATGTCGTGGGGTTCGTCAAGGTGTTCCTCATTGGGTACAGCAGTCTCCTCGTCCTTGAACGGTGGAGGCGGCTCAAGCCTGCCGGCCAGGACTTCCTTCAGCTCTTCCGTGGTGGCAGAGACAAACTTCTTGTCGCGCAAGGGGTTGCCAGCGAGTCGAATCATGGTCAAGTTATCCATCCTGCTAATCTCAGGTGGTACTACACGGATGTCGTTGGCAGAAAAGTCAACGTGTCTAAGCTTCTCGAGAGCGGTGAAACCTTTGGGGAATTCAGGAATAGCGTTCTCGTCGGCGTTCAGGGTCATGAGGCTACACCAGGAGCTGACGTCGGGTAACTCTTGTATGCGGTTCATCGAAATGATGAGTTGATGGACAACAGGCAGGTTTATGACTGATCCTGAAGGTACCAAGCGTGTCAACTGGTTGCATGATAGGTCGAGCATCTGGAGGGTTGGAAGGGACTCGGCTCCGTCTTCAATCAGCGTGCCCGTAAGCTTGTTCTTCTTCACCAGCAATTCCGTCAGCGGGAGCTTGGACAGACTCGCAAAAGGCAGGGATTCGAAGCTGTTCTCGCTCAGGTTAAGAACGCGCAGCCTCGATAGACTTTCGATACCAGGAGGAAGCGATGACAAGTTGTTTCCGTGCAGGTCGAAGATTTCGAGGTTCTCGAGATTGGAGAAAATGGGGTCTAGAGGTCCGTAAAGAAGATTGTTGGCGAGCTTCAGGTCTCGGAGGGCTTTGACTTGAGTGATGACTTCGAGGCAGTTATTTGCAAGGCGATTTTGCGACTGGTTTTGTTAGTCAAGCTTGACACTCAGGGTCGCATGTGTTGACTTACCAAGTTAAGAGATGTGAGCAGAGGAAGCTGTCTCAATCCCATCGGCAAAGAGATTAGCGAGTTGCCGTGCAAGTCCATCGCCTCCAAGCCGCCAAAGATGTTGCCGTTCGAGTCTTCATCCTGTGCCATTTCCTCAGCTGTGACATCTGGGAAGATGGTATCATCGATAGTCTCCAACTCATTATCCGCAGCTACGAAGCGAGTCAGATCGACAGTCTCAGCCCATGAGCCATCGTAAGTGCCCATGGACTCTGAGTCGTACATCTTGAGAACCTCGACGGGGATCTCCTTGAGACCCATGGCCGCGATGTTAAGCCTGCCACTGCTGCGGGCAGTGCCGAGTCGCTGCTGAATAACCTTCTTCTGAGAGTTCTCCGATCTCTTGGTGTTGAAAGGGTCTTGCGTGACAGCGATGCCAAAGTCGAACCCGTCGTCCTGTGGGATGATGGGTGGCTCAGACTGGGCTGGCGCAGCAGGGTCTGCAACCGGCGCTGCGCTTGGAGCTGACGCTGCCTCAGCAGCTTGTCGATCTGCAGCGCGCTTGGCTGCCCGAGCCTTGGCAATCTGTTCCCGCAGAGCGTTGGAGGACTTTGTCGCAGCATTTTCTCCAGATTCTTCGGCATCTTTTGAAGCAGCAGGAGGTGGAGCACCAATCTTAGACGGTCCAGGCCTTCGTAGAGATCCATAAGACTTGGACGGCGTCAGTTTCTTGGGCTGAGGCGAAGCAACAGACGCCGCTGGAGCTGGCTGGGTCATTGTTGGCAGGGAAGGCTTCTTGTAAAGTCCTTGGACCGAGGCGCGGGGCTTTAGGGGGCGAGCAGCAAGCGTCTTTGCTCCAGCTTTGGGTGGTGGTGCCATAATGCCAGTTGGTCTCGTTGGGCTGGGGCTCTGGGTGACTGGTATCGCCGAAGTAGTCGACGGTCCGGAAGGTGACGACTGAGGCGTAGCTCTCAGCGATGGTGCTCGGAGAGAACGAATGCTAGATACACGGCGAGCCGGTGTGCCCTCAATGGCGCCCAGAGGTCGATACGCGTTTGCAGCCGGTCGAGCATTGGCGAATGGATTCTCTTCAGCACCGGAGCTCGAACCTGGTCTGCTGTGCCGTGACGTGGGCCGCATGGAGCCATCGGAGGTGTAGCTTGAGCCAGGTCTTGAGTGGCCGCTGCCAGCGCGTGAACGGGGTCGCATGGTGCCATCTGGGTCGAAGAACGTGGACGTCTTCTTACTGAGAGAAGGGGAGGATTGTAGTTGCTGAAGGGTCTCGATTGTTCGTTCAGAGAGGGATGGACGAGGTTTGAAGGGTGTCGTCCTCAGCGTATCAAAGTCTGGAAGATCAGGTTCGGCATCATCGTCGGCAACTTGTGGGCTGCTCGTGTCTTTGGTCAAGGTGATCGGATCGCCCAGGCGACTTGAGCTTGGGGTAGCAACATTGTCTTCTGACGGGCTTCGCGTAACGCTTGTCGAGCGCGGAGTGAATGATCGCTGGGGTTCTTCTGGAGGCGTAGGGGGTTTCTGGATTATCGTCTCCTTTGATTGCAGTCGGGGCACGCTTCGGGAAGATCTCAGTGTAGCAGCAGGAGCTCTCAGTTCCGTCTTTCTCGTGGTTGGAGGCTGGATTTCGCGTTTCGGTCTTGTAGGGATGGTGCGAGGTTCCGGTTGCTTGAGAGCAGCGGCTGGAGCCAATTGGTCTCGTGAAGCAGCTGGACGGAGGCGGGGATTCCGTATACTCGAATTCAGGCCTTCTCGCGATGGGGATGGTCGAACAGCGGGAGCTGGAGCGGGAGCTGGAGCTGCCGTTCTCGGGAGAGGCAGACGGGACATGCGAGGAATCCCACTAGGCCTCCCAGGCGCCTGCTTCTCGTCCATTCTAGCGGATATGGTATGTGTCCTACAGCTCTGAGAGCATGAAGAAGGTCGACAAAAGGCTTCCTGAACGCTCAGGAGCGTGGAATAAGAAGAAGTTTGGGGGAATAATTCCTGTGGAAATATCGAAGTTTGCGCACTGACAGTCGGCAATGGTCTAGCGTTGCTTTGGCGCGTGGGAAGCTGCTCCGTTTGCTCCTAAACGGGTCGGGAACTAACGAAGGTAATTTCAAGTTGGGATGACGCAACGTCGCGGTTTCTCGTGTGCCAAACGGGCAGATTCGCGTTCGAGTAGCTGTTGATGGTCGAGTTCAAGTCAGCTTTTCGGATCGCGTTTGTAGTTTGTGCACGCACGAGATGCAGAGAAAGAAGAGGAAGCAAACAATGGCAAACCTACCACGACGTCCTCTCTCCCGTCGCAACGGACATTGGATGGACCCTCTGGACCTGGGGCCTTGTCAGGCGAGAGTGATGAATCGGAAATCTGCAAGAGAACAGACAATAATGACCAGGGGGGTGAATTCTTGGGATCGACAAGGATGGTCGATTTGCCCAATTTCCCGGCACGAGGAACGACGTTCCCGGCGCCTTCTTCCCCGACCAATTGCAGCCATCGCAGCATCTTCGGCTGCTGACGTAATGCCCCCCTTCTGCACTGTTTCGGGCCTCGCTTAATTCTAGCGCCAACAGGTGAGCAACGGTTCCTGCATGTCTCGACTTTGTTTCTCCCAAAATCTCCACTGTCGATTGAGGGGCAGAAATTCATAATCAAGCCAAAAGACCAGGGGAAAATGAGCTGAGAAAGGGACGGCGTGTTTCCTGCTGATGCCCAACGTTGATAGGGCTCATAAAATTTGTGTGATTCGTGAAGGTGAGAGGATGGGCGAGCTGCCCTCTGGTAGGTAGTGGTGAGGCAGGATAGAAGGATGAACTTTGGCCTACCTCTCTTCTTCCCTTTCCCCCTTTTTTATGTAGGTTTATTTCGTTTGATGTTTTTTTTTTGGCTTTTCATCGGTTATCTCTCGATCTGTACCGTGGAAGGATACCTGCTTGATCGAAAGTCAGCCTCTTGAACTCTGATAAAACCTGAAATGAGGGAAGAAGCCAGTTTCAAAGCATCTGCGGCAGCCGGCAAGCCCAGACGAACGAACCCAGGCAGCCAGGGAAGCCCCTGGTCCCCTCAGTCTGGAGTTGAGGCCGTCCAGCGACAGCAACTCTTTCGTCTCACCTCGTCCCTCAAAAGCTTCAGGGATGGCTAGGACTCTCCCCCGCGCAGTGATATCGGAAGATTCGATATGGCAGTTCAGATCTCGCGTGACGTCGTTCAATCCACCCTCTATGGTCCAGATCCGTCTGCTTTCGTCCCGAGTTGCGATGTTGAACACCATCTGGCTTACCAACTCGACCAAAGAAGCACACCAGGTGGATGACGCAAGGGATGGAAGGAGACAGGAATGAGATGACTTACAGATCCTCCCGCCGTCCTGCCCCTCGGCCTCATACCGGTATACTCTCCCCTATACCCGGCCGGGGGCTCCGGACCCGGGCTAGTGGTCGTAACCCGCTTCGCCAGAGCGGAGCCACATCATTGTCGGCTTCTTCGCCACAAGCCAGGCGTCTCTCGAATTGTACGCCTGGCTACGAAGGTCTCGGCGCATGATACACCGGTTGCATGTGCGCGAATTCGCGCGGGCACCAACGTGGTCGAAGAAGTAAGGGGCCAAGAGCCACTTGCCGCAAGTACCGCACCAGCGCAGGTCGCCGACTGTCCCAGGACGTCCCCCAAGAGATCTCTCGGTGCTCAGGAACAGAGGGTCTTCTGTCGGAAGCCAGGGTACCCAGCCCGGCAGACCCCAAGAAGGGCCAATGAGGACCTTTTCAGTGGCCCAGAAGCCGGGCGGGAGGACGGCTGGGCGGTTGGTGATTTCGATGAAGATTTCAACCGGACCGCGGGCGACCGCAGGCTCGTAGGGGAACTCTCGGGTTAGACCGTAGAGGAGAAGCTGCCCGTTGATTTCATCCCAATAACAGATTTGGTCACCCGACCTCCTGGCTAGATCAAACTGCCAGTGTAGCGTTATATGATGAAGTCGACCGTCAACGATGGTGAACAGGTCTGGGATCTGTATCGAGGAACTTTAGCCTAAAGTCATCACTTGACATGTACCTCACTTACTGGACGGTAGCTCATCCTGAAGGCTCCGATGATACTGCTCTGATACGTTGTACTTCAGGTTGCCGACAGAATGTTGGACGAGTAGAGAAGGTTCTTGAGATGGCTGGCAGAAGGTGGAAGAAACGACGAGCTTTTGACAACCAAGAAATTTCCGCTCGTAGGGGAGATCAAAGGTCCTCCAGCTGTTCGGATCCTTCTTTTCACCTGGGACAGCACTTGATTCACTGGGTGTGGTTTTCATCCGGCCGGGCAGTTGGCACCACGCCTCTCGTCCCTTGTGGCTGCCTAAGCATAGTCTCATCGTAGGACGAAACGAATAACCAGGTGAATCGACATGCCGAGATGAGCTTCATCCGTTTGCCCATCGCCCATTCCATAGAGATATCGTCCCACAAAGTTGGCATCTGAAAGAGAGAAGGATGAAATCGTCGAATGGCTATCAAGAGGTATATCAAAAGACTTGGGGCATGAGAGACGATTCGAAAAGGGCGCCAAGGACAGAAGGCTTCCATGGAGTTCAAACACTGATGACTCAAAAGAATGAAAAGCGGAAGGCTGGCATCAGTCGAGATTACAGCCCGTAAATAGAAGATCAAAGGATAACACACGAGGACTACACCAAAGGGCCGAGGCAGCTACCTGATGAATAAAATTTTGGAGCTGTCATCTGGTTGTCTGCCGAAGCTTCGAGGAACAAGGGCCGTATCGCCGACAGGCCTCGAAGTTTCTGCCATGATGGCAAGCCTGCTCCAGAGGAGTCAAGCCACGACGAAGAATCAGGACACTTCGTTATGACAGGCCGATGTATAGGTATGATAGAGAAGAGAGCCAGGTATCATCACTCAGGTTCCATTGAGCTTGCCGTCGTCCATCAGGTTCGTGAGGCTTTTGGCCAAGGGAGTATTATGCAGTGCGGACAGAACACCAACAGTGCGAGACATGTCTAGGACTATGAAGCGGACCGGCTGGAAGATCGGTGCTGGTGATAGGTGGAGCCTATCTTAATGGCTTGTCATCAGCGACACGCAAGTTTGATATCATTAGCAAGGGAAGTTTGCTTCAGGATTTCAGAGAGAAAACAAGTATGCTCATTGAGTTCCATAGGGGGTATCATAGACGATCAGGCAAAGCCCTGTCTAGTTACGTTTGCGTCAGACTGCTTCCTCCTTTCGTAAAGAGCAAAACTCCATCATAATAGCCTCGCAATGTTCCGAACCAAAGAAAAATAGCGTGTGAAATAGCGGCCTATGCCTAGGCACACATTAGACATTATCACGCTGTAAGAGAAAACATGAAGTTTCCACCAAGGATCGACCGGGCTTTCCTCATCGTGCGCAACAACTACCCCGCATGGGATGACAGCTTTAGGCACGAAAGCCTCACCCAAATTGTAGCGATGCCAAGAGCAGGAGCGTTGCGACCACAGTTGAACTTCCCGCCGTTGATGAGAGCAACTGGCTCTGGTTCGGGTCCAGGTCTGAGTGAGTGGAGGCCTAACAACTTGTGGAGGATGAACGCTGCAGCGAGGATAGGCGGTGTCGCAGAATCGATGTCCGGGTCGATCGGGCTGAACTTCATGATAGGAACTGAAGTAAAGAGAAATCGCCGCATTAAGGGTATTGCGAGGAGCAGATGATCTTCGTAACGCGTTCGGGAAGGGACCGTGGTGTGATCGTGGCTTCGTCAATTGCTTCGGCTTCGACTAGAACCGACCAAAGAACAAGGAAATCCGCATCTTCAGTGTCTAGCGCACAGAGAGTTAGTGACGATGAACATGGAGGCTTTGGTTGCGGCGTTTTCGGAGGCCATCCTAGAATTGTCGCTTACCTCGGCTCATACAAGCGGAATCGCTGTGTCTAGCGTCTTTCCAGCTCTCAACATTTGTATGCGTGACCGCTCAGCTCGAACCGAAAGCAGGAAGGCTGCCGGACTGAAGCTGTGGGACGCCGTTCCTCACAACCACGGAGCCGGTTCCGGAGGCCGTTCGCTCTCCGGGAGACGTGATGCTGAGGGGGCTGGTGTACGGGATCTGCGCCGCGGCCATAAGGCGCTGCGTATGTTCGTACATGGAGAGGGTGTAAGCGTCCATGCTGCCCGAAAACTGTCGGGTCGTCGAGGTAGAAGAAGTCGAGGTAGACGAGTTCGTGGTAGTCGAAGCGGGACGGGGGATTTGCGAAGACATCTTTGGAAGTTTATTCTGCAAGTTTAAACCGTTTAAGGGCTGCGTACGACTCAAGTTAAATCGCGATGAGAATGTGTCCCTGGATAAGGTATTTATAAATGCAGATCTCCTTTTCCCGCAAAACCCCGTGGCTGCGGACTGGCCGTGTGTGTACCACTTGACTTGAGACCCAAGCCCGCCCCGGCCTCACCCTTTCAATGATCACTCCACTGCCAGATTGAAACCTTGTCCAACTTTCTAGTCTCCAGGGACCTCAGAAAAACCTGATCCGGCGCTGGAAAGGATGGGGTGGTGAGCAGCGCCCAATAACCGCATGCATGTTCCCTGTCTAGTGTCACGCGGGGACCCTCAGGCGAAGGGGGAAAAACCAGGCCGTCTGCGCCGTTCCCCCTCCTTCAGGTCTGGTCGTCGTTTGCGTTCCCGCCCTCTTGTCTCTCTTTTCCGCGTCTTCGCCCTGGAATCGGGCCTGTCAAGCGTCCGGCAATTACTGTCAGGGTCCATTGCTATGCCCCCCTTGGGCCCTTGAGTCCTTAAACCGTTGGAATGATCGCCGTAATACCTTAATTGTGGCTGTATTCGTCCCATGTATCCAATCAGTGTTCCCTATTTTCGATTCTGGTGCCTTGGACCCCTCTTTCCCCGGGCATATGAAGGATGGCGAAGCCACACTGGCCAATGCTAATTGTCATACTAAAGTCCAGCCAGTTCAGAACAGCAGCCCGGAGAGCGCGACTTTGCTCACTTCCTTGCGGAGCCACGACAACCACGTCAGTCAATGCCTGACAGCTCTCGAAGAACAAGCGGGGGTTATTGACAATTTACTGTTGTTGATGAGCAAGGGGCCATGTGACGGCCACGATGTCATCGTCATGCTCACGTCACCACTTTTCTATTGAGCACAACCATACGGAGTACATTGTATCCAGTCTGTCGGGCGTACCCGTACCTCGGGATCTGGATCTTAGTAATGAATGATCATCACAGCACCGACACTCAAGTAGCTGAAGAAGAAGCTGAAAAAGCCATGGAGCCAACATCAGCTGTGAGTGGTGATGTTTCTCCATCTGCTGTTCGTGGTCAGGACAAATCGTTGGACAACGGACCATTTCCTCCTGGAGGCCGCCGCGCAGTAGGGAGAACAGCTCCGACGCTTGTCCGGCAGGGTCCCGGCTAGATCGGATCTCCTCACAATCTGCTGCAGGTTTATTGAACCCCTGGACGACGGCTCGCTCACGGGCCAACGGAGCCAGCGCCGTCCCGCCTCACCATTCACATCCAAAGTCATGAGAGACTACCTATGCGCACTTCAATTGTGGTGACCTTGTACGACAGGACGCTCACAAAGCGCCTGACATTAGACGCGTCTAGACCGGAGCAGAATGTCCTCTGTGAAAGAGCATCTCGAATCTGGTGACGCCCATGACAAGTTGCCAACTATGCCTACCTAGTCGCGGTGCCGGAGTTAATGCTGACAAGTGTCCCACAAAGAAAATAAGCGGGCTGAGCCACCAACGCAAGCCACTTTGGCCGGAGTTGGCTGAAGAGAAGACAAGTGCGGTGTGAGACATATGGCCCAGTTACGGAAACATGTTCAGGGGACTTTCGTTACTTTTGATGAATATTCTATTTCACCATTGGCTCAATCCATTGTATTAGCTTGCGACACCGAAAGGCATTCATCGGAGGCATCTATCACGCCTACGCGTAGTCGTATGTATGACTGGGGGTGGAGCAGGTCCTGTGGCTGAGAAGTAGGCATTTTGGATGAGAGCGCTGTATACGTCATAGCCATATCCATGTTCTGGTGAAGAGCCATTTTGAGAACAAGAAAGACTCAACAAAGACCAGGTTGTCTCCTACAGGACACTTGGGCTACGTAACATTTGACCCAACTTCATATCGTATTTTGGCCTTGTTTTCGAATTCCATCAACCCGAATCCCCTGCAAGAGCCCAGTCATAAAAAATGTATACCTAGACCTTTGGGAATATCTCAATGATTACGGAGTACTGCCTTGAATGAATGGGCCAAAGACTCTCCTTGCCGAAACACCGATGGTATACCAGCATGAATCACGCGAAGCCACGGATTCAATCGTATTGTTGTGACCCGTTTGTTCTTTCGCTACAAACCAATGTTGGCTGGCCTTGATCTTCGATGTTCTTAGGCATCAGCAATCCGAGCAACAGCTTAACTGCCCAATCAGGGATTGCGGCAGATCACTGCACATCATGGAAGGAAGCACCCTGAACACAGTGTTACAAAACTCGGTAAGCCCTGTCTCTTCTTCTCAGAAGATCAAGGGCCGTTTGAATTCAGATAACTTGATTCGTCGATTGAAGCAGCCTCAGGATCCTGGCATCCGTGGGGATACCCGAGCAAGGAATCGACACCAGAATCCTGTTCTTCGTCAATAACTGGCCTGATTTCTTTCTCTAGTCCGCTCCTAAAGACACGGCACTTTTCCTGCTACCTTGCTCGTGTAATCGTCCAGACGTTTCCCATTTCTATCTGTTGGTCATTTGGCCTCTTATCCGTCGAGTTATCCGAACGCTGCTCAGAGGTACTATGAAGCAAATCGCCTAAAGAGACCCTGAGCTCTTCGAACCGAGCGGCTGTTTACGTGCCTTGACTCTGACAGAATACCAACCTTTCTATTGACCATTTTATTCTATCACCTACCTATTGAATAAGTAGCCCTCATCGACGCAGGCGGCAGAGGATTTGGAAACTATCGTTCCGGGATCGCCAGTATGAGATCACTGCTTGTTTGGGTTCGTACTTTGCACCAAGCTCCACAAGACTCACGGTGTGCCATACTGTCTACAGAACAAAATGCAGTCAGGGGTAAAACTGACTTCAATGTGAACGCCGAATGACAAGATAACTCAAGTGGTAATATTCACGCTTGGAAGGAAAATAATGCATTCACACATTCCATCAGCGTGAGGAGATGCTCTGAAGTGTGTGACAACTGGGAGGAATGTGTTGCAGCGACTTATGAAGGCAAGAAACAATCCAAGGTCTCTTCGTGAAAACCTGATCAGTCCTCGGTTGGTCCACTTCCGTGGGGCTCACCCAGTGTCTTGACTTGCTGATCATCCCCGATTCATTGATATGCAAAAGTTCACCAGTATGCAATCGAGCCGAGAATACTACCAGATGCTTTGAGACAACGGATTTCCCGGGGACCGCTGGCCATCTTACCGTGTATTCATTACAAGTGTGTCCTGCTTCGGGGCACGATTCAGTGGTTCGTACCCCCCTGGAGGTCTTGCCATGACACCAGACATTCTCGACTGCTTTAGAAATTCTGAGCAATGGTATCTTTCGGCCATCAAAGATCCATCGAAATCCTTGCTCATGCTCCTTCAGGAAACTGCTTGTCAAACATGACTCCAACGAACACCATCAAGACCGCAGCATATGCAAGAGTAGACGCGAAGACTTGATCCAGTTGATCAACACACCCAACAATGAGAAATCCGAAAGCAAAAGTGAACGCCGTAGCAACTCCGAGGTTAAGATACAAGTCTCGTTGAAGTACTAGCAGCCACATAGGGCCGACAAGGAAAGCCCCTCCAACCACTGCGCCCATAATCTTCCACCAAAAGTTGCGACGAAGCACTGCCTTGGCCGATGCGTTCCTTGTCCCGCCAAGAGGCTCCGGGTTCTCTTCATTGCCCCACGGCCCAGTCGGCAGAGCATGGAACTTCATGGACTCGTACGTCATTCGCGGCGGATCGGCGAAGTCTCTAGCTCCTACTCTGTTCTTCCGCATCACCTTGTCGAGAACGTAGCTATCTTGGTAGCGTTCACTCGACGCGACGAAAAAGTCGAATGGTTGCTGAGAGACTTTTGTCATGTACTCATAGTCTTGTACAGCTTGAGCTTCTAACTGTTAGTAATGTACCGAAGCCTGCGCCCCTGATCTGGTGAAGGCTGAACGCGGGATGGACGGAGCGCTTTCTTTAGATTGCTCACTGTATTCTCTAAGCAGACCTGCTAGGAGTTTGCCATCTTTTGCAATGGCTTCTGGCTCCATTGCATTACCCCGGACTTGCATCTCGACTGCCTTATCAACGAGGCCGACTTGCAGAGCTCGCAGATGCATGCGCTGCATCTCTGCAATATTGACGCGGTACCCCCAATCACCCATTTGCAATTTGTTGAGAAGACGGTAAATGGTGTGCAGGACCGGCGGTTTCCTAGACACCAGCCTTACAAAATTCTTCGCGTGGAGTTTGGTAGCAATGTCCCATGCAAATTCGCTGTTAAGCTCGGTCTCATCCATGTCGTCTCTGGTGAATCGCGAAGCATCACTTGGGCTATCGGGTATCTTCTCAGACGGCTCATGTGTTGCTTGCGCGGCTTTCAAGAGAGTGTTGATTGCGTCTTGGACCTTTTTGGCCTCTTCGTTTCGCGTAATTGGCGCATTGCCCTCGGCTATCGGTGGCTGCATCATCGCTCGACTCTGGGGGAAGCCTGCTAGACCGCTGTGCTGTTTTGGCAAAGAATCCCTCCTGGAACCTGAAGGCTACATGTAGGGATTGCATGAAGCCTTCCAAAGGTAGAGTTGAGCTTGCAGGAACTTGATGTGACGACAACGAACAACTTAAAAGGGGATGCTCCAAACGATGAAAGTACTAGCAAGCTACGCTATAGTCTCAGCCTTTAGGAAAGTGCTTGTTTACTTCCACATTGCCACAAAACCCGCCCTTGCCCTCGTGTAAGTTTGGGTCAAGGTTTGAGGATCCCTTGTGGTTTAAGCGAATGTCGCTCGCAATGGATGTGTGCTTTAGCTCCTGAAGCTGAGATGCCCGTACTTAGGATCTTCGTTGTGGCAACGGTATTGGTACAGCGCCACAAAACGCCATGGCGTGGACCAAATACCGTAGTGTTGAATCCAGCCCTCTGATCATCCCACCCGCGTGCCTAAGGTGCTTCCTTCAATGATTATAATAAATAACCTACTCCATACACTATGAGGGCAGCAAATGCCATGGCAAGCCATCCAGAAGCTTGGTTTGCATTCCGGTGCTAGGCATGCATTGGTGTCATTGCAATGTGATACGACGTGCCTCGAGCATAACATTAAAAACGATCCTGGTTGAACATGAAGCTCAGGATAGGGTGATTTTTGTGTTGATGAGTACTAGATGGAACGCGTTCTAGTAGAAAAAAGGGAGTATCCCGTGCCTCTGATAGGCACATGGGTTCAAAAGCTAACAGAGACCGGCAACGACGGTTCGAAACCTCCAACGCGAGGATCGCCCACTATCAAGTCAAGCTGAATCTTAGTGTGGCGTTTTGCTTTTGCCACGTTCCTCAATCCTCAGCCGCAGCTCATGAAGTTGTCGCCTCATCCATAGATTGTCATGTGCTGCAACAGCTGAAGCACCTCAATTGTACATGCTCCGCTGCCTTGAAAGCTAAGGGTCTGATGTGATTTTCCGCGGGTCCCTCTCGTTCTTCCAGGACATCATCTCTACCTAAGTTATCAAACAACCGTCAAGGTTTGATGATTCCCAGAGGGTACTTTGTTACATGACACTTGAAGCCTGAACCGAAATCATCCGCATCGCAACTTGTCCTAGTAGGTTGGTTGAAAGCTGTGAATGACTGCAGATGTGATGAACAACTAAAGCTTTTCAAAGCTAATTCTCACCCAGGCCGAAGAAGAATGGGATTTCTCGAATCAAGATGGTCACCAGTCAACGTAGTGTTCGAGAGCCATAAGTCGCCCGGCAAAGGCGGAAAATTCCTCCTCAGCTACGATTCAGAAAGACACTGCGAATCTCAAGTCAGATTTCTTACTGGACACAAAGGTGTCACAGCAAAGGCAGCGGAGAAGTTGATGGGAGGTCGGACGGTCTGGCAGATCACCGTTGACGGCCTCCTAGTACAAGAAATCCAATCGCCGACTTCTACTGATGGAGTAACGGAACAACATCTTACTGTCCCAAATTCAGATGCAGCGCTTAGAGCAAAACAGTGCCTGGGACTTCCAGATACGAGGGTGGAACGCAGCGAAGACTCGGCCCGGTGGCTGGTCATCGTCAAGTCCACCTTTACGGAAGTGGAATTGGACAGACTTGCATTCTCGGATGTTGAAAGGGCCCAGGTTTCGGTAGTCATGGGGCCGAGGAAACCGAGACCTGTGCCCAAACCAGACTCTCGTATCGAGGAAGAGAGTAATAGAGCTCTCCCTGAAGCTTCCGTCCCTGGACCAATTGTGTCTGTAGAAGAATCCGGCAAGCCAAAGAAAACAGGAGCGGCTAGAGCTTTCTTGAAACGTTTTGGCTTTTAATCCATGTAGAAGATTAGGTACCAAACGTTAGTTTCTATCGTTGGGAATTCCCATGAATACTTATACCATTCTTTCTCAAATTGCGTGTGAAAGTGAACACGATTGGGATCATTTAAGAAAGGCGTCTGAAGCAGAAACAAGCTGGTTGGTATCGACGTTCGGGTCTTCGTACTGCGTGACATATTCCATCAAAGCCAAACATGCAGTAGCAAAGCTGTATCTGTGTCACATAACGTACCTTTGAGATTATTACGTGCTGGATTGAGCGAGGGCTTCTTTCGAATATCGACGCGAAGTGTCGGAACCGGGGCTAGATACGCCGGAGGAAGCGTCGAAGCACACCCCGCTTCCCGTTGCAACGAAGGGCGAATTCCCCATTACTTTGTTCCTCCTAGAGACAGGCCTCAGACAGGAAAAAAGATCTAGCTCATAACGTGGGACAAAGTACTCAGTAATATCTTACCAGAACCGGGAGGCGATTATCGCCTCGACAGCGTATCGTAACCTTTGCGACTCCATGTGGGTATACTTACTCATAAACAGGCTAGAAAGCTTCCTTCGGACTGGGTTACAGGTAAAATTTCTTGTTTGATAGGGTGATGTGGAGGCAAAGCACCATAATGAGAGCGAAACCCCGGATTCTAGGTAAGTTTCCCGTCAATGACTATCTTAGCCTGGAATATTTGGGCTCAAAGCAAACCGCAGTCATGAAGGAGCTTTGAAGGATCAAGACCGAGTCATTGCCAACAATTGCAACATCGCTTACGTCGAGTTCCCCATGGGGAATGCCTCTGAACTATCCGTGCCCGAGTAGTGCGGCGTGCCGAATTATCCGACTTCTACTTACTTAGTAGGCACTGGAGCGGGTCGTCAAGCTCCTCACTCTAACTTGACTTGGACATATCTATGTCGAAGGATCATCGCTTATTGGTAGCTGCATACGAACACTCGTGTTCTAGGCTTCTGTTTGAGGAAGCGCACAAATCAAGATGACCGATCCTTTCTCCTAACCTATACAAGTAGTTGTCAGACTGAGCCGTATGCGGGGAATTTGACAAGGGCGACTAAGTAGGTGGTATTAGAATCCTGCATCTGTTGTGGCGCGAAGTCTATTGTCGCTTGTCAGTCGGTGATCTTGGGACTTTCCAAGGTCTAAGAAGGATTCAAACGCATAGCCGCGAGCAACTTTTTGATCCTCAAGAAGCCAAGAAATCGTATGCCATTCGCGGAAATTCAAGAGCGAAATTGGGATCGGATTGAAAAAAAAAACAGCGTGGTTGGCGCGCCTGGTTTTCATTGACGTCGAAGGAAGAAAGCCTAGATACCCATGGCAGATGAAATGTAATTCAGGAGGCCAAGGGGCATAAAGCACAATTAAATCCGGCGAGCAAAAACCTATAAAATGTTCGCCTTTCCCACGCTTCGACTATTTCTATCTCTCGTATCTAACAAGCAATCCAATCCTCCTTCTAATCACCTTGTCCAACTTCAGTCTGTGAGTATCGAAGCCTCTTAAACCAGTCTCCAGCATCTCTCGAGGGCAAGACTAACGAGGCCAGCACATACCTTCGCACATCCAACTTCTCGAATAATCTCAACCACAATGAAGTTCACCGCATTCGTCCTCACTGCTCTGGCAGCTGCTTTTGTCTCGGCCACCCCAATTGCCGAAGCCGAGGCTCCTGCTTTGACCTTCAGAGGTGAACAGTTGGAGGCTCGCGCCTACTGGTGCACCGCTTGCAAGAACGGAAAGCAAACTTGCTGCACCGCCACCCAGTGCAGCTCTGGCTATCCGTGCTAAACGATGAGCTTGGAACGAGATCAGCCGAATCTGTGTCGGATGTCACAAACTCAACAGCTCCATGAACCACTATTTGACACCGAGTGGGCAAGTTCATGAATATTGAATCACCTTGGGCAATAAAAGGCATGATTTGAGACGGAATGGCATAACTTTCATGGCTCTCATTATAACTTTGAACAGTCATTACAACGTAATATCAATTGCACCTACTGTCAAGAAGTACTAAGTCTTTCATCAGACTTATCTTGTAATCCTGAATCTAAGAACGTGCGTCCCCTTACTTATTGCAAGTGCGGGTAAGTCCTAATCACCTTACCTTACCTTGCGAAGCAAAGCCATGGTCTTGGCCTATGGAGGTGGAAGTTGCATTTCTGTTGTACTCAGAAGCTTACCCTGACCAACTCGCACCTTCGGAACTCTTGCAAATTGGTCTTACTGTATGTAGCCTTCTTGAGTAGGCGCTGTTAGCATCGTGGCTCTCAGTGATGCTGCGGACCTACCAAGATCTGGTTTATGTCTTCACAATCGGGTGAAGCCCCCGAAATCGCTGCGGACCTAACCAAGTTATCAACTCATCCGAGTTCCGCTGACAAGTTGCTGACGAGTTGCGGACCACGTTTGCAGTGGATTCAATACTATCCCCAATCCCCGTTTTCTCCGATCCTCAAGCGGGCTCTCAGGGGCACAAGAGTTGTTTGGCAGCATCCGATTGCTGATCGACAGGTCCAGGTGGAGGGCGCGGCAGGGATTTGACTCGCAAACCCATAACAGAGACGTTTAACCCCTCCATCTCACCAATGACGCCCGTCTCTCAACTGGAGAACTGCCGATGTCAACGTTGAAGAGTGTGGGGTTCTGCCCACCAATTTCCGATGAAAGGCGAACCGTGCAACGTCTTGTTTCCCGTTCGGGCAGCGCAGAGTCGCGATGCTGGTGGAGCATCGGTCCATTGAAGGATGTCATTTAGGAGTCGGGATTGCTAGGATGTCGAAAAATTGCGAAGAAGCCCCCCGAGTTCCGGAGGACTTCCGTGATATAATTCTAGAGCCTCTCCTGATGTCGAAAGGGACAGATGCCAAGCCACTCTCGTCAACTACAGTCTGTCGCTTCAGTCATAGAGAGTCGCCTCCATCATGATGTGCAACGCGAAGTTTGTGGCCACCTTTGCTGGCCTCCTCGCCTCCGCGAGCGCAGGTCCCAGCGTACGACTCGACAACGGTCTGACGGTCCAGGGCCGGATCGCCCCCAATGTCTCCAATGTCGCCGAGTTCCTTGGCATCCCCTACGCCGCGCCGCCACTCGACGATTTGCGCTGGGAGCCCCCTCAGCCCTATGTTGCTCCCCAGTCAAGCAATCCTTTCGCCAATGGAACCGTCCTCAACGCTACAGCGCTGCCGCCGTCATGTTGGCAGTACATTTCCATCCACCCGGCTATCCAGCGCGTGGATGTGCCCGAGTTCATGATCGGTGATGCCGGTATGGACGAGGACTGTCTCACTGCTAGCGTGTGGGCCCCTGCCGGCGCCGTTCCCGCCACCGGCGAGCAGAAAGCTTCCGGAGAGGGACTGCCGGTCATCATTTGGTTCTACGGCGGCGGCTTCGAGACGGGCGGCACCGACGTTCCCTACCAGATGCCTCAGAACTGGATCCAGCGCTCGCAGTCGCACATCTTCGTCACCTTCAACTACCGCATGAAGCTCTTTGGTTTCCCCAACTCTGCTGCGCTCAAGGAGCAGAACCTCGGCCTAATGGACCAGCGCTTCGCCGTTGAGTGGATCCGCGATAACATCGCACAGTTTGGCGGTGATCCTGAGCGCATGACTATCTGGGGCCACTCCGCCGGTTCTATCGCCGTCGATTATTATAGCTTCGCGTACGCCGAGGACCCCATCGTCAGGGGCCTCATCATGGACTCCGGCACGGCGCACCTGGATCAGCTGATGAACCATGACGAGACTCACTCCAACTTCACGTTCGTCGCGCAGCAGCTTGGATGCGGCAATTCGACAACTGCCGAAGCTGAGTTGGCATGCATGCGCAAGATTCCTGCAGAGAAGCTTGAGAACTTTGTGGCCACTTACAAGGACTCTGAGGTCACGCCTACCATTGGTTTCTCACCTCAGATTGACAACAAGATTGTCTTTGCCAACTACACCGAGAAGGCTGCGCTTGGCGAGCTGTCTGACCTCGTGAGTTCACCCTGAGGAGGTAATTATAGTACGAGTGATTTGCTGACAACTCACAGCCCGCAATTATTGGCTTCAACGCCGCAGAAGGCCTCTTCCTTGCCCCTTACGATGCGGAGAACGGCCCTGACCCCGCCGTCGCGGACGCCTTGTCCTACCAGTTCTTCTGGTGCCCTGCCACCAAGACCACCAAGTGAGTATCCTGTGCAATGCCCACCGCGAGTTCCTTTATTCTAATCAACAAAACTCAGCGAGCGTCTTGCTGCGGGAAGAACCACTTACCGCTACTACTACTCTGCCGTATTCAACAACACCTCGCCCCGCCCATGGATGGGTGCCTACCATGGTAGCGAGCTTCCCATGATCTTTGGCACGCATGCCGACTTCCGCGGTAACTCCACCGCATTCGAGTATGAGCTCAGTCACGTCATGATGGATGCGTATGCCACTTTTGTGAAGGACTCGACCGCAGGTCTGGATGCTATTGGGTGGCCTGTCTACACGGCCGAGGACCGTCTTGTTCGTAGCTACGGCCAGAACAACAACGTCACCGTCGTTGTTGTTGTTGTTGTTGTTGTTGTATTTAACGCCGTGGCGGCCGGGCTAGAGCCCTTACCGCAGACCTCCCGAAGGGTATATGGCGTGGAGGGCCGTGAGCCAAGGCTACCTACTCTACAGTACGTCGTCTCTTTACATCGTCCTCCAAATCATGCCTTGTGGCCACTACGCGTTCTGTCTGTCCCCGGTTCCCGCTGGTGCCCCAGTTTCATTCTTTCCCAAATCGTCCCTTGGAATCGGGAGGTTCTTTGTAGTCCGCACTCACATCTACCTAGGTGTGGATGCTGCTACCGCAGACAGATCTTCTGGAAGAAGTCCGTCACGCGGAGAAAGGCCTCGAAGCCTCGTGGGTCGGTGATTAATCTCTTGAAGTAGGCCTCGAGAGATCCCATAGGACCTATGGGCTCGGGCATACTGCGAGAGTGGAGGGTCGGCCACCGTTGCCTCCTCGCCAGCGTTAGTCGACAGTAGACCAGGTGGTCCACGTCTTTCGCCTCTCCACAAGAGCACATCATTAGAGCGTCGTCGTGGTTGAAACGTCGGTGATATTGCTCGAAGTCCCCGTGACCCAACGTCACCGTCGGCAAGCGCACGCTGTCTGATATTGAGACAGAGTGTGCGAGCCAGGGGCTTTTGTAGATGCATTTGTTACTCTAATATTCAATTCATATTATTGTCCATCAATTGACCCCAAATCATGATTCATGAGACTTATTAACTTGATATGGACATCATGTGAAGTACGTGTGAAAGAATTCAGACACAGTTTTGTTCTTGGCCCGCAATTGGCCTCTAACTTCCAAGCAGTCGAGCATTTGTAAATTCTTCATGAATGCATCTTCCCTCGAAAATTTCTGGCATCACTTATTTGCCATTGACCGCCGCGACTTGAGCCCCCTGAAAGTTTTGCCATATTCGGGTTGAAAATAGACATTAGTTGGCTCGTATTGTAAATTGTTTTCTAGGTTTCAGAGTTCCAGACAAAACTTGTGGTCTTGAGCTAGAGGCTATTCTAAAAGCTTCAAAACATTATAGTTCTTTGCTCATGAATCTGAAGCAAAGTAATATCATCAGTCCTCTATGCACAATGATTTCACACAGGCATTGTAGCCACCTTATCCTTCTACTCCAAATTTACTATCAAATCATTTCACACCCTTGTCCAAGATAATGGTGATGGTGCCCAAACAAACGCCAAGGTGAGTTGCGGAAAGAAGTCTAAAAGCCAACGGCACGTGGAAAGCAAAGAGCCTGGGCAACTTGAGCTACTAAGCGCATCAAATGACATCTCCCATACGCCAATTCTCCTTGTCAATCAGTGAACAGTTCTCATCATGTTCTATGTGATATCTTATATTCATCTGTGAACCAAGACACCTTAGTATTCTTGACCTTTCGTCTGGAGGATTCAGTGTCTTGCCCTTCGTGACTCGTCCAATTGATTACAATTTTATCGTCTCAACTTCTTCATCCTGACCGGTGATCCTCCCAGCCGTCCCAACCCCATTCCGGCAACTTTGGATAAATCCAGCCGTCTTAACTTTTCATGTCCTTCTAAGACTTGGGATATGGTGCCTTCTACCGTTCGTCTAGTCTACCAAACTCCGGGTTGCTCCCGCCCTGCCTATCTCATGCGGCTTGCACAGCTCCCAGCAGCTGTGTCTACTGCGGCTTGCATGGTTCCCGTCACTCCATTCAACCGCGGCTTTGAAGGCATCATGATTCCTGAGGACAACTCCTCATGCTTAGTCGACAATCATGAACTATCCACCATTGTGATTAGTCGCCGAGGGCTTTTCTTTTGTTTACCTTCCTTTTTCTCTTTCTCGTCGCATCACCCACCTTCCAGAGAGCTCTTCTTTTCCTCAGCCGCGATTTTGGTCAGAATTCAGTCAAACATCAAGTACGCCATCGCGCATTATCATCGAAAGAAGCTCCAGCACTCCTCTTCATCGTAAGTTTTTCATTTCTATCTTCTATTCTATTTTCAGAGAGATGTATCATTGTGGAAGAGCAGGATTACTGACCGCGCGGATTAATTTAGCCTCACTGTCCTCACCTTTGACGCGGACCGTCACCCGATCGACAAGCCGTTACCATCGCCATCTTCATCAGTTGTAGCTACCAGCAGCTATCCTCATCCTCGGACCACAGCGTCATCTACCTTAGTCGAAAAATTATCGACATCAGCATCCGCAGTCCTCACATCGTCACTTCGATCAGTGATTGAACTCTTTCGTCTGTACTATAGTCGCTACAGCTTCATGTTCATCGAGCAGAACCATAACCAGTGAGTCTTCATCCCTGGACGATTGCCTCTAATATTCTTTTCGCAAAGCCTTGCGAGACTAATCTTCTGCGCGACCAGATACAATGGAAAGCAACATGCAGCAGCAGCAGCAGTCCAAGAGCCAGGCTTCTGGTACCAACGCTTCTGACGGCAACATGAGCGCTTATGATTATGGCGCCCAGCAGATTCAGCAGCATCAGGCCGAGAACAATGCTCCTGATGACCCCGCTGCTGACAGCCCTGGTCATGACAACAACCTGCACGCTCACGATGATGATATCCAGCAGCTTCAGCAGCACCAGGCCCAGCAGCACCATGTGCCTGCCCCCAACTCTCACCCCGGCATGATCCCGTAAGCACCCATCCATCAACATTGACATGTTACGTTGATGCTGACCCTGCACAGGATTGCCCATGATTCCAGCGCCCAGCAGCAGCAGCAGCAGCACCACCACCACCACCACCACATGGCGGCTCAGACCCACGGCCAGGGCTTCGACCAGAGTCATCGAGCCTACCAGATGCCCAGCCCTGTCAGTGCCGGGCACCCTGCTCCCAATGTCCAGAACGCCATCGTGGCTGCCCAGGCTCCTCAGCACCAGCACCATTCTCAGGCTTTCGGCCAGGTTCTTCATGCCCAGCAGCAGGTGTACACCGCTATCGGTGCCGCAATGTCGGCTAACAACAACAACAACAACAACAACAACAACAACGCCAACATGGCTGGTCAGCCTCACCAGCAGCAGATTCCCAACGCTGTCGGTGCCGGAAATCCTGCCCCTAACATCCTCAATGCCATCATGGGTGCTCAGGCTCCCCAGCCTAGCCTCCCTGGAGCCGCCGACCCGAGACCGTGCTCAAAGTGCCGTAAAAACGGCAATATTGCCTGGAATACCCGCTGGCAGGACCCAGACGCACAGCCGCTCGTCTGCAAGACGTTCGCCACTTGCAACCACTGCAAGTGGTCCCCTCGCTTGCAGGACGAGCCGGCTGTCAACTGGGTCCTGCGCAATGCCCCTTGGCTCATCAATGACATCGGAGCCTACTGCCCTTGTTACGTGGGTGATGCGGGTAGTCACTGGCCTCACCCGATGTGTGTTACTCGCACCCGCGCGGGTCCTCGCGCTCCGCCCGCCATCCTGACCGCTGCTCCGGCCGGTGTTGCTGCCGCCGCGCCTCCTGCTGCTCTCCTTGGGGCTCCGCCTGCGGGCTTCGTGCCCAACCCTGTGGCTCCTGTCGCCCCGATGTTCCCTGCCGCCGGCGCCGCTCACTATGACCGCGACGATGGAGATCCCGAGCTTTTCGTTATGCAGGACGAGTATTAGGGAGGACTTGATGTGTCTTTTTTTAGATTAGAAGCCCTCCTCGCAAGGGGAGGGTTAGTTAAAAATGCAATAAGAAGATTTCAAAGCTCTAGAACGTCACTTGCTTTGTTCCTTTTCGACCCAGTAATTCACATACCGTAATAAGTTTTCTTTCATAGTCTAGAGGTTTGCTTTCCCTAATGCACGTATTCGTGTGAGAATCTGCTACCAGTGAAAGTCAAGGCTCGGCGGTACTTACTTATGTTAGGCTTACTGCTCTGTCACTCCAGTTGCCCCGATGTTCCCTGCCCCCGCCGCTAAGGATCATGACCGCGACGATAGAGATTCTGAGCTTTTTGTGATGCAGGGAGAACACTAGGGAGGACGTATTATGTCTTTTCTAGATTCTAAACCCTCCCCTTTTCGGGGAGGTTAATCCATAAGTATAATAGATACTCGAGAGCTCCTGAACATCACTTTCCCCTGTTCCTCTGGATCCAGTAGTTCACACAGCACAATGAGTTTCTTTTATAGTCTGGAAGTTTCCTATCCCTAATGCACGTATTCGTGTGAGAATTCGTTGCTGCCAGTGTAAGTCGAGGCTCGGCGGTACTCATGTTATGCTTACTGCTCTATCACACCAGCTGCCCCTGTGGCCTATGTGCAGTCGGCGCCTCTCAGGACGACGTTGACGACGGAGATTCCGAGCTTTTTGTTATGCAGGACGAGCATTAGGCCAGAAGTTAGGTACTATCTAAGATTAGAGGCCCTCCTTAGAAGGGGAGGGTAGTCAAGAGGGAGAATATATGAAGTGATTTATATAGAAGAAAGCTCTAAGCCATATTTCTACTCTGTCCTTTTTAGACTCAGTACTTCACATAATATCATGAGTTCTTTCTATTAGTTAAAAGTTTTTTTTCCCTAATGCACGTATTGTATGAGAATCCGTTGAAGACCAGTGGAAGTTGAGGCTCAACGGCGGCTTATAATCCTGGCTCCATGGTTCTAGTGGTCCTCATGCCCCCGTGGTCTCAATTGAGGTGCTCTATGCAGACATGCGAGTACTGCTCTCCTCGGAGCTCCGCCTGCAGGTATTGTGCCAAAACAGATTGCCCATGTTGCTACCGATACAGACGATGGAGATGCATAGTTACTTACACGCTGATACAGGGAGATAGTTCATAGGGCTAGTATAGCGACTAGACATCCAGAACGATACGTTGTTGGGTTCTTTTTAGGTTTAGCAGTCCAAATGGGACAATGTGCTCCCTTCACAATGTGGGACTAACCTACCCTTAATGCACGTATCCGTACATACGAGGCTCCGTTGCGACCAGTGGACGTCAAGGCTCGGCCGAGGCAGGCCGAGAAGGAGGAGCAGAATTGGAGAAGACAGGGAATTGATTCGCGCGGAACTCCACAGCAGCAATTGCAAAGTGTGACTGGTTGGGACCCTTGGGGGCGACGGCAATAGGGAGGTTTAGAGCCGAAAGTCAAGACACATTCCCTGTCGACCTGGCAGATGCCTGCATGAAGGTGGTGTCTACTTTCTGGGGGAATCGGATGGTGGGAGGGAGCGTCCCCTTCATTTGAAAAGGACAAGACCGCTTGGTTGGGCGTAGCCAGTCGTCTCTTCGGAATCGGCATCTACATGTCTAACTAGAGCCAAGAACGGCGTGTACTAGGCGTCAAACGTCAGCATCAATCAATCTTCTCGCAGGTCTCCGTCCATTGTATCTTTTCATGCCGTGTCTAATCCCAATGACGGGCCAGGAGGCTACGGACAGGCCGGAGTGAACCGAAATGACTTGGGAGAAAAACGTGGTCAAAGTCGGCTGTTAAACGTAGGTCAATGGATAGTGGATGTTGTTGCTGGTCGTTCGTTGATTGTTCTCCTGAGGTTGCAGTGGTTACTGTCGGGTGCAACCGGGGATGACCCATGAGTACGTACTGGGTAGGTCCGGAGCATGGAAGGAATTACCTAAGCCCGTAGCCCGGCACGAGAAGAGGGATACGTACCCAGACATTGAACCGTTCGCTCTGCACCTCGAATTCTCATTCTTTTCGTGACTGCTTCTCCTCCCGACTTCCACATCAAATAAGACCTTATTCAAGAATAATGAAGCTGTCTCTCCTCATTAGGGTACATAGTAGCTGCACATGTCTGCTCCAACGGCAACAAACCAACAAACGAAAGCGAGGTGGTGGTATTGCAGATGAAGGGCGCAAAACTTGGGGAAACCCAGCAGAAGAGGTTTGGCTGGGTCTGGATGGGGAAGTGCTTCAGCGCATCCCTTCGCTAACTGGACCGGCCATCAAGGCCTAGACGGTTTGCCCTACAGCGAACTCCAGCGACTCCTCAGCGGCCCCGGGCATCCAGTGCGGCCCATCACGCCACTAAATCCCCAGACTTACCCCACATCTCCTTCCTCGTAAGACCCACTCTGACCCTCCTCACCCTCGCTAAGGCCGCGCTAGTCTTCGCCAAACAACACTAGACTTCTCTTGGACGCGCTGGGCACATTTACTCTTCCGATCCCCCAGGCCACCCGCCGCCATCCCCAACCGCCAATTTCGTCCTTAGGAAAAGTTCCACCAATTGTCCTCCTCTAAGCCTCGGGCGACATTTCCCTTCTAGCCTCTTGAAGTCAAGTTTGTCTCTTACGCTTCCTCTTTGCTTGATGCCTCGATCCCAGACTGACCACTGACCAGAAGTCCCCCCAGATTCGACGGTCCGTCGTCCCTACTGCGCCGCCATCCTGCCTCCCCATCTTGACTTTTTGTCAGTCACCAACAGTCACGAGTCCTCCCCCTTGTCTCCAGACTCGTTACGAAAGGCTCCTCGAGGACGAGAACCCCGGACTCCTTTTGGCACCACATCGACCATGGCCCATCAGTAATCTACCTCTCCCCGCCCCCGGGTGGCTTCCCTTGGCTACTCCCGCCGGCGTCTTGTATGTTTCGACCATTCACAGCTTGTCAAACCCCTCGCCTCTCTCCGCACTTTCTTCCCCATGGCTTCCTTCACCCACTCAACATCTTCCAAGACCGTCAATCCCGCCGCTAACCACAAGGCCCCGATCGGCTTTCCACTTGAATGTGGGTTCTACCTCGCACATGGCCAGCATTTGCCATGCCCGCCCAGACATCCAGTCCCATGAGGAGAGCATGGCTTGAGCGTGAACGGTATAGCCTACCCCGGCCGGCACGACGAAGGATCTCCAACACGGTCTGATTGGGGAATGGGCCATCCAAAGAGGCCAAGCTTGGGGGAAACAAACTGCCTCTCCACGGGGTCGGCTCAGGCCAGGCCAACCCAACCATCCCATCCTCGTCCCAGTACCATGCATATTCTGCAGACTGCAACCATGGCATGAGACGAGAGGAAGCCGACTGTTTGGTACCACCTTGATCTCGCCTCGAAGCAACTTTAAAATAATCCAACTGCCCACCCCCAGCTCACCGTGCCTGGTCCTCCTGTCTCTTCTCGATACGACTCTGCTCCAGGAGCTTGCCCATCGTCAACAGCTTCAAGCAGCCCGAGAGCGTTCGCAGCCATGTCCAACGACATCACCCAGAAGACGGCTTCTCAGCCACAAGACCCTATTCACGTCGAAAAGGGTCCATCTCACATCACCCACCTCAACGATGTGAGCCTCGACGACAAGGGACTCAACAATGAGGCCCACGAGGGTACCAACATTGAACACAGTTTCGGTGTTTGGCAAGGTCTCAAGACCTACAAGCGCGCCGCCTTCTGGTCCATCCGTGAGTTGTCCTCCTAAAACGGGCCTTTTGCTTACAAGTAATCGTCTAACGCTTCTCCTCCTCGCCAGTCATCTCAACCACGGTCATTATGGAGGGTTACGACGTCACCTTGATCGGCTCCTTCTACGGTTATCCCGCATTCCGCGAAAAGTACGGCGAATACCTCGACGAGGAAAACGGCTACCAGATCTCTTCATCCTGGCAACAAAAGTTCAACGCCATCGGAGCTGTTGCAAACATCGTCGGCGCCATCTTGAACGGATACTTCACCCCAAAGTTCGGTCACCGCAAGGTCCTCATCTTTTCTCTCGTCTGGCTCGCCGCCTTCGTCTTTGTCGTTTTCTTCGCCCACAACATCGAGATGCAACTGGCTGGTCAAGTTCTCTGCAACGTTCCCTGGGGTGTCTTCGCCACAACTGGTCCTGCGTACGCTGCCGAGGTCACGCCCCTTGCTATTCGTGGATACCTGACTTCCTACGTCAACCTTTGCTGGTGTATCGGTCAGTTCATTTCTGCCGGTATCCTCAAGGGCCTCGTCGACGTCAAGGGTCAGTGGAGTTACAAGATCCCCTTTGCCGTACAGTGGGTCTGGCCTATTCCCCTCATCATTGCCGCTTGGCTCGCCCCTGAGTCTCCCTGGCACCACGTTCGTCAAGGCAACCTCGACGCGGCCAAGAGGTCGCTAGCGCGCCTCTCAGAGCCTGAACACAACGTTGATCTTGATGCTACTGTGGCCATGATGGTCCACACGAACAAGCTCGAGATTGAGGAGCAAGCCGGCGCTTCTCTGTTTGACTGCTTCAAGGGAACCAATCTCCGACGTACCGAGATCGCTTGCATGGCATTCATGTCTCAAATTACCAACGGCGGCGCCCTCTGCTACTCCGGCTCCTTCTTCTTCCAGCAAACTGGAATCAGCGCCTCCGCTTCGTACGCCATCAGCTTGGGAGGTACCGGCATCGCCTTCCTTGGCACCTGCATCTCTTGGCTTTACATCTACAAGTTTGGTCGTCGTACTATCTGGATTGTCGGCTTCTCTCTTCTCGTGGCCTGCCTATGGATCATCGGATTCTTGTCTGTTGCCCCGAACCAGACTGGTGGCATCATCTGGGGACAGTCAATCCTTTGCGTCGTATGGCTCGGCTTCTACTCCATGTCCGTCGGTCCTATCGTTTACACCCTTGTCGCTGAGGTCGGCTCTACCCGTCTACGCACCCAGACTGTCGTCTTGGCTCGCAGCACCTACTACGTCGGTAACATCATCTGCGGTGGCCTCATCCAACCCAAGATGCTGGCACCTGGTGACTGGAATCTGAAGGGAAAGACTGTAAGTGACAATACCAATCTCAAGCCGTATCTGTGCAAAACTGACTTTGACGTACAGGCATTCTTCTGGGCTGCCCTTGCTACCCTTACCTGGGTCTGGGGTTACTTCCGCATGTTCGAGACCAAAGACCGCACCTTTGGCGAGATGGATGTCATGTTCCAGAAGGGTGTCTCGGCTCGCCAGTCCGGCAAGTACCAGCTTACCTCGGAAGAGGTGTTCGTTGCCGAGCAGCACCAGACCCTGAGCAGAAACCAGACGGAGAAGTTGTGATTTATGATCAAGTTATGAGTTAGAGATACCAGAACATAATCCCTTTCGAGGGACTCAGTCATTTATAGCCATCTATATCAGACGATGAAACTGTCGGCACGCATGGACGCGAGCCTGTCAAATTCAAAGTCGGAGACATGATACCCAATGCGAAGTATATTTCTTGCAGAGATGATCTTGTCTCTATACATGAGCGACGACACCTACACGCTACTACTGCCATCATGCCACACAGCCATCACTTAACTTCGAGTTAACCCTCAAACTGACAGAGGCAAGACTTCAAAAGCGGGAGTCTCGTAGACATCCCAATTATCCGAAGCCTCAGGGTTGCCGAACGGAACCAAAGCAGCGAATCGCATCTTATACTTGCCAGGCGCGATCTGCGTGCCATTCGCCAGACGACCCAGCCACCACAACTCAACACCGTACACACCGACGATGTCTCTAGGCACGTCACGCATGGGCAGCGTAATGATATCGTTCGGATCGTCCACACTAGGATCGATAAACGTCTTCCCCGAGGCCTTTGACCAGCTCGTTGCCGCGCCCACGAAGCCAGCCCGGCCGACAACGGGAGGGTACTTCCAGTCCCTTTCTACCCAGGACGCATCAAAGATGTCCCATCGCAGCTCACGGGTGGCGTACTGAATGCGGGCGTATAGGTTGGGGAAGTCCTGTACCGCCGGGTCAAGGTTGAACGTGAAGTTGGATTTCTGGGCGATGGGGATGTCGCTACGGGTAGACGTGATGCGCGGGAAGCCTGTCGGGTACTGGAACATGATGCCAACGTCCTTGTGCAGGTCTGCAGCTAGGCCTAGGTATGGCACACCGAGCGTCTCACCGTTACTTCCCTTGATGAGGACCTTTCCGCTGTAAAGGGGCAGCTTGGCCGGGTCAAGGCTCTGGGCCGCGGCGTCAGGGTAGTTGAAGCCGAATTGAGCAGTCTTCGTCTCGCCCGGCTGGACAGTCAGGGGGCCGGGGAAGGAGATCGAGGGCGTCATCTTCTGAGGCGCGGCCATGACCTCCTCGAACCACGCGATCTTGGGCGTCCCCCAGGCGGTCGGGTCGAGGTTGACGGTGTTCATGCCGCCAAAGTCCTGCTGCTCGAAGGTATACGTCACAGGCTCCGCGCCGGCATTGGTGATGTCGACGGCATGGTACCGGCTAAAGTGATGTGTGTCGTTGAGAGCGAACTTGGCAAAGGAGAGGGCGGTGCCGTACTCGAGGACTTTGGTGGCGTTGATGAGACCCGTTCCGACTTGCGCTACGGGCGCGAAGAAGTCATACGGGTTGTTCTCGAGCTGACCGTCATCCCATTTTATCGCCTCGCCGGAGGAGATGAGACGCATGGCGAGGTTCTTTGCCCATTCTGGTCCGTGGACGCTGCGTCCTCCGAACTTACCCGCCCAGAGAGCCGCTACGCCGGCGACGTAGGGACAGCTCATGGACGTGCCGCTGAGGATGGAGTATCCCCCGCCAACATAAGAACTCAAGATCTGGCCGCCCGGGGCTGCGACATCAGGCTTGATGAAAAGGTCATTCGTGGCGCCGATGGACGTGAAGGAACTCGCGACGCCGCCGTTCTCTTCGTTTTTGATGCCGACGATGTGGAAGATGGGACGCTCCGTGAAGTCTGCCGTCACCTTGCCGCCCGCGCGGACGGTGTCGATGATGGCGGCGCCGACGCGCGCGTCAACCATTGCGATTAGACTGGAAGTGTCTTCGGTCGTTGGGCGCACGAGCGGCATCTCGTTGCTGTAGAAGAGGATGTGTGAGGCATTGAAGGGGGCTAAGTTACGCTGCTTCTGGTCAAAGTTGCAGCCTCCCCGGCGGACGAGGGCCACGACTCCCGTCAGGTCCGGGGTAGTTCCCACAGGAAGAGGGTTGCACGCCTCATCAGCGGTACTTGAATTGAGGCTTAATGGCACAATGGGCCAATCCTGCACCTCGGAAGGGTACCAATCCTCAACAGCACGATACGCAACCCTCGTCTCATTCGTCTCCCCGCCCAGAGAGAAAACACCCCTGAACGACGAAGACGCGAGGACGTCGGCTTCGACAGAGGCCACAGCGACGACGTGCTCGCCTGAGGAGCCGCTGCTGGCCGCGTAGGCGCCAGCTTGCCCGTCGTTGCCGGCGGAAATTGTGATGACGACGCCCTGGTCTACGAGGCGGGTGGCGACGACGGCCCAGGCGTTGTCTGTGAAGCCGCTGATGCCGCCGATGGAGGAAGTGATGATGTCCACGCCGGCTTCGTAGGCTGCGAGGAAGGCTTCGATGAGGGTGTCTTCGTCGGTGCCGTCTACTGTGCCGAAGACTTTGTAGGCGTAGAGGGTTGCTGCTGGGGCGACGCCGGTGAGGCTTGAGGGCGTGTCAGCTGAAGGGTCTCCTTGAGATTGATGGATTACTCTGTGATGTGAGTTCTGGACTTACATGCTGCTGTTGCCGGCGATGATGCCGGCAACGTGGGTTCCGTGGCCTTGCTGGTCCAAGGGGTCGGCGTCGGGGTTCTTTACTTGACCCTCGTTTGGCCAAGCTGAAGCTGTTAGTATCTGAATCACTGGAGGTAGGTTTCAAGTGAACTCACATCCATCACCAACAAAGTCATAACCACCAGCAACCTTGAAACCCTCACCAAATCCACCACCGAGCTAGCAAGTGTCAGTTACTCACCCAACTGTTCACAACGGAGTCTCATTCACGTACCGCTTCATGAGTATACCAAATCCCAGTATCAACAACAGCAACCTTGGCACCCTTGCCCAACACACCAGCCTCATGCAACTTATCGACGCCAGTCATGTGGTGAATATCATAGTCGATGGCAGTAGCATTCTCCACAAACGAGGCAAGCGGCGTGCTGGGCGCAAGCTTCAACTTGCGGGATTGCCATGCCACTTTGACGGGCTCAAGCGCCTGCAGAGAGTCAATGTTCTCTACGTCGGTCTCGACGGCGGCGCCAGTGAAGATGTCGCTGGTGAAGACGCGGAGGACCTTTGCGCCGCGCTGGTTGGCGATGTCAGCGGCTAGGGCTGATGCGTCGGCGCCCTGGGGTTGTTAGTATGGTTCTTCGGTTGTTTGGTAGAGGCTGAGAGAGATGAGGTATACCTTGTCGAACTCGACGATGAAGCGTTTGGGCTCGACTGTCGTCTTGTTTGCTGCTGTCTCGGGGGCGTTGTCATCGGCTCGGCGCATGAGCGGGTGATTGCTCTGGGCGGCGATGCCTGCCACGCTCGTGGCGGCAAGCAAAAGAGTGGACAGATGCATCCTGCGTCAAGGGTAAATAAGCAGCCTTCTGATGATTAAACGAATGTGAGATCACAAGAGATCTGGTGACGTGAAGCCGTGCCCCTCGAAAGCCTCTCCTTCAACTGTACAAGAACATTTCAATGGCATTATATAGGTACAGCAACGACTATATCACGACACCATCGCGACTCGTATCTTGAGCATCTAATTTCCATTATCCAGCGCGTCCGGCGTGTTGTTGCATTAGCCAGTGACCCCAACGCAAGTGACATGCCAATACAATCGTAGGTCGTTCGTATTCGGTGTTGCGACCCTATCAAGCATGGGTTACCGACAAGGGCATTCATTAAACATCTTGGCAAGTTGAGGGGCTATCTACCACTGCTATCCTCATCACGTCTCTCAACATGCTGTATCAAGAGAGTCAACAGCAGATCACACGATTCGCCATATCTCGAGGATAAGACTACATCTGCAGCTTATAAAGTATGCCGGATGAGCAAGAAGCCGACGCCGGCTCTACCATGCCTTTTTCTCGTGTCCAAAGATTCGACGGTGGCTTGATTGCCAACGCAACTTCACATTTGGGCTTAGCACGACTCCATGGCCGATGTAACCCTGTTCACGACCTTCTCTTTTCTCTCTTGTGCCCTGCAGGCAAACTGCAGGAGCTGCAGGAACGGGGGCTCCGTGCGATGCATGCCAATATGTGCCAACGCCGATTTGTTCGGCCTACCTGTAATATTGCGGAAGAAGCAAACAGGTGGGCCAACTTTCCACAGCGTCCGAGGGGGTGCGGATCCCGGGGATGCCAATCGGCGTCTGTCATGTCCGGCCGGAAAAGGCGAGATATCGCGGCAATTGATAGCCATGAGTGAACGGACGTATAGTGTGCAGATTCAATATTTTCCGGTACCTTACTTCCGCTCGATAGTTGTTGGTGTAGTCATTCAACTCTGCTCCTTCACCCGCACAGACAACAAGATTTCGACATTTCCAGATGACAGACTGAATCGGAAAGAGGAAATTCGGTCTCACGGACTGTGGCAGAATACCGAGCGTGAAGAGCAACACTATGGCGGCAATCAGTTGACTGGTTTCCATTCATCCAACTTGACGGACGACAGATGTCTAGTTTCAAAAAGAACCAATAAATCTGCCCAAGGAACATCCAAAACAATGGCGCCGTAATCCCAAGACGGGACGACTTACGACTTTGACGGGAAACAAATGGAACTCGGCGAATGGGATTGGTTTGTCGGCAGACGGCAGTCGAAGAGCAAACAAGCTGCCGGTGTCTCGAGTTTCCGCGTGGCGTAGACCATAGCGTTTTGGCCCGAGACACGAATGTTTGTCTTCCCCCGCAAACCGTAACATGAGCTCGAAGCTTGGTCCAGGGAGCGGTCGTCGAATCTTCTGCTTTCACTGCGCATCCGCTTGGTCTGTGGTTAGGAACGTCATGTTCCTTGGCAATTGGTGTATTTGACGTTGCACCGACAGGGCCTACATGCGAGTTTGTTTCTACGAGCGATTGAAACTCCTAGAGAACAACTCAGAGTATATTGGTAAGATGTTCTATTCTGACAAACAGCTCTGTAAGTGGAATACTTTTCGCACTGCCTCCATAGTTTTGAGTTATGTGGGATAGTTGCCTCATGAAGTTATCAACCAAAGATTCATACTAGAAGATGGCATTCTCTGGGACGAGATGACAATCTTGGCCAATCTCGATGGCTAGAGCTCGCCTAATCATTGCTTGACATGAGTGTTAGGATGATATAGAATGAGACGGCGCGACGATCTTGGCTTGTTTCGCCGGCCAAGACATCAGGTTGCTTGGTCCAACATCAACCCAACTCGCCCCATCTTCAACGTCCGCCACACATTGAACCATCCATCCGGTCCAGAGACTGGAGTCACCGACATTATTCTGCTCGGACAACTGCTATTCGTTGTGAGAAACAGCTGACATTGAAAGAAGGCTGACTAGCCTAAAATTCTTCCGCCCAAAAGTTTGAGTTAAACTTTGGGGTCAAATGCTTCAGGCCAGGGATGACACCTCGACACGCCGTTTTACCACGATTTCATAAACCGCCCAGATAGGGCAAGATTCGCTTCGTTGCCGCGTAAAGAAGCGATCGAGCCAAGACTCCTCACTTGTTTCCTGTGTTTCGTTTGCCATCCTTGTTCAGCCCTGGAAAAAGCTTATGTTTACTCTTTTCTCCAACGTCCTCCCCCTTTGCCCTTTGAAGTCACCGCCGGGAGCTTAACGACTTGCTCAACGATGGAAACAGGAATGCGGATGCCGTACCGGTTGAAGATTCTTGCCTCCAACCAATTGTCACCATCTTCGCCTTCCGCAGCGAACTCTGATAGCAAGCGCTCTCCTGGCTGGCCGGGAGTTGTGCCGTCTTCCCATTGTCCCAAAGAACGACTCTCATGTTTTATACTTCAAGGAACAAACACTGTCCGCCGCACCAGCTGCATCTGCGGCTGCACCCTTCTCGGGTCCGCGTCCACTCAGCGTCCATCGGGATAATATCGTTATGCTTCTTTCCGCCAAGCAAACAACCTTAAGCCTGCTAAGCGCTTGGCGAGGGCGGGAGAGATCTTCAGGGGGTCTCTAGAAGCGGTTACTAGCTTCAGGAACATACTCGCCAAGATGCCGACGACTTGCGCTACGTGGGATAAAAGTCTTGTTTCTGTCTTGGCTTGCCGGCTGCCGATGTAAGGTGTCCCTGCCTGTCGGTTTTATTCTCCATTCGATAAGCTTGAACTGCCGGCTGCTACTACCCCCAAGTGATCTCAATTACCCCTGGCCTAGTTCCCAAGAGGATATGGAAACGAAGTTAAGCTTTCCAAGATGAAGCATTGCGGTTGGTAGTATTTGCCGATGGTCAACGTGCCTTAGATCCAGTTCATCGAACCAGTCAGTGCGTTCCAGGCACGATATCAACGTTTCAGGAACAGGCCACGGTCACGGCCACTTTCTGCCGCGAGGGACAGCCAGGCTGATGTCAATGGAGTGGACGGGATGGGGGGTGTGGGAGTGTAGTCGCGATTCAGGCACTTGCTAAATAGTCTCGACACGAACCTCTCCCCCACGCCCGAGATGCACATGTGTATTTGTCGTAATTCTGCCAGACAAAAACTGTCACCCAAACCCGCTACACGATCCATAATGCAATGTGGACAATGAGCGAAGACGAGCTCGTGGCCGCCTCGCCGCCCCCGCCGGGCGTTGTGTCCAACTTCGACAACCCCGCCGAGTCCCTCGTGCCACAGGTGTTGGTCGTCGCCATCCTGCTCAACCTCCTGGCCATCATCTTCTGCGGGATCCGTCTGTACACGGTCAAGGTCGTGATCCACCGTCACCAACGCGACGACGACCTCATCTTCATCGGATTGCTCTTCGCCACGGCATACTCGGTGATACAAGTCTACGAGACTCGCAATGGAGCTGGGCATCATATTTGGGACGTGAGCCGGGCCGACGCCGTGGCTTTCCATAAGCTGAGCATGGTTGATCTCGCGGCGTACAGCCTCTCCGTCCTCTTCACAAAGGCCTCGATCCTTGTGTTCTACCTGCGCTTTCCTCTCAAGCGCGCTGTGAGAATCGTCGTGTACGTGGTTATGTTTGCGACGGTGGCGTACTCGCTCGCTGGCGCGCTTGGCTGGGCATACCTCTGCACTCCCATGGAGAAAATTTGGGATATGGACGTTCCGGGAACCTGCGTTGATAGGTCAATGTGGTGGTTGATGCTATCCGTTTGCAACGTCGCCACCGATCTCGCTATCTTGCTGCTACCAATCTGGATTCTCTCACCTCTTTCGTTAAGGCTGGTCAAGAAGATTGAAATGACGATCTTCCTCATGGCCGGAGGCTTGTAAGTTGGTGTCGCACACTGTCAACAACGGATCATTGCTAATACCTTCTAGTGTCCTCGGTCCCAGCATCGTCCGCATGGTTATGATTCCTCTGGGTTTCAACAACGCCGACTTCACCTGGACCGCTTCTATAAGCATCATCTGGTGGTAAGCATGTCTCTAAGCCCTGTATACATACTCGATAGCTAACTCTGTTCAGCGTCGTGGAGGCCAACGTTGGTATCATTTGCACCTGTCTACCTTTCCTCAAGGCTTTCATGAAGCACGTGGCGCCGGGCATCGCCAAACGGTTCTACGTCCCGGACGAGCCGCAATCACCCACGGTCTTTGACCGCGCTGCCGCTCTACAGAGTCTGCCGCCAGTTCCTAAGTCAGCACGACGCAAGAGCTTCGGCAGGCAGGCTGTTGGCGACGTTCCGGACGCTGAGATGCGCACGATTCGATCAAATTGGCCGTTGAAGAACGAAGAGCCTTTTGATCACGTCGACTACCAAGATATCAGACTGTCGCAAGATCACAAAACGCCATACCCTGCGAAGCCTGTGGATGTTGCGGAGATGGTGTGAATTGGCATAGGCTGCGTTTATTTGTTGATGATACCCCTCGGTTTAATGCGTGTCGAACTTCTTTGGCCTTAGTTTGAGGGTTGCAAGGGGAGGGTGTTGAGGGGTCAGTGGTGACTCGGGTAAGTTCTGATTTCTCTTGGCTGATTCTGTCATTGTTTGCTGACAAACTTCGTCAAGATGTGATGATGTTGCGGGCACCGACGCACAGGTGTGAAACGAACCGGTGGGATCACTGGCGTCTTACCCACTCCAACTGAGCCTGCGCCGTAACGGACATGTCTATCGTCCGGCTCCTTGGCTCATGGCACTCGCCTGGCAGCCGTGTTACGGTGTACGGTGTATCAAAGCTCTGTGCTTTGCATCTCGACAGACGTAATGTCTGTTGATGTGCTCGGCGATAGCGGAAATGCCGTTACGCGAGGATCTCGGATTGGAGAAGCAAGAGCTCATGTCAATGTAGTCTCGGACTATATTTCCGTGCTTGTGACGGAGGTGTTTGCGAGGATTGGATCTCGAGGGCAAACCGCAAAGTTCTTGAAGGTGGTCAGCATTTAGTTAAGAGCCTAGCCAAAGCATATTAATAATGGAGAACTAAACGTCAACTAAAGAGCAATAAGCTTCAAGTGGGAAGTCCACTCTCTGGCGCCATTCTAGATGATGCTTACTTCAGAGATTTTCCATAAGGCCAACCAATCTCGGCGAGGGACGCACATGCCAACGGCTCATGTCTCCATCGCCGCGGTGGAGACTATTCGGCGCCGAGATCTGCTAAAGGGGTTCGAGATTGCAGTGTTTGCTAGCAAAATTGTACTTCGGCCTCGGCGCTCTCATGAGCGCCGCAAGCCGAAAGGATCTCCATCACCGCCGCCAGAGCGCGCCAAACCCACACCATCTCGCGGCGCGAGCAGTGCTAGTGCACCAAATCACTGGAAACATTGGTCTAGATTGGAAGCAAACTTGACTCAACGACCAGGTTCAGGACCCTCTCGGTCGTAACGGAAACCGATTTCTAATGCGATAATGGCCCCTGACCTATCTAGGGTGACGATGCAGATCTCCCTGCGGCGTCCGGTGCGGACATGGGCCGCTGTCGCTGAGATCTCTTCTCTTTGTCGTTTGGCCTCCGGATCTGATCCTCTTTCTTCTGTTCACCTAGAGAAAGAATCTTGAGAAATACTTAATCCATGTTCATCCCTTGTTGGATAGAGCCATCTTCATCAAGCAATCCCACAGACAACTTCAACAATTTAGCTCTTCAATCAAGACACGAATAAAGCCTCTCAAAGCTATTAGAGCGGCTCGGAACCCACCAGCAAGCCTTTGGCCAAAACAACAGAACTTGCGCCGAAAATGTCGAAGCAACAACAGCTCTCGTCCCCAGCGGACTCCCAAATCACCTTCTCAGACCCGCACCCAGCTGCTGCAGAAGCCAAGGTAGACCAGAACACAACAGATTACTCTTCCGATCACCCTTCAACAATACGGCAGACCGACCCGGAAAAAGGTGGTCCTCCAGCCGGCGGCGCAAAGCCGTCGTGGCCCGGCAGCGATGCGCCGGACGGAGGCGTCACGGCATGGCTTGTAGTTCTTGGCGCTTGGTGCACATCATTCTGCAGTTTCGGATGGGTGAACAGTAAGTAGCAGTTCCCGTTGCGACGTTGAGGCTGAAGTCTATTTTTTCTGCTTTCTTAGGGTTCCGGAAGCTAACAAAGGTTGATCTGCAGGTGTCGGAGCTTTCCAGAAGTATTACCAGAACGATCTGCTTCGCAACTACTCGCCGAGTACCATTTCATGGATTCCTTCTCTCCAAATTTTCTTCATGATGGCAATGGTAATTCTTGATCTCCCCAATGCCTCAAAGTGAACATCTAAACTAATCCCTTCGCAGGGCCCCGTCATCGGCCAGCTGTACGACCACTACGGCCCCCGCTACCTCATCCTCGCCGGCACCATTCTTCACGTCTTCGGTCTCATGATGACCTCTCTCGCAACGCAGTACTGGCAGATCCTCCTAGCACAAGGCGTGTGCTCCGCGATCGGCGTCGCAGCTATCTTCCAGCCGGCGCTGAACACAATCCACGGCTGGTTCAACGTCAAGCGCGGCGCCGCTTTCGGCCTCCTCTCTACCGGCTCTAGCATCGGCGGCATCGTCTTCCCAATCATGGTGACGAGATTGATCAAGTCTCTGGGATACCCCTGGGCAATGCGCATCTGCGCCTTCATGATCCTCGGCCTCCTCATCATCGCAAACCTCACGGTCAAGGCCCTCCACCCACCACGACCCCAGAAGGTATCTATGGATCAGCTCATCCGTCCCTTCAAGGAGTATGAGTTTGTCTGCGTCGTCATCGGCTTCTTCCTCTTCACTTACGGCATTTTCGTGCCCATTAACTACATCCAAGTCCAGGCCCTCGAGGCTGGCATGGACCCCAACCTGGCGCAGTACCTTGTCGCCATCCTCAACGCCGGCAGCCTCTTCGGCCGAATGTTCTCCGGCATCATGGGCGACAAGATTGGAAAGTACAACATCTTCGTGGTGGTGTGCTACCTGACCTCGATCTGGATGCTTGCCCTCTGGATCCCGGCCAATACGGACGGCGCGCTAATCGCCTTTGCTATCCTCTTCGGCTTCTGCTCCGGCGCGTACGTTTCGCTGATTGCACCCCTCATCGCCCAGATCTCGCCCCTCCACGAGATTGGATTCCGTACGGGAATCACGTTCTTCACAAACTCTATTGGCGGTCTGACGACGAACCCTATTAACGGAGCTATTTTGGCTGGCTCTGGTGGGTGGGTCGGCATCAAGGTGTTTTCAGGTGTATTTTGCATTGCAGGAACGACTTTCATCCTTGCGGCGAGAATTCACCGCACCGGATGGAAGGTCTTCACTGCCTTCTAGACTGAACGCATGGCAAGGAAGCATCGTGATAGTACTAATGACGGAATGGGGCGGCAGCATACAATCATTTTTCCATGAAGGAATCTAGCATTAGCATATAGACATTAGTACCCATTTTGTATTTAATACCCTCAACTCCTTTCATACTCTCCTCAGATCCAGCGTCTAGAGAACCCGTATCGATGTATTTACACATCGAAGCCATTATATCAAAGATCAGCAAGTGTTATTAAGACCTGACGTGGCGACGTGTCATACGCAATGCAATCGCCTTGTCAAAGTGATCGCTGTGAAATTCTTACTAATAACTCATGACCAATAGAGTCCTTGAACGCTGTCCACTGCAACCACCGCGGCTATTGAATTCATCGAACTTGATTTACGGTTCAGGAGCAAGTACCTTCTAGCCCGCACCGTGCAAAAGCTTAATCAATCAAAGACCTCGTGGTGTAGAACCCCTAAGGCCTACGTTGAGACGAATCTTGAGTTGGAGAACCATGATCTAAGAATGAAATGGTCTTCAAAGTCAATCGGCCATTCGGTGCCTATATGCACTTAAGATGACGACTGGTTCCAGTCGGGGCCGTCATCGTGGCCACTTTGTCGACCAGATGTAAGGTTTGAACGGACCGAGTCCCGACTGCACAACGGTTCAAGAGTATGCTTGCGTAAGGCAGCATAGCACGAATGGGGCGGCTCGATTGACGTCAAAGTGACTCGAAGATATTCTAGACAGGAGATCTAGATTATGGCATATGTAGTATCGCTGACTTAACACTTTGATTGCTTTGAAGACTGAGATTGACTGGCAAAGTCGATTCCGCGTTCATGACTGCTTCATCATCCGGTTAAATCTCACGATTTTACCCACGTAGTTGGAAGGAAGTTGAGAAACACGATAGACCTCTGGCGTGTTAGGTGTTACAGGCAAGTGATTCAGGAGGGACTGGCTCATTGGTCTTTGGGTACGAATGGCACGCCTTTCACTAACTCTGTCAAGTAGACAGATGTAACTTCGACGGAAATCATCCGACTTTGAGCTTCATAGCTGATTGGTCATAGATGAGCAGCCTGATGGCTCAAGCACGAAGGGTGGGGGATATGAGTACTAAGTATAAGGTTTCGCCAGATAGTTTCCTCTTAATTGATGGAAATGCTTTCGCGTAAATCCCTCAGAGCTTGAACAACAGAATCGTAAATACAGACTTGGCGGGACCGTAGGCTTAGTTCTCAAGTCGCGCTGGTACTGCCCCAAGCAACTATAGTCACATTCTGACATTTTCTTTTGATGCCTACCGCACGATCCCATAAGACCACAATACTGACTGACTCGACAACTACTTCTTGTATGAGCTTGATTCACTCATAGAAATCGCGAGTTTGCACTTGATTGGACACGAATGGGTTGATCAGAGGATTCCCTAGCGGCTACTATGAATCATGAGGAAGAGGAAGAGAAGGCAGAGATTGAAGGTGGTCCCCCACCCGCCGTTCGGCAGCTGTCTGGGGAGGAGTTCCATCCTTCATTCTAGACTCATTTGAGCTTGGACATCGGCCGTCCCCCCTGAACGGCCACTCTTAACTCAACGAACTTCAACTCCGATAACTCCAACCCATGCATCAACTCGGCCCGTACCTAGGTAGCACCGTAATGAAAATTTAAGCCCTCAACACCCTGTGTGATTACAAGTAACAGTAGAGCCAAGGCAGGATGAGAGAGGGGGAGAATGTGACCATTATGTTTCTTGGCGTTGGCATCTGATGCTGACGTGAGCCCTCAAGCACTGCTCGAATCAAAGTTTCGAGTCTTCGCATCTCGGCGACACCGAAAGAATCGCTCCTTCAAGCTGGGTCCACGATCAACGATGTGGAAACAATCCTGATTCTTAGCCTAAACGTTGGAGTTCAGATCTGATGCTCAGTCGCTGTGGTCATATAGTCCGGTGTTGTCAGGGATCAGATCCTCTCACGACTTGCAGCTGCTGATGACCTTGCGACAGACGATGATCCAAGTCCAATTGAAAAGGTCGAGACATCCGTGACTCTGTCGGAAAAAGCTTTTCCAGAGACATCAACCTTCTTTATCACTCGTTATCTTCTCGTTCAACCCGCGTCGGGTCTACAATGCGACTCTTACATAATGTTGGGTCCTTAGCCGGAGTTCTCCCCATGGCGGGATGGTCGTTCGCCCAGCAAAGAGCCTCTTCTGCGCATTACATGGTAAGCAAACAGAACATACCCTTATATCCACCTTCCCCCTCAGATGTAACAATCAGACTAACCTTTGTCAGCTTGGCACAATCACCGCGGAGCATGCAAGAAAGGACATTGAGGCAGCAAAGGCCACAGGGTGAGCGCAGTCATACGACGAAAAATTTTTCAACCAGCTGACCAAGCATCCAAGTTTTGCTGGCTTTGCTCTCAACGTTGGTGACCCAGCGGCTTCCTTCATCGATGGATCTTTGAGCTTGCTCTTCGACGCGGCAGAATCTGTGGGCGGTTTTGGCTTATACATCTCTATGGATGTATGGGCTTCAGGCGATGCGTGTTTTCATGGCATAGATTGCTGCGATGGAGTGAGTCGACTCTAGCAATTTCATCATGAAGCACTATCGCGAAGTCAAAACCACAACTGACAACAAACTCAACCCTATGGACTACGCTTGGATCTCTCAAAAGTATAAGGGACGGCCATCCTAGTATCAGTGGAATGGCATGCCTGTGATCAGCAGTTAGTTTACAAACCTAGTCCTCCAATTAATGATGACGAAACTAACTGGATCATGAAGCTTTTTCTGCGGCGTATATCGAGGCACCAGCTTTGGAATCGTGGAAAGAGAGTCTGGCGAACGAAATGTTCTTCATTCCCGACTTTGACGCTACCTTGGGATACTACGAAGCAGCTGATGGCTGGCGATAGGCTGTTTAATCTTTTCGACTGGAGTCAAGTGCTCGAAGCTAACTATCGTACGAGGGATTACTGGTGTGATTTGGTCGACGGAGCCTTCAGCTGGGAGTCAGCTTGGCCTGAGCGGGAAGGCTACGGCGGCAAGATTGCTGGCGATGTTTCGCCAGACTTCTTGACGGCTGCCGCTGCACACAACCACAGCAAGCTCTACATGGTCCCTTTGAGTCCCATACAGTACAAGAACTCTTACAAGACCAACGTCTACCGCCCAGGTCAACACGCTTTGCCAAAGCGAATGGAGTTGATTCTCGATACGGTCAAGCAAGCAGACTTTGTCCAGTTCCTGACGTGGAACGATGGACCAGAGTCACTACATTGCTGAACTTTGGCCTGAACAGAACAGCGATGCACAGACATGGTTTTAAATGAATCAGGAGCGATTCGACCATACTTGTTGGCAGCCGCTAGCTGCATCTTTCAACCACGCCTTCAAGAACCGTCTCGACGCGAACAGCATGACACCCCAGAACGGCGCTGTTGCTGTGGGTGCTATGTGGCATCGATCGATGCTTGACGGAGTCACTTGTAACGCCGCCGTGCAAACGGTCTATACGGAGAAGCCTTCCGGATACGACGACTGGAGCCTCTCCAATCAGGCTTTCTAGAGCATCGTTCTCAAGCCTGGACTCGAGCCAGGATACACCATGGTCATTCATTCCGGAGATGAGGACAATACCATGGCACTCAGCTCTGGTATCAACTACAACAACGGTGCCGGGAACATCAAGGCTGGCGTTCAGTCAATGGAGATCAAAGATCCCTCGGGGAGGACGATCATGACAGCTAGATCCAAGTACTGCGTCTCTTCCGGCTGTCCTCAAGGCATTTACAACATGAATTACTTGGTCTCTCCGTTCGAAGACGGAACAAACGACGCGGATTGCAAGTCAATTGGAGCTCAAGCCATGCCAATTACTTCGGATTTGGATGCTCCCGTTTGCGGGGATGACAAAAATGATTGGACTTGCATCATCTGCGATACCACGAAGGTTACACTACTTACACCAGCCTCCGAAGAGTGGTCAATGGGAAAGACGGACGTCGGTCTTGAGGACTTTGCGGCCTTGTGGAAGGGAAAAACGGTTCAACTACTACCGCGCTTACGAGTCGAATTGGTCTTCGGCTACGTCTACGTACTTCTCTTTCGACACCGACTTCCCATGTGGAAAAGGTCCGCTGATAACTTCTGCGTGCGACTTAGACGTCCCTTGCAATAGAGGAAACTATTGGCCTCTGGCTGGCTCCTTCATTCTCATCTCCATGAGCAGGATCAACACCCTTTACAATGCCTGGCTTAGTGCCGTAGCTGAAGCCACCAGCAATGCTCAGGACATGAAGAACACCGTAAGTCCTCCCAGCCAATCTAGCATTGCATCTTTGTCAGCTAACCTGATGGTTACTAGTTCATTGACACCTTTGCCTATGACCCTTCCAAGGACGTTGCAACACAATTGAACTCGTGGTCCCTGAGCCAAGTCTTTGACGTGGTAGGCGGTCAGGCTTTTAGCGGACTCTCGCGAATCATTGGCGAAAGCGAGGCAGCCGAAGGTGCCTAGACCGAAATGTATGGCCTAGCGGTTGAGAGATCAACAAGCAACTGGGAAAGGCCGAGGAGAACAAGATGACGACAGTCAGCGACTTGGCGAAGATGATCAACATGATGAACGACATCCAGACAACTACACTGTACGCCACTATGGCAGCCTACTTCAACGAGGAAGACCCGTCGTTCTTCAATTCGCAGGTTAGGGGTGGCATCTGGCTCAAGCCGGCTGCGGAGAGCTTCACTTCCCTCAATCTCACCAACACGATGAGGCAGATTTTCTATGGCGGCCTCATTCAGCAATCATGGAACGCCAACCCTACAATGAATCCTGTTGTGGTGATGGCCGACGGCGAAGATGCAATCACCAACCCGTTTGCTTGGAAGGGTGGTTCGAACGGCCATCCGGAGACCTTGGACAAGAGTGATGTCGATGCAAGGCGTCACCTTGACGAGGGCAAGACATTCTTCCTCGTTGGAGTTACCAACTGTCAGAACTGGTAGACTGACGACGGTATCCCCGACTACGTTTGCAACGAGGATGCATTCCAAGGACTACCTGGCATCTCCGCGCTCGATGGTGAATCTTCGGATTGGGAATCCCTTGCTGCGACCGACGTTATCATCAGCACATACTCAGCCTACAAGTCGAATGGCAATGCCAACGGATACAACATCTCAGAGAGCAACGATAACAAGCAGAAGGATTCAAATGGCAACAAACAGGCGACACTGTACCCGGAGGGCGTCAGAACTCCCGGAGTCTTCTCCATCCCCGTCTGCGACTACGAGACTGCCTATAGGAACTTTGTGGCTGTTGGAGGATGGTATCATGGTCCGTACGACAAGTGCGAAAACTACCCTTGCTGTTCTTGTGAAGAGCTTGGAATGAAGTGCGACGACTAGCTTCGTGGCCGCACAGTAAGCGGATTGAATAATTCCCTCAGCCTTCAGGATTCATGTGTGGGTGGCACTTTGTCACGTCTACCTTCTCGTATATTACACCTGGCCATTCATCATAACCAATGCTTTGCCTAGTGGTTCCCAACTTCCCATCATTTCGTGTTGCCAAGATTATGTATGGGCTGTTTGCATCGCGCTAAACCAAGCCGTACGCACCGAGAAGTGCCCTACAGTCCTAGCATGATCTCAAAATTGCCGAGGCCATTCACATTAACCTCGTCGACTCAAGATTCGGGCTATGGGCCGGCTTTGCGACTGGTTTGGTGGGAGTCGGGCATCGAGTCCGACCTTCCGGCCGAGTTGGTCCGGGCTGGCCGGGCCCTTTGTGAATCTCAAGTTGCGAACGACTAACAAAACGCCCCATTGGTGGAACCTGCCTCGGACATGGAGCTCTGATGCACTCTGGCTGAACCTCATTTACATCTGACGGCGGATAGCTCCGTGATCTGCATTTGTTCCCCGAATATCTGTGTGGACAACGTCAACAGGTAGGTGAACGTGATGATGTGCTGCGAGTCCTCCAAGCGGACTTGCCAGCACAGGGACCAGTGATCCACGCGTACGACATGGAAACGAGAAAAGGGGCTTCAACTTGGCTACATCATACATATCCTCTTGCCCGTCTCGGAGACACGGATGAGCCGAAGATGGGAAGGGGTGATGGCATCTTAAACCTGGCTACTCGAATTTAGGATAACCCCTACGGTATAAAGAGTCTTTCAAGATCCCTTCCAAGATCCCTTCCCTCACCAACTCTTGACAACACATGTGGACATTTCATGAGCTGGACTATATCACCTAAGAAGCCCATCATAGCTATGATTTTGTCATTCTACAGTTTTCAATCACTGCTGGTACTTGGTGTTCTAGCGACTCAAGGTGCTGTTGCAGCATACCCAGGCTTTGCTGGTCTGAAGACTCTTTTCACGTTGTAAGTTGAAACTTTTTGAAACAGGCGATGCTTCTCAGGCTCATGCAAACTGCAGTGGGGATTCTTTTACCAGGACTGGATTCTATGTCACTCGCGATCAGCCCTCCATTGCCAATCCCCTTGGTAATCCAACGTACCCGGGCCCGACCAGTGCAAATGGAGAAAACTGGATCCAATACTTGACCACCAAACATAATGCGTCTCTGCTATTGACATACAACTTCGCGACAAGCGGTGCTACTGTCGACAACAGCCTCGTGGCGTCTAGCATCGACGTTGTGAGTCAACTTGAAAATGGGTTCATCCCCAATTATACCGGGACAAACCAGACTTGGGATGCCGAGTCTACCTTGTTCGGGTTCTTCATCGGAATCAACGATATCGGGAAGTCTTATACCAATGGCAACTCCACGGACCTTCACCCGATGATCTTTAACAAGTACGAGAAATTGGTGGAAGAAGTCTACGAGGCGGGTGCTCGGAACTTCCTGTTCCTCAATGTACCGCCGCTTGAACGGATGCCGAGAACAACTCAATCCAGCGCCGCTGGAGAGCGTATTCCTCTTGAGAAAGCCGCGGTAGAAGACTGGAATGAGCGTCTTGGAGCATTTGTTAGCGACTTGCGAGAGGCTCACGGAGATGTGACTGTGTTTCAGTACGACACCTATGGACTGTTTGACAGAGTCATGGATACACCCGAACGTTACAAAGAGACGGCAGTCTACAAGAACACGACAACTTACTGTTCGGCATACCAAAAGTGAGTCAGAAGTCTCGAGTCCGTATTCAGCGAAAGGGAAAATTGACTAACACCCGGCCTAGTGGGACGCCTGAGCCAGACACTAAATGGGACAACTGCACCTATGCTGCCAATGAGTATATGTGGATTAATAGTCTACATCCGACATCGCCCGTTCACTTGGCACTGGCAAGGAGTATATCAAGGGCCTTGGCTTGATCTCAAAAGCTCACGCCTGACAATTTCAGACATACATGTCCTTATGTACCAGAGCTGCAAAACACTTGTACATGTACCTAGTCTTCATCATAGAACACAAATGCTCTGACCTCAATGCTCGCTCTTGGCTCACCAGCGCCTTCTGGCAAGTCAGTATCCTTGAAAGCACAGTGAGGCACTCTTCTGGGAACACCAGGTTTCGTGCTCGAGTCCACTTGCTTGAAGAACAGCACGTCATCAACCTGTTGTTGGTCTTTGAAATACCACTTGTGCTGCGAAGCCGTCGGCGGGCGAACTTCGACGGCTTCAGTGTCGTGGTCCGGGAATCGTACGGGCACAAAAACCAAGTCCGAGTCTGGTATAGTCCGGGCATCTGACACCGCGAATGGGTCTCGAGTTATCGGGCGAATGGGTCGCCACATCTGCGGACCTTTGTCAGCTAATCTGGGTTTTGAGCGAGGACCAGAGATTACTTGCGTTGATAATCTGATATCGGGGTTTCTTGAGCAATTCTTCTGCTCTTTCCTTCAGCCATCTTTCGGCGACCCCTTCAGCTGCCTTGAATGACTGGTCCACATGAACTCCATACAACGGCGCCGGACCCTTCGGGCCTTCGCCGTCTTTGGGACCGCGACGAATGATGTGTGTCATGATATGAACCAGGCAGGGCTTGGGCCTATGCGTGTCAGCATCATGCTAGACTTGTGATATTTTGGGCGGGCAGAAAAAGCTTTACAGAAAGTCGCTCACATGTTCTCGGTCTCGGATAGGACTCTGTAGCACAGTTTCTCCATCTCAGGGTAGTTTACCCGCTTAATTTCCTCGTCATCATCCCAGTTCGTCAATTGGCTTTGATGCTTGACATAGTGAAAACCTTGAACGTCGAGAGTGAAGTCATTCTCTCTGCCAGTGATATCGGTGATTGTTGTTGGGATCTCGACTTTGGGTTGAGGCTTGCCGGGTTCCGGACTTTTGCACCACGATTTAGCTTTCCAACAAATTAAGTCGGAATTGGCATCTTACCCTCCAATAATCATAGGCACCAAAGGTACGCCCGGATCATCAAAATATTTGATCTTTGTATGTACTTGACGTCCCTGTTGTCCCATTTTGACCGTTGTTGAAGCGTCCGATATAGTCTTCCGAGAATCTTGCGAGTACCTCTCAGCCGGCCTCGAGAAAAGAGGATTTCTGCTGGTTTTGAAAAAAGCTCATGGCATTGTATACATGGGCATATCTCTTTATCTGTTCTATCGCCGCGAGTCAGGATCATGGGGTAAACAGAGTGCGGCAACATGGCCACCCCGGCTGGTAGGAGGAGAACATGCATCAATCCCCATTTCGATAGGCAGTCCTAAGATCTCCTGCCTTGGTGGAGATGACTCCAACCATTCAGTGCTGTCTCAGAACCGGAAAGACGGTGGTTCAGGCAATGAATAATGTTATCAAGGCCTAGCCGGAGCTTTGAGCGAGTATTCGGACTCATAATCGTGTAAAGTCCTATTTGTTTCACGATGCCAAGAGCTGACGTTCGGTTCCAGAAGCTTGGCTTAGAAAGCGAGTCCAGCGTTCGCAGCGGGCGGCCCGCTGCCCCTCTGTTTGTAGCCTCTAGTCCGGTGTGGCAGCCGAAAATGCGCATGAATCGCGAAGGTTTGCAGGGAGTCAAGCAGACGACCACACAAATTCTGAATTGGTCTTATCTCTCAGCGATCCGCATGGGGCTCGTCTGATGACATGTCCTTCAAACTGGGCCATTCCCTGTAGCGTCGCAGTTATTCAGAGTACTCGGCCATGGTTCGTTACTGGGTTCTTTGTTACTCGACTTGATGAAAGAAATCAAGCGTTGCTTGTCTGATTGTTGTCTTTGCAATCGCGGCAGTTCCTTGGTAATTATTCCTCTAGGCACTGATTCAGCAGCGGGACTACCCGAAGACGCCATCCCGAGATCAACAAATCAAAGGGGTTGGATGATCATTGAGGGCATCCAACCCAAGCCAATGAACCACGTGGAACGTTGCATGGCTATAAAGCAGTGGTAATGGAAGATTTGGTCCACAGCAAACTTGAACACGTCACTGACTGTAGACCAATGGGACCTAGGCTCAAGTTTGCAATGCTTCAAGCATTTCGCAGAGTAATGAATATTTGGTAATATTGTGAGGTAGAGGCTCGCGTTAAGTATCTATGAGATGAAGAAGCTCAGAGACGGATAAGAAATACTGATACGTCGGACCTTTGATTGATGAAGTACAGATGGTGCTCATCTTCACAAAGACACGACAATCTTCTTGGCCGACACTCCTTTGTAGCTGACTTCGAATGCCTGTTGTATGCATTCCAAGCCCTTGCCAACAACATACGGCTTGGGAGCCGGGATAAACTTGCCCTGGGCCAGTGCTTGAGGTAGAAAGTCTCGGTAAATCGCCGCACCGACCTCGTTGGCCATGAGATCGCTTCCCCAGATGAACTTGGTTCTCACACCGCTCGTCTTGCACTTGAATGTCGCGGTTGCGCTCTCGGAAGCCATTGCCCACAGCAACGAAACAGTTTCCGAGACGTTTGTGGGCGGTCTACCAGGTCCGGCGACACTGGCTTGCGCGACAAACTTGCGGCCCTTGCAAGCGGCCACGATATTGATACATGGGTTCAGGGACCCCGCCCCGATCGCGATTGCGCCAGCAGACTTCCGTTTCTGGAATGCCTTGATGATGTCTTGAACAACAGCCGGACTGCGATAATCGAAAACTTCGGCGGCACCGAGAGACTTGACATAGTCAAAGTTCTTCGGGGATGCTGTCACAAGGACTTCGTAACCAGCTCCAGCGGCAAGCTGAATGGCGTTGGACCCTACGCTCGTCGAGCCGCCCCAGACCAAAAACGTCTCCCCAGTGGATTTTGCGGAGACGTCTGGGTATTGAAGACCGACAAAGTCCTTCATGAAGAGACCGCAGGCGGCAGTCGAAGCACCCAAAGGTATTACACAGGCCTCCTCAAATGTCATTGAGTCGGGAATTTGGGAAGTCAGGTCGGCTCGCAATACAACGTATTCTTGAAAACCGCCTTCTGATGACTTATTGCTCCGCTTGTCGAGGCCCACGGCGTGGCCAACAACACGGCCGCCGATCCTGAACCGGTCCTGAGCACCTGGGCCGACTTCGACTATATTGCCAGAGACGTCGTTGCCGAGGATGCAGGGGTACTTGACCCAGTCGTAGAGTATGTCGCCGGTTTCTTGCTTGAACCAGTCGACTGGGTTGATGGCTACAGCTCTATTCCGAATCACAATCTCATTCTGGCCTGCTGGAGTGTATGGGGCTGACCGAACCTGCAAAGGCTTGGCCTTTTTAGCTGTCAGCCAAGCGGCTTGATTGATAGGCATTGTGAGAGTATGGAATTACGAGAGACTAGGGCTTTCTGGAAGAAGAAGGTTCAGTGAGGTGATGAATAGATAAGCTGCTATGCTTCTAACAAGCAAGTATTAACAAATACTGTCGGTTTCACGACGTATTTGTGGTGTTTCGTTCACGTTGGGTATTTATACATCTCAAAATTGGGACCCTCGGCTAACCTCGATGTTTTGATGTCCAGACGGAATTTAGGTATCTCCAGACTGCACGCATCATTGACGACGTCGTGAATCGCATCTCAAGTTGAAGGACTTCACGATCTCGTCCCAGAGACAATTTGTTTCTCATCTGGCGCAGGATGTTTCCAAAACAGGTCTAGCGCTTGTCTGCCACGATGTTGCGGTGCATGCCGGCAACGGTTTGTGGGTGATGGATTCCTGGGGGCGTCCGGCGCTAGCTCTACATCGTATCCCAGCTCCCCCTTTTGTTCCCTCAGCTTACTCTGATGTCATGAGGACACCCTCAGCTGATTAAAGGGCCTGGAACGGATACATGTCTCTCCGCTACGGCCAGGCGAAACAGGCCCTCCAATGCTTATATGAGGATCACCAAGGAACCCTCACCGTAACGCTAATCCGCATCATCACTCCGACGGAATTTGCAGGAGTTCCCCGCTGCCGGGTCCGTGTGGATCTCGGAGTTTATGACTAGGAAACCATACGCTTCGGCCGGCGTTCGGTATCGACCCCCGAGGGAGCGTGAGATGCGGGTACATAAAGTACCGATAATCATCAGCGCGCATATATCTTTGAATTTTTGAGCAATCATTTGCCAAGATGGGATGCTTTTTAGACAATTACACATTTATATCGTATTACTTCATTAATCTGGTCGGACTTGCGGTCACATCGGCCATCCCGCTATTCCATGCGGATCTCCTCGACCTCCCAAGTTCTCTCTACTAGAATGCCAAACTCGCCCAAGAAATTAGCGGCTCCCTCGGACATAGAGATACTGTGATTGCGGGACGTCGTGACCATGGTACTTGTCGCACCATTTTGCAGATTCAATCCCGACTGGTCACCTTGGCTACCGCCCGTTGAGCTTCGGAGGAACTTCTCCTTAGTGAACACCTCAAAGACCTTGCTCAAAGAGCTTGTAGATCTCGGGGATCCATGATTGCCAAGAGCGCTGTTTGTTCCTGTGTGAGGCCATCTGCCGTGTATCAAATCCACTTCGCTGCCGTTAGATCGAGTGTTGAACTGTTGTGTAGTATTCGTCTGCGATCCGACGGTCACCATGGCGGACTGTCGCCGAGCCATCTCTTGGTGTCTTTGGAATAGTTCGTTTACTTTTCGATCCAGGAGCTGACGAATGGTTGCTAGAGATGCCGTGGTGACGCCAACGCCCAACTCCGCGATCGTCCAGCACGCTGTACTCATGTACCCTTTTGGCGGTGCGTGTGTCAAACTCCAAATACGACCAGCCGACATGATGGGAACTCTGCAGGCATGTTAGTCAAGGCTGCTCTACATAGTAACCGCAAAAGATGCCGCCTGCTGGGATGACTCACAATGCGCCAATGCCGAATACACCCAACGCCGCCCAACGTTGACTGCTGTTCAGCTTCAAACTCCAAAGAGTAGGAAGGGGCAGGAAGAGAACGATCACATCGGTCACCAATGTTCCTGTCGCATTGAAGTACGTCGACAGCACGCTCGGGAGACACTTGGCGGTCCGTACACTGTGATCCCAGTTGGCTTCTATCGGCAAGCAGATCAGGATCTGGAGCAAGATCTGCGCCAAAGTCCAAGCTGCGACAAAGATGATGGCGCCAACGTATACTCTTCTCATGATGCGCACGTTTCGGAAGATGTGATAGAACTGAAATAGGAAAGTCATCTTCAAGGCGGCCATGGCGATGTTGTATGTAATCCCGACGGCATAAGGGATCTACCGACTTTGTCAATATGACGAAGCGCCAAAGTCAACAGTAGAGGGCTTACTTTTGATCCTTCATTATTGGCTGTGACCATGGCCAGCATGGTAGGTAGATAAACCTTGGTGAAAACACTTTGCATGATGTTGACAGCAATAGTGCTGAACTATGCATCTTGTGAGTTGGCTTGCTTCTTGTGGCGGGGCAGACTTAATCGTACCAGAGCGAGTAGAGCCCATGCATCATCTATGCGGACTTGCTTTGTAATGAAATAACGCGTGTAGAGTCGAGCGATCACAGAGGCAGTTGTGATAATCGTAATGATGGCGCCGAATGCGATCGTTGCGTTGGCTTGGCTGTCGCTGTAGACAAAATCCGTCTGAGCCTGGGGCGCATCCCCTTCCGGCGTCAACGGCACCGATCCATCGGCGGACAACGGCGGCGGTGCGCTCATTTTCTCAGGCGGAGACGACAAGCTGAATGCCGCTCGTATGAATCAAGAGCATACCCATAGGTTTCTGAACCGACATACAAGTCCCATTTCTCAATGAAGGATGAGTTGAATGTGGATGCGGAGCTGCAGCGCAGCGAAGAGCAAAAGTGGTGAAAACAAGCTCTTTTGACTGAATTGGTCTAACTGAGTACGGGTGTTATTTTCAACTTCCTTAAACAAGCGAGCAAATGCAGGCTAGACTTGAGGAGGCAGGACGCACTTTAGTGAAACAAGGAGGCAGCATGTTTAGACCAAAAAGTGCTTTCAACGGGTGTTGGTAGCCGTGATTGCAAGGCTATTTTGTGGGATTGACGGAAAGGTTGCTTAATTCGGGAACTCAACGCCGGGACTTGGTAACCAAGTCGAACTCACCCTCGCCCTCTTTTGTGCATCCAGGGGTTTATAGTGTCAAATTTCTGCCGGCTGATGGAGTCTACCAATACCGTTGGCCTACCGGACCCTTGTATACAGGGTAAGTGATGATTTCGACTCGTGCAAGAGTCTAAAATGGCCCTATGGGGAATCCAATCTGCTGCAGATACCGGATCACTGTCCTCAATTTCGACTGTGGCCGAGCAGACCCTCCCCACTGAAAGTGGTGGCATGACACTACAGAAATACGAAAACCTAGCCGCTTAAGCCGACCCTTGATTATACTATGGAGGAATAGAAGACATGGAAGGGTTGAAGGGTAGGATTGTCAAGTGTCAGTGTATCACACTTTTGCGATGGCGACAGACCATCACACCTCCTGAAGTTATGTGACCTTTGCCACATCTGTCAACCCAACCATTTGGCACCTTTCAAAGATTATATCGTCGTCCGCGGTGCGTTGATCTATCGCATTTCGAAACAGTAGATCGCCCGAGAAGAGGCCTGTGCGGAAACGCCTTCCACTCGTGCCACTCAAGCCCCGGGCACTAAATTTCGTGCATCGCCTTGTTTGGCCTCGTGGCGCTCGAACTCAACGTCCAAACATAACCGATGGCATGGGTCATCCAAAGGTGAAATAGTGGAAGATCTGCGCGCCTTCAGATCATCACATCACATCACCCTGGTTCCGATCCAAACAACGCAGTGAACTCTGCGACGAACGGCCACGATGCCCCTCCGCAGATCGCACGTCCGTGGGCACAAAAGGCCCCGGGCTGGACTTTGAGTGGGTTTTGTGTCGCTCGCAGAAGAATAGGAGAGTTTTGTGAGAGGAGGAGAGTAGGTGTGCTGAAAGCACCCGCAAATATCGACTTCGGTCCATCCATGTCTGTTCGGGCATCATGGATTCCGTTAACAGATGGAAAACTCCTCTGTAGAACACAGTGGCATAAATGGCCCGTTTTTGTGATCGAGGACATGGATGTGCGTGATGTGGAAGTAGCAAACATTTCTGGCTGGTTTGCAAATAATACCTCAAGATCGCCATATCAATCGCGCCACGTCCACAATTGCCGGGACATTATTACACCATAATGAGCCGCAGTGTCAAACCTTTGGCAGAATTTTCCTCATAACTTCGAACATGAGGCAGGGACAGTAGAGATTCTAGCCCCATTACTTACAATACTGCTCTCTGGTCCGAAAAGACGGACTGTTGCTCGCATGTTCGGCACGAAATTCTGCTCTGGTGGGCATCAGCCAAACACCCACATTTCCCACAACGACCGCCACTATCCGGCTCAGAGGACCGAGTACTCCGGTCCTCGCTGTGTCTTTGAAGAGAGTGGGGTACCGGGTTGGTTGAGAGGTTTGTGGACAGTGGAGGCCAAACATAAAGCTGTGCCACCGACGCACTTGTTCGCTCATGTTCTGGATACTAGGTTCTCATTCACCTGTTTGCCCCCTATCTCCACGACGCGTCCATCTACCTGTCGATATGACAGATCGGCGAGTCTCTATGCTGTCCTTTGTAGCGAAAACTTGAAAGACACATCGATGTCTCCGATACGCGCGTCTCGAAATGCTTACGATACTAATTCCCCAGGCAACGCCTACCTTACTTTACACATAACGCATTTCGATCTCTCCAGTCCACCAGCTTCCGATGACCCAGTTCCACGGCATATGAACTATCAGAAAGATGTTCTTACGAGACAAGAGGCACACATATGAATGCTAAAACGAGTCGGAACCAAAAGAAAAATAGTTCGGTTTACTAAGGTTCAAATTCATGTGAAGTCTGACCCGAGCATGATCCCTCGGTAGCCCCTTCCCCTTGGCAAGTTCCAAAATCCATCCGCAGACACTTCCCTAAACCGAGCAGACACTTCCCGCCCACCCCATGATGACTGAAGCCTACCATAGACAAATACTGACTCGGTCATGAATCTGAACCCCGTTTCTCCAACAGCCACGTCGTGTTGATTTACAAGTTAAAGGTTGTAGTTGTATTTGAACACAAGCCCGCTCATCCCACACTGCGAATTCCGCATAGTACTGTCCGTCAGGATAGAACCAGATGTCTCGATGGTCTTTTGGTGTTTCTATACACCACAGCAGTAACATCGGGCTCTAGGAGGATGCCAATAATGTCACCAACACAAGCAGGCTCTAGGTTGGCATAGGTCCTGTTGGTAAAGTCGTCGGTAAAGCTGAAGGGTTTGCGGCAAATGAGGCCGAAGACGTAGGTGTTGGCAACACAGATGGCGGTGCAGGTTGCGATTCCTTGTATAGCACCTGAGCTATTGCAAAGTTCGACCAGCTCCTGTGCCGTAGTTTGAGTGGATGGATTCTCAGTCACCAACTGGTTTCCGTGAGAGTAGGCGAATGTGCCCAGACTGTTGGGCGGGTATGCGGCTTTAACAAAGGATTGAAACACAGCAGCAGCGACGGAAAGGGTGGAGATCTGCATTTTCATGATAGTGTGCCTTGGGTTCTCAAATTTTGTGGATTGTAGTTGATCTGCTTTGAGACAGGTTCATGATGACTGGAACCATAGGGAGGTGATTATCAGTTCTCAAAAAGAGGTTGAAGTACGGTGAGAAGCCGAGATGGCTTTGTGACCAATATTGACTAGCTGGATCCTTTAATGGGCTTGTGCATCTTGGTTTTTTGATCTCTTTGTCTGGATTAGCAGGGCGTCATGTCCGTTGCATAAGTCCCTGCTATGCAGTCTATTATGCAATAGGCAACCTCAACTCCAGCCTTGCTCTTGTGTTGACCTGCAAGATATAGGCCGATGGTGCACCTAGCACTGAAGGTTCTGTCTGGAGGTTGCAGGAAGCGACTTCCCCTCTTCCAATCCCCAGAACAGATACGCCAGACCTAAGCTTGTAGTTTTCGCTCTGGAATGTCACTGGCACCATAAGAGAAGATTCGTGTACTTCCTAAGGGCTCTTTGCACTCTTAATCTAAAGGAAAAAAGTACATCATCGTGCCGGAGCGCCCCTTAGCATACTACGGGTGGTGCCGCTGCTTGCATTGAACCAAGTCGAGTACGAACAGAGGAATGGTCTGGAGCCACATTGGATGGCTATTAGCGGTGCTCCCGTGATCTTTACCATATTTTTTGCTTCCCTGTCTAGACCTTACGTAGATAAGGCATGTGTAAATAAGGTAGCAAAGACCTTGTCAGATCTGGTCCGCCTGAACATCTTCTCGGAAGAAGATTATAGACTTGAGATGGAGCAAGAGAGGGGCCAGACGGTATCAACTAGACAGATTCACCTCCATAGGCAATACCAAGTCTACAATAAGCAGTGACATTGGGCCAGTCACATCAACGGAACGTTCATGTCACTGCCTGCTGTGAGAAACTGAGCTGGCTGCATTGAAATCGATACCATTTGAGCAATCAAGATTGGAAGTAGCAGAGCCAAAATGCTGTGATGAACAAGCACATGTACCTTCATGGTAAGACCATGATGCATGTCTTTCTGGTTGCTTTTGTGCCTTGAAGGATGAGTCTTACGGGGGTGTCTCATTTACTTCATGTACCTTACTGACAAAGGTCATCAAGTGAGGCACAGGCTTACTTGATCAGAGCCGAAGGATGTTCGCCTGCACTTCGGATCCTTACGAGGTGTTACCTAGGGTACTTACCATACTGAGATGACGGGTGCTTGTATAACTGAATCAGAAAGCCAAACGAATCACGGAGATGATGGGAAGTTCAACTTGATCATAACATATTTTTCTTATGTGCTACCGGGTTATCGGCTGGCTTTGGATACAAGGCCGGATGGCCAACTATAAACTACTATCTCCAAGAAAAAAAACTGGGTGCCATCCAGTCACACCTTAGCTTTGAAGACTTCTTGGTCTTCATGTATACAATGTCTAGATCTTTAGACACGACGGAGCGCCTTGGAGCTGCGTCTTGTAGCGGAGCTCACGCACTGAGAGTACCACTCGTTTTGAACAACGCAAGACGTTCCAGCGACGCAAACGGTGGCACCAGTCCAGCCCTTTCCACCACACTGGTGGTAGTTCTGAACGATAGCCGACTCGGTGGAGTTTCCAGCAGCGGTCTGCTGGCAGGATGCTCTCTTGGTGGAAGTGTGAGTGCTGGGAGTGCTAGGAGTAGGCTTGGCCTTTGAGGTGTGAGCAGCCTTGGTCTTGGAAGACTGAGCAGCCTTCGAGGAGTGAGCGGCCTTAGTGGTGTGGGAAGCAGGGGCCTTGGAAGTGTGATTGGCGCCAGAGCTGGGAGTCGCGACAGCAGTAGGTGTGACCTTGGGAGTCGAGGGGGCCTTGACAGTGACCTTGGCGCTCTGAGTCGCGGCAATAACAGAGGTAGCCTTGCGGGTAGAAGTGGCAACAGTGGTAGGGGTAGCACCGGAGCCGGAGCCGCCAAGCTTAGCGGGACCGGCGTTGCCAACGACAAGGCTGGCGACGGTGTCGGCAGCAACGGGCTTGACGAGGTATCCGCTAAGCTTCGCGAAGGTGGACAGAACGTTAGTCTGGGCCAAAGCCTTGAACTGGCCACTCTTGGAGTCGACGCTGTTGATCACGCAAGCACGGCCAATCTTGGAGGAGCAGGCAGCAGCAGACTTGGCGTCAGGGGCGTTGAAGCTGTTTGAGAAGACCTGGCCGACGTAAGGCTGCTTCACGTTCTCGAATGCGTTACCCTCAATGAGAGCAAGGGTGGTAGTGAACAGCTCGAAAGTGTGGCCCTGAACGTTCTGGAAGAAGTTGTTGGTAGCGTGGAAGGTACCCTTGGGACCGAGCTTGGGGGAACGGCCAGAGACGTTGACGTAGTAGTTTCTGTCGATGGTGATCTGGTCTCCGTCACCAAGATGCATCTCGGTCCAGTAGTGGTTGCCGTTGCAGGTGGTTGAAGCCGGGGTGGCTCCATCGAAGTAGTTGTTGGAAATGGTGACGCGGGAACCGGCGAAGTGGGTGACGATAAACTGACGGCCAATCTTGGAGATTCTGTTGTGGTCAATCCAGACACCGTCGTTGCCGCCCTGCAAGTCGATGGCATCACCTCCCCAGACAACGCTAGGGTTCAAGTTCGTGATCTCGATGCCTTGAATGATAACGTTCTTGGCGTTGGTCTTGACACGAAGGCCCTTGCCGTTGAGTATTCCCTTGCCCTTGGAGCCGAGAATGCTCTTGTTGCTGCCTACGATGAGGGGCTCGGTAGCAGCGAGGTCGTAGCTGACGGTGGTGGCAACGTTATCGCTGGTGCCGCAGGAGAGGTCTCCAAGAAAGAGCTGGCCGCCGTTGGCAACTGTGCAGCTCTTACGGCTGCAGCCCTTGCCCTTGGCAGAGGTGCCTGTGAAGTCGTACTCCTTGTCGACGATGATGGTACGGGGGGTATCGTCGGCAAGCCACTGAGTGAGTTCGTCGACGGAGGAGGGGATGGCAGCGGCTGCGTTACCACCACCAGTAACACCCTTGGCGAAGCCGTAAGCCGTGCCAACGACAGACTGGGCAGACGCCGACGTCGCGGCCGCGGCAGCCAAAACGGCGGTTGCTGAGAAACGCATGTTGTTCAAGAGCAGAAAAAGAATGTAATGTTTGATAAAAGAATGGACGCGTGAAATCGATCTGAAAGAGTGACCAAATCACGCCGGCGTGAAGCTGAGTTGTAGTTGAAGTTGATGATGCAGAATGTACAGAAAGAACGACTTGGGAGGAGACAAGAGAGGCAGAACAAGATTGAGGGCAGCCGTTTCAACGTAGTATCTTATACTTCAGTTGTTTCTTACCAAAGTGAGGCTCATGCAGGAACCACTATGGAGTAGAGGGTCCGGGTTGTTAGGCAAAGCCCACGATTGGGCGCTTCTTACGAACTATTCCAGATGTAATTGCCAAGATATTGGGGAGAGCGGGCAAGTGGACACGATCATTGTGATGGCCAAGGTCCTGACACGAGTTTGCACCGCGCGCTCATTAGCGCGGTGATTAGTCCACTCATTCTCATCGGCCGAGATCCGTCCTGTCATCTTAGGGCTGTTGAGTTGCATCGTGACGTGTGCCCCTTTCATGATGGCGAAGATGGGGAGCAGAGGCCAACAGCGGAGCTAACCGCGATGGGCACGTTCCTGAGTCTGACCAACCCGGTGCTACTATCACTTATCACGGACCTCGCGGATGATGACCATCGTGTTTCTCCGCGGAATTCAGCGAAGTCTCGATCCTGCGTATATGGCGTTTTGCTGCGATGTCTTCATATGATTTTGAAATCTCGTGCATTCATCAAGAAATGGGATTCGCGCTCTCCAAGTTCTGTCAGTTGATCTAAGATCTCTCGCAAGTGCTTATCGCGCCGTGGTCTCGATTACCTTTTGACTTTGAGTTGGGTTATCACGATAGCGAAGCATCAGAGTTTTCGCACCACCTTATTCTAAAGGTTGAAGAGAAATACTGCCCGCAATGAGACTTCAGCAGCTGCCCGAAACTCTAATGATGAATCGACCCCTTTAATCTCCATTGCGGCCACAAAATGGAATCACGAAAATATGGTCTGAGAAATCGGCACGACGATGAGAAATAGACAAAGGCCTCATATGCAGACACTGGGTGATATGTCGCCTTACCGTGCTATTTTACTGAACTGGGGCTTTGTGACTGGTGCGGAGCATCTCTAATTCCACCTTCACTTTTGGCACGTACCAAGGATCTGTTTTTAGCATAGCGACGACGGTAAAAGTCCCTCAACAGCTTTACGGATTCCATTCAATAGAATGATTGCATTCAAAGAGATAATTTGGTATTGTACAAGACGACTCAATGAGGTTTCGCGACATTGAGCAAGGTAGCAACTTGATTAGAGTCGTCCACATACCCCATAGCAAACCTAAAGTTGTGTTCATGGTTTATTGCACTAAGTTTTTGTCTCGAAGCGGAGCATACCCAAGTCATGTATTCTGCTCCATGCGGATACATCTGGTCAGTCAAAGGATCTGAGGAACTTTGAACTTGACGTGACTGCAGCCTGGCCTTGGTGTAGCGGCAAGACGCAGTGGGGGAAATGTGAAATAAATTTCGGAACTATGTTTGCATGACCTGAAACCCCGCGGCTATGTCTAGCTCTCCGCTTCTAAAGGTTTCTGGCCAGAGTAAGAGTGATAGTAATGATACGCGTGGTTGGAATTGTCTAGTAAATCCTTGCGCACTTGAATCAAGAAAACCTCGATCTCCAAATCAGTCCAGCCCAATCCCTTTGTAAACGGCACGTTCGTCACTGCCCCCAAGGAGTCGTAGTTGACAGCAGCACAGTAGCTGCCGATCGACTTCAAATGATGTTCTTTTGGCCAAGTGCCCACTGGCACCTTTTTGACATCATGGATCTGGTTGACGAAGCCTGCGGACTCAATACGGTCGGCAAACTTATCGGCCACATCTATGTCCACACCAAATTTGTCCAAGGCTTCTTTCAGAAGGTCCATCGTCTTTCTGGGAGCGTAGTCCGGGCCGACTGTGCCGTCATCGCAAGCAAACGCCCACACCATGTCTTGCACCTCGATCCAACCTCCCGGTTTCAGGGCCCTGCTTCGTTTAGTAAATTGGCAGCTACAAAATATTATTAACACTTACTTGTAAGCCTGCGAAAGTAGTCTGGGCCAATCCTTGAGTGCTGGTGCCATATTTCTCACATGAATATAATCAATTGAGTCATCCGGGTAGAGCCAGTCAGCCTCGACGTCGTCTACTATAAAGTGCACGTTTGGTGGCACATAAACAGGCTGAATGGGACTCAAGTCAAGTCCAGTGATATCAGCTTCTGGATACTCGTCGCCCACTGAGAGTGATTATCATCGATCAGCACTCCCAATGCCTCCAATTACTATAATGATTGAACGTTCAACACCACACTTACTGTCCATAGCCCAAATTCCAGTACCAGTGCCGATGTCGAGGATCTTTTGTGGGCTTTTCAAGGGGGCATTATGCAGAGCACCCTCGCACACATGTACTAGCATAGCATGCTTCATGTCTTCACGATCCTGTTCCTCGTCGTCGTTCGGTAACATGTAGCGACCTTCTTTGAACTTATGGTAGCGACGTCTGTTCTCAAAGTTGTAATCTCGAATAGTTGATGCCAAAGATGTGGATGCATTTGAGCTGTCATCGCTTGCGTCATGGTAGCCGTCACCATCCGAAGCTCCGTCATCCGCTGCTATCGCGGCTGCTGGGACCGGTGACGAGGAATCACTCCGGGAACTACCGGAGCCCGAATTACTACGAGGAACTGAAGCGCGATCGGCTATCATTTTGAAGACGGGCGCGAAGTCGAGAAAGGGTGAGAGGTGAGAAGGAGAGCAAAAGCGAAGTGAGGGGAGGGAGATGTAGGATCAAAAGTGAGAAAGAGGGGAAGATAACGTCTCAAGGGAAACATCCTCAAGCCAACACCAACATGAACGCGTTCCAACCATCGTCTCCAGTCTTTTTCTCCATGTCTTCGGCCGGAAGCAGGCTGTTTAATGCGAAGCACAGGTTACAACCAATATCGTGCTTCCGTTGAAGCCGCAAAATGCAGAGTTGCATCCCGCAGGCCAACCCCATTGGCTCGTTTAGCAAAGGAACGGCCTTGGTTTCCTCGTTGAACGAGGAGACAACAAACTGAAAGACTGCGGAGGCCGCTCCTGCTCCGCGAAATTTTATGGGCCATGGCTTCACGTCCTGGTCGCTGATTAATGGGTCTCGCTTCAATCCAACTCTCGATCAGTCATATTCTGAGGAAGAATGTTAATGCTAGAACGCCAAGCACCACCCTCTTTGCTTCTTAGTCATCCTGAGAAAACCGACATGACATTGCAGTTGGTTATCGTATACGGTTGAGGCAGGGGAATCATGAGCATTGATTGTATTCTATCGTTGCGATCTTGATTCCATCAAAAGACCGCACTTCTTTACTAGAGACCTGCTACGCGTGAACAACGACGTTTGTCACTGTCTTCTTCGCAGTATTCAGGCTTTTGGATTCGTTCAAATTGTCATAACCAGATTTGGCGTCACCTTGACTATAATGATCGTGCCATGTGATGATGGTAATCGACACTACCATAGGATAGGTAAGGTAAGTTACGAATATTCTCGTCGATTACAATCTCAATGGCTACATGTAGCGTCCAAGCAGCATGTAAGCATTAGAAGAAGAAGAGAAGAAAATAAAGAGCGGAAGAAAGGTATCAAGCCATCGAAAAACCCAGAGACATTATATTGAGTAACTAGGGCCCTTGGAATTTGCGGGCATGCGCATTTTACACGTGTCTTCCATCGACAGTGACCAGTTGCTAGCGCAATCTAGCTGGCTCTGAACTCCGCCACTGGGCCGAGGGAGTTGTGCGGTTCACATCATAACACCGCGTTCCATTTCAGAATATGAGTCATATTTCAGGACCTCTGCAGAAGAATCCTTTCATCTTCCTTTCTGCTTTGAGAGTCAAGTACCCAAAACACTAGAGTGAGGTTGCAACACTTCACTGCGCTTGAGCCTCATTCGTCAATGATCTCAGCGGGCTAGATGTGCGGGGCTCTTGTTCCTCCGAGACAGGGGCTGTTGGCTGGCATTCTGGATTTTAGTTTCCCCCAAAATGTCATCAGTCCGAACTCAACGACACAACCCCAGCCATCTCGCAACGAAGCCACCCTCCCCGGCCGAACTCGGCCTTGAAAAACAAATGGCTGAAAATCTCTCTCCATTGCCGCGGCTACCAGTGGAGGTACTTGGGCTCATCTTTGCTCACACGTCAAAGTCGACGGCCCACGCCGCTCGGTTGGGGAGCAAAATTCTGTCCGCCGCGGCAACTCCGAGATCATTCCAGCATATCTTACTCAAGCCACCTTTCTGCGACCGGTTCACGCACATTGCAAAAGATGCGAACCTTCGACGACATGTGAGAGAGATCACATGTGATGCTCGCGCTGTTCTGGATTACTGCCCTTTCCCCATAGACTTCCTTGAGGCTTTACCCTACCTCAGATACTTCTCCGGGCTCAAGGTTCTGAACTTGAAGTTTACCGACTATGCAGATGACGGCGACGAGAACGCTGAACCGAATAACTCCACAAGTTATCGTTTCTATGATATCTATAGCTTTCGGCGCTTTGTCATTCTTGTTGCCTTTTACTGCATACACGGAGGTAGCCAAGATGATCGAGATCTGGTTCAATTGTCGAAGAGCCTAGGGACATCGGAAGACTTTGCCTGGATGGGAGACCTGAAAACCCCTGACATGTCTTGGAGCATAGAGAACAGGTTGATTGGTGGCGGATTTCCTAGGATCCAGCTAGAGGAGTTGGCCATTTTCAATCTAGCTGAGGATATCAACGAGGGTCAAGATCATGGCACGGAAGACCCATTACATCGGAAGCACCTGGCGGACTGGCCCATCTTCCAGCAAGTGATGGCCCTTCCAACACTCAAAAGTGTAAAGTTGATGGTAGCACCCGATGACCCGGATAACTCGTTGTGGGACAACTTGGAGGACGAGCCGACAGAGTACAACTATCAGTGGCAAGACCTCTATCTCCGCGAACTCACGTCATGGTTCAAACCACAGCTCGCCTGTAACCTGACAACTTTATCTCTTTACTACGATGATATCTGGGGCTACCAGCCCAAGTTCGACTTCCGTCTCATCAATCCTGGCAGCGGACCAGGTTCTGGATTTCCGCACTTGAAGGTCCTAGGTCTGGGAAGATACTGCTTCAGTCACGAGTGGCAGCTAGACTGGTTTGCTTCTCTCGGAGACCAGAGCTCAGCTGGCGGGATAGAGGAACTATACCTCGATGAATGCGTGGTGGTATCGAAAGCATACTGTACAATCCCTCAATGGGAGATTTGGGATCTGGACCGAGACCGCAACTATACTATCGTTACTGTTCAAGACGCCGACGGCAACGACGTTGAAGTCTCGAATCGTGGGTATTTGCCAGCCACGTGGGACATCGACCTTGTCGACGACACTTGGACTGAGTTTTACCACTCTAGCATGTCCTGGCATGAGCTGCTCGACCACTGGAGCAGCAACATGACGGCGCTGAAGATATTCAAGATGGGAACGACGGCCTCTCTTGCGTCTTGGTCCAGAATCAATCTGGCAACTCACATAGCGGTCGATAAAATCACCGAAGCTGCTGTCGCTCCTGGGGGCAAGACCAGCATCATGAGCACGGATATCCATACGAAGTTCGATGATGTCGAATTCCGCAAAGAGGTTGGAATCATGGAGTTGACATTGCCGTTTTACGTCAACTATTCACCGAAACCGAGCGGGATGCCCAACTGGGTCGCTCGTCCTTGGTTCTTCATACCGGTGAGCAGTGATGAGCCTCTAGTTATGGAAGAATCCCCGAGGGAGACGAGACGGAAAGATGAATTAGCATTGGACAACCTCAGAAAAGTAGTGGGTGATAGGGCAAAGGGAGTGGTCAGGTTTGAATGAGACCAATGGGGCCTTCGCCCGCGCAATGCGATGGAATCCCGACGGTTGCCGAGCTCCCACCCTAGCTACAATAGTATTTCTCCATTTCAAGCCCTACATGCCCAAGGGTCAGGGTGGTCAAAATTTTGTTGAGTTTCGCGACTTCAAGTTGGTGAAGCCTAGAGGTGGAAGAGAAAAGAAATCCTACGCTGGTCGTTGAAGGTACCAGACTTGTCGGATTCCGCTTAGTCTTCAACAATGATAATGGAAACTCTTGCGAAATTCTGTCGCAAAGCTCGCGGCTTCGCTGTGTACATCGTGCCGTCGAGATCTACGCACTCAATGAGTCGTGAAATGTCGTATCTTTGGCTATCAGCAGGGGTTGTCTTCCCAGCGCCGTAATCAACGCGAGTCGCTGGTGGGTGGATGTCGGCGCCTAGTGCCTCGCTACAATCTACAGATACGTGTGAGACCAGAGCGTGCCATGGATCCTGGCAAACGACTTCCGCAAACTGGATCCTAACATCATGGCTCCTGTCTCACTGGTCAAGACTCGTCAGCAAAACGCAGTGCAGCAACTGATAGCCCCATCTTGGGGACGCGCGGGACTATCCGCAAGCAGAACGGGATTTGCGGATGTGCCGCATGTGCTCCGGGCAAGGATCATGGTGATCGTAGAAGAATCATTGGCGACGAAGAGGGGGAGCGCTCAACCAGCGGTGGAGGAGAGTCCAGCGAAACTTCTCGAAGCTGTGGATAACGGCTATTCAACAACAGATGAATGCAGCATATGGACATCATGGTGGTTCGGCCATAAGGTGACGAAAGGGGCGAAAAGAGACTCATGCTACGGTGCCGAGACCAATGAAGTTTGAGGGCAGGTGGAGGTCTCCCTGACCGAGGAGGGTGTTTAATGACCCAGTCGTCCGGGTCCGATTGACAGGACCAAGTTTCGGAATCGAAGTGGCGGTCAGAACGGTTCGACTTTTCGACGTGGAGAGTTGACGATGTGACGCCGTCATGGAAGTTGATATGTTTGCAGAAATGTGACAGACATTAGCCGATGAGCCAGTTATCACAAACAAAAGTACGCACGTAGGACGGCTCGTCCATCACACACCGTAATCCAAAATGACAGACATGACAGCAGATTGAGTTTCGAGTCGGCGACGCGGGTGTGGCAACGCAGCTTGGGCCAGAGGATGCCAGGCGCACCCAGACACGCGCCAGACTCAGGCCAGACTAGCCCGGACGAAATCGCCGGAACCACCGGGGGCGCCGTTACGCTTTGTCTTGCAGCATTTGGGGCTACGCCGCGGCGCTGCATGGCGGCTGTCTTTGTGCCCCTGAGACTTGAGCCAAAATGAACGCCGGGCCCAGACCGAATGGTCACCGATTCGCAAAGTTGGCCGGATGGGACAAGTCATTTTGTCGATTGCGAGTCTTCGCAGAAGGTCCCTTGACGCATATCCCAGAGAGTATCCATAAACACTGGTAACTCCACATGTCCTAACTCTCAAGTACCGGACCCAGAGGGCAGAGGGGGGGCTCAAATGATATGAGAGGTTTCCACATATCACATTCCCAAAGAGAGGAAAGACGACATCCTCGGCCAATCTAAGACAATGGAATCCAAAAACCGCACACCACACAAGAGCCGATCCCTCTCGCGGGGACCGCCCCGCTGGAGATATTGCCTACCCCGCTTAGGTCTCGAGGGTCTGATGACGAGAACAAGGAAAGACCTCGTTGTCGCATGGGACTAAGTGCCGCTACTGCACCCTTGGCAAGGTCTATCCACTACGACCGAACCTCACAATTGGGTTCACTAGCATGGAGGGTCGAGAGGATCCCTCCGACGGACTGGTTCGCCCATACGCACGTATGGAACCCGAACCATTAGCTCGGTGTTAGGTCCGGTCCTTTTCCTCTTCCTATTCCTGGCCTTGGAGTAGGGGTTCTCTCTCTATTACCGGTACTCCTGACGGGCTGTCGGGAAAACGAGAGACTTGGGAAGGCAAAGTAAGACGAGACCAGACGAGACTGGACTGGACCGACCCGAACCAGAAATCGACCGTTCCATGTTCGCTACCACACCTCCCTCCCCTTCGGTTCCCCCTCCACCCACCGAGGTTCGCCATCGTCCCTAGACTAAGGCGTACCACGTTGTCTGTGCGGACGATGCTAGTCCAAGGTGTGAGGTAAGCCATAAGACCCGACCATTTTCCCACATCGTCTCATGAGCGGACTTTTCTCCCACTCCCTCACCAAATTTCCCGCTATCCCTCGTGCCCTTACCTTCTCGCTTCCTGCTATTCCCTCGTGGCGGTGGAGGGTGGTGCCCCCTTCTTGAAAGACGTCCCTTCATGTTTCAAAACATCGGAGGACCCTGCAGATAGGGCACGTTGAAAGTTCACGGCCACGCACGCTAACCAACTATGCCTCTCAAAGTCGCTGTCATCGGTGCCGGACCCGCGGGTCTGGCGACAGCGAGATATCTGAAATGGGCGCACTTGTTCTTCGCGATTGAACCTATCCAGATCCGGGTCTTTGAGGCCGAGGATGATATCGGAGGCACGTTCAAGTATCGAGTGTACGAGGATGCTGAAGTAAGTTTGCCACTACTGAACTCAACCCACTGTCTATTCCTCAAACCATGCCTTCCCATCGGACAGATAGAAAGGTTTGTTGAAGCTGACAGCATGGCCATAGCTCGTCTCGTCTAAATACCTGACCGCCTTCTCCGATCATCGCCTTCCCCGAGATGCCGCTGATTATGTCACCCCGGCTGTCTATGTACAATACTTGAACGAATACTGTGAGCGGTTCGAGCTTCGACCTCACATCGAATGCTCATCTAAGGTCACTCGCACTGAAAGAGTAGATGGCGGAGGGCATATCGTCACCGTTACCCGCAAAGACGGCACAACTTTCGACTACAACTGTGATGCCGTTGCCGTCTGCTCCGGACTCAATCTAGAACCACGTTTTCCTGACATTCCGGGGTTGGAGAAAGTCCCCAAGGTCCTTCACTCATCGCAATTCAAGAGCCGAGACCAACTACGAGATGTCAAGAGCGATAAACCTACCGTCGTTATCGTCGGCACGGGAGAGACTGGTCAAGACCTCGGTCAACTCGCGGCGACAACGGAAACCGTTCAGCATGTTGTGATGTGCCACAGAGATGGATTCGTCGTTGCACCCAAGGTAGGAGCCTCCATGTATGGGAAACCTGTCTGTGCAAGTTAAAGTTGACTCGTCATAGACTGCACCGACACCAATCATGTTCGGGTTCTGGGGCAGAAATAGCAAAGTCAACGATAAACCCGTTGACTGTTCCATCGCTAGTCTCTTCGACACTGCATATGTTCCCCAGAAGTTGCAGTCGAGCCAACTGCTTTGGGACTTTTACAACCAACAGATCGACGTCACATTCTCGCTAATTGGTGGAACGCTTGAAGGCTGGGACCAACATGTCGGCGGCATGCGTCGGGAGAGGATGCACATCGATCACTGTATGCAGTCATCTGCACCAACATGTCCAGGAACCGGCTAACCAAAGATCGCAGTCTTCCCGGCCAAATCCACACGTGCTGTGCCGTACCTCTCCGCGCCTTGGCGGCCGCCTCTCTCGGCCATGGAGCGGATTCGCCGCTTCTTCTTCTACATCAAAGAGCTTGACGTCGACACCAAGGGTCGATACATTGACGTTGCTCCTTGGCCCGAATATGTTGACGACGATGGCGTATTGCACTTCCGCGATACCGGCAGACCAGAGTCGGAGAAGATGAAGCAGATGGTGGTCAAACCCGATGTTATCCTATTTGCAACTGGCTACACTCGCCGCTTCCCTTTCCTCGACAAGAGCTATGGCACGCCCGACACAGCCGATGTGCGAGCCATTTACCACAGCAATGATGTATCAGTAGGGTTCATTGGCTTTGTGCGGCCGAATCTAGGTGAGTCCTTCATCTCCGGACGTTTCTTTCGAGTGTTGCTTCTAACAAAGGTTCCCAGGTGCAATTCCCACCCTCGCCGAGATGCAAACCCAACACTGGATTCTTCAACTTCTCAGATCCAAGTACCCACACGTTCCTGGCTTAGCGATCCCGTCGAAAGGACTCACTTTGGACCCGAACGCCCTTCCGGGCTATGATATCGACTGGAAGCTCCATCCCAGATGTGGCAGAGACCCCTGGGCCGAGAAGCGAGGCGTCGACCACGAGAGCTATGTATACCAGCTGGCTCTTGACATGGGCTCAGCACCACGGTTCAGCTATATCTACTCCAAGGGCTTCAAGGCCTTGTACACCTGGGCCATGGGTAGCAACTTCAATGCAAAGTTCCGCCTTGTGGGCCCCTGGAAGAACGAGGAGGAGTCGCTGCGCATCATTCGTGGCGAGCTCTACGATATCGTCAAGCGGTCTGGCGGTATGCTATACATGATCGCCAACACCTTGATACCCTTTTTCTTGTTCGGCACGATGAGCTTGACCATTCATACGTGGGAGTGGACCAAGAGCTTGTTCCGCCCGTGGACGCGGAAGGGTGGCCAGATACGCCTCCCCGAGTGTTGATAACGACTTAACGATTATTTTCCTTAAAGTTTAGATTTTCGACTTCAAAAGACCAGCGACAAGAGAGAACTTTCATTTGAGACGAGATAACTCATAGTCTTAATTCAATATTTATTAGTACACAATGATAAAGAACATATGCGAAATTATTTGCCAGCTCATGCATGCATGCATGGCATGGCATCGAGTGACACCGGCAGTGCATTTATCGCTATGACCTGGACCTCCACAGATCCTACCTGAGTTCCACTAGCATATACAACACTCCAAGCCTCGGTCAGGTCTATCGCCTCAAGAGCCATCCATCGTATGACGTTGATGGGTATCGCGTTTCAGGTTGCTTCTCGGGTGGCGTTGAACTTGATGGAAGGTTCGCCAGCTTCTGGATAATCCTCCCATCCAGATTAGGATCAGGGCCTCTGTAGTTGTACACCGACGCGTTGAACTCGGGAATCAGACGGGGCCTGCAGGCGAAGAGCATCTTGTAAAGCTGGTTATCTTGCCACTTCCCAAAGGCTGTGGACAACGCCATGTCGAAATACTGTCCAAAGGGGGCAAATTGAAGCATGTGGTTGTAGACGTCGCCATCGCCAGTATTCTTCCCTTCTAGAATGCTATTCTTGAGCCCATCTAGCTCACGGTACAGCGTATTCTTCGGTATCACAAGCCCCGAAGGGTCATGTGCGTCGATGCACTCCAGCATCCATTTGAAGACGAGATCGCTCAAGACCTCATTCGGTTTGATTGTCTTGCTAGACCAAGCCCACGCTGGAAGAACACTCTCGAGTCGCTGCGGTAGCACCCCTCTCACAATCTTGAAGCTCTGTCGGCAGATATCGTAGTGCGTGCCCGGAAACCAACGCTCCGTAATGCCGTACGACGGTCCATACTCTGTGTCGCGAGAAATCAGACACGGCTGGTAAGCGTACAGGCGATCGTGTAGCGAGACGGCGTGGTAGACCTCGGAGACAACGCTGGAGATGTGCTGGTCGTGGAACTTGGGCCAGTCAACGCCGACTGCGCCCGCGAACTCTGGGATGCCGCGTTCGCCAACTGCGTCGAAAATTCCCATGAAGCGAATCGGCGGTTCGATGACATCCCCGTCTCCGATCAAAGCCCAGCTGTGCTTTCTTCTAAAGATCCGTGATTGCTCTGACTTTGGTCGGTTGGCTTCTGACGGACATCGATAGATGCGATAGACCTCCCGGCACAGTTGGTGTGTCTTATCAACGTCAACGTTCCCGTTCAGGCCGTAGACTGGCTTCACTATCCCGCAGTTATTGATCATGCCCGCTACGAAGCGGATGATAAAGGCTCCTTTCGAACCACCAAACATCCATATTTCGGTTTCCTGTGGGGTGTAGCCGTGAACTAGGTACTCGTAGGTGTCTATGCATTGCTGCTCGATGTCTTCAATGTTGAGGCCGTGGATTACATGACTTGAAGGTCTCGGTTAGCGATATCTTCTTCGAGAAGATAGTAAAGGAAGGGCCTTGTACTCCATGAATGTGCTGCCTACGGCCACGCTATTGACATAATGGGCTTTCCCTGTGGGGTGAAGGTGTGCAAAGTCATCGTCTCTGGGTAGTCCGGATTCTCCCCACACCAAATTCGCCAGACGGTGTACGTTGGACTCTGAGTTTGCGTCTCGGCCAGTCCATACTCCATCTGATAGGACTATCAGAGGATTCTTCGCCGGGCCTCGGTATGACATGTTGTGGTTCCGCGACAGCTCGATTCTGTCGAAGGAAGCTGTGCTAAAGTTCTTGTGTATGTGTGAATGCAGATTGACGGAGGTTGGCAAACTCACAAAAAGGCCGCCTCGGATGATTATGTTACATGCGGCCTCAAGTTTGTGGAATGCGTGCTTCTATTTGGACCTTAGGCAATATCATAACAGTTGGATTGTTGGTATTTCGCATTCCTGGAATGTGGAAATGGCCCCCAAACCTCGTTAGACCGCCACGTGGGGAGCTGGAGCGAATTGTTGGGTGAAGGCATCAATAAGAAAACGTGATTTTTGTCAATACTACATGTACTGGTGACAGTTCTGGCTGAGGTGTAAAGTTATGCCTTACGACTGCCCGATTGCCACTTGATGTTGACAACTTCTGCTGTTACCAAAGGTTACACTCAAACAAGAAACACAGTCTGAGCCCCCGACCAACCAGTCTCCAGACCTTCCACGACATAGCCCACGTCAATTCGCGCCACTGCCGATTTCCACGAACAGCACTTGAGAAATCTCCGATAATCCTTTACTCACTACCACGATTTCTGTTCCAATGTTCTCAATTCGTGGAATCAGTCAGATGCCAGCAAACCGGAAACTTCAGGCCCAGGCCAGATGGAAATCCTCAGGGGTCTTTCGGGCTAGGTAATTGAGCAGGTCTCAGTTTCCGTGCTCTGGAATGTCGATCACTTGATCGCAATTTGACAATGGCACTTTCCAGATTTAGCCGAAGATCTCCTCATCTCCCGGGAATAATACGAATGAATATGCGGCAACGGTTTGCTCCGGTGATATGCACAAGTTCCATCTGCATTAAGATCCACTTCCCAACCCAATATGTCGCAGGCTTAGATTCCTCGTCTCCTATGTTTTCGTTCCCAACCTTCACGCCAGCTCCGAGGAATCGCAATTTGTCCATGCGCCATGTCGCTTACCAATAGGCCTAAGAGTTAAGCGTGGATTCCGTGAGCACTTGACCGGCTGGGTAGACTGTGCGACTTCACGAAGACCCAGTCCGATCCGTTTGCGGATCTTAGTGGATGCTGCAGGCTTCCCAGCCACCAGTTATAGGGCGCTTGGTCTAGGGGTATGACTTTCGCTTCGCATCTCACTTCAATCTTGCTGAGGATCTGAATAATTGCGCTTGCTTGTGAAAGGTCGTGGGTTCAATTCCCACAGTGTCCAAAGCTTTTGCTGATCTCAGACTGTTGATGGCAATTATCCATGTTTTTGACCTATGGAGGGAAAAAATAAGTACTCACTCACCGTGAGACGTGACTTGGCCTCGCTTGACATGTCTGATTCGAGACAGTGCAGTTGGATTTCTTTTGTCTAAGAGACATCCTTAACTTTCACGAGTCGTTGGAGTCGTTACAAACTCAAGTCCTGGGTGTATATATAGTAAGTCTTCAGAGTTGCTGATCGTGTGGCAATGCTCGTTCGCTTGGTGTTCAGCACTTTGTCGGTCATAAGCAAGGTCCTATCTACGCTGCACTTCATTTAGACCGAGTGAAATCTATCAAAAAGAATCTGTACCACCTACCATATTGTAACATTGAAGTTTTGTGCTTGGGGAATAGCATTGCGTGCTCTTGGCCAGGCTGTATCATGACGACATCTGACATTCAGACTCGCATCGCTGTTTAAGTGTGCGTTCGTTGTACATGGGTTTGGGCTGTTCGGGGTCTAGCCAATTGTTGCCTGCAGACAGAGGCCGCCTATCACTCGTCTTAGCTCTGCCTCAACCTGCATGTCAGCATGACTTTCTACAGTTGCTACGTTACCGTTCGCCTACAGGTGTATGCTAGGAGTTGTGGCTGAGCAAATAGTGTTGGCGAGGCGCAGCGTGAGGCACACCTACGTGATATGTCGCGGAGACGCCTTCAGTTCTTCTTCTCACAATCTGTTTCGCGAACACTCTCTGTCCTCTCATCTTCAGATTCAGTGAGCAATGGCCGATCCACTTTCGATCACGACTGCTTGTATCACATTAATTGGCGCAATTGGGAAAACGGCACAGGCTGTAACTAACTTCGTTCGAACATGTCGCGATGCGCGAGAAGATCTCGCCGCCGTCAGCAGAGAGCTTTCCGACCTGCGCATCGTGCTCGAGCTTCTCATCGACGATGCCGCCACCAAGGCCTCCTTGCCCGCTGCCTTCGAAGAACACGTATTGGCCCTTGTTGGGAATTGTTTGGGTGTGACAACGGAGATCGCAGGAGAACTCGAGAATAATGATGGCCGAACTGGGCCAGCGCGGTGGGCGATTGGAGGCAAGGCGACCGTCAATCAGCTGAAAACGATGCTCGAGACGCACAAGGGCTCGTTGAACTTGGCTCTCGAGTTAGCGAACCTGTGAGCAATTTCACCGCAACTTTCATGTTATTATTGAGATCGGTGTTGACCATCCGCAGTGTATCTTCTAAAGCGATCAAGGATGATACCGTCGTCATTCGCAACGATGCGGGTCTGATCAAAGAAGACACAACAAACCTCTTGCGACAAGTTTCCGATGTCACTCTTCAAATAGCGAGGATTCGCAAAGCTGTGGGAGCCAATCGGCAGATCAATGTAGCCAACAGCGATACCATTGACCTCTGGTTGGAATCCCTCACATCCTACGCAGAAAGCGTTTGTGGCGATTTGCTACAAGATTTGCCGCCAAATGCCCATGATCTGATGCTGCTTCCAGAGACTGAATCAGTAGGCGGTGGAATCGTCATGCACAACAACACCATTGGAGACATCGGGCCGATGAAAGTTACCAGGATACACCAACTCACGTACAGCAACAGTATACACTACATCAGATCGAAGGGGCATCATGTCGTCGGCATGGATGGAGTTTCCAACGTAGTTATATGGGATGCAAGGACCGGAAAGCAGTTGGGCACTCTCGATACCAAAAAATCCCATTCGTGGGATATTTACAAAATCAAAACAGCGTCCATCTGCGGCCATGATTCGGAATACGTCATACTTCATCAGCACAAAGTAGGCGCCTCTCTGTGGGACTGGAAAAGGAGTAAGCGAGTTCTGGACGTATACCTGCCTTACCAGGACTGGATCACGCTCCACCCAGTGCATCTTGACCGGAAAAGACTTGTCATGTTCTGGCATGACAAACACTCTATGTGGAAGTCAGAAAAGCCGAAGTGGAAGCACGAAAAGCTGGCCGAGATTCCTGGGCCAGCAGAAATCAGCCGGATTGGAATATGGGGTAACGTCGCCGTCGCGCTGCTGAAGGACGGCAACGCAATCTGCTTGGAGACATTGACGGGCTCCGTCAAGGCCAAGAATTCGATCCTTCGACTCGGACAAGAGGATAAGTGCGACAACTTGGCGATTGGCCTCATCCTTATTCGGCAACCAGATAATGGACATCGTGTATTATTCTGGATCCCAGACGTGCCCAATGGGTCTGTCATGGTCATTGCTTGGGACATCGAGAAAGATAGGGTCACTCACTCTGAATATGGTGGTTACGTGAAACAAGAACATGAGCAAGAGAAACCCAAAGATTTCTGGCCCACGGCGTTTTTCGATCGCGGTGCTTTAATGACACATGGAGAAGGTATTGACTTTTTCAACTTCGCCACAGGAAGCAGACGGAGATATCATAACCCCTTCCCGCACAAGAAAGAACTGGAGGTAGTCAAGGAGGTGTGGTATGGTTTATTCGGTCGCAAGCACCTGAAGGTTCCTATTAATTTGGGACGGCAAGCCACCGTCAGTCACTTCGAAGGAAAGTACAAAGTTGCCGTCAGAGCTCCAGGAGGAGGTGTAGAGGTGTGGGAATGGGAACTGGATGAGGGATTCCTTGAACAACAGCCGGGCCAGACGAGTACGATAACGAGGTCGATTGGCAGTTCGACATTGACGGCTGGTTCATGATCTTTGGTGGACTTGTAGATGCAACTTCAGAGTCTTAACAATTTCCGTACATCAAGTAGGCAAGAGGAAGCATTATCACGTATTGATGTGCCAAGGCAGGGAAATATAACGCCTTGTCGACCGCGATAATCCCAAGTGAGCTACAAAGAATAGTGAAATGAAGTACAAGATAGTCGCATGGGACGCCGACCAAGCTACGAAGCTGGAATGGCAGGAAAGACTCCGTATCATGGGTGGAGTCTATCAGGGCTACTGGTGGTAGTGAGCTCCATTGTCACATCCGATATGGTGTAGTGGCCAACATGATGCCCTCTCATCTCTTTGAGAGGTTAGGCATAGCCCCGAGTTCGATTCTCGGTTTCGGAAGTTGTAGGTCCATCCTTTTTGCTGGCCATGATCGCATGGAAGTTTTTGAGGTTTCAACATATGTTTGATGCATCTACAGGTGAATAATACAATCAACTACCTTAGTCATGACTTTTAGGTCGCACCTCGGTTATGTAACGTCTGTTTTTGGTGGGTTTTCCTTTTTTTTGTGCTGTTCGGGTCTTCTTTTTCTTCTTCTTTGCTTTGTTATCAAGTCCAAAGATCACGACTCAACTGACGTTGAGAACACCTGATCAGTTCAATTGACAGGGCGTAACCACCAACCTTTATCTGTAATACTGAAAACGCCGCTGGTATCTAGAACTTGATGACGAGGTGCTGTTCTTGGCCCCCCCTTTACCCTGCAACTCAACAGCATCGATGATGTAGTTGGCGCTCAGAAAGTCGGCATCTCCTTTCCCAATCACCCCAATCACAAGTGTGTTTTGTCCCGTCTTGAGCTCACTCGTCGGCACTTCCCAAGTGTAAACGTCGCCGAACCCGCGATAGGCACCACGAGTCACGCCGCGAGAGTCGATGAGTGTCTGTTAGAGTTGCGTTAGAATCTGAGCATGGCCAAAAGGCATCCGCACGCGATGACTTTGATGATTATAACTTACCGGGGCGCCTGGATCGCTTCCTTCCCACTCATTGATCTTCACACTAGGTCTGCCGCCTTTGAATGAAAGCGTCGTTCCGATACGTAGAACGACGCCTTCCAATTGATCGGCGGCCAGGTCGAAGTTGACGGTGGCATTGCCTCCAATATTGGAGAACAAGGCCATGGGAAAGTCTTTGCTTTGGGATGGGCCGACAGTGAACTCGCCTCCCCAACTCGCCATGCGAGCATCCGAGGGGTGCATTCTTTGAATCTTATCGCCGTTCTTCAATTCAAAGGGTTGCCCATCGAACTCGCCGATGCGCCAAATGACTGATGGCTCGGACTCGGTCGCCACAATATCCTGCGTGGCTCTTCCGCCCGCCGTAATCGTCACGCTAGCATTGGCGACAGGAAACTCGTTCCGGTATAGCTTCATCGTGTATGTCCCGGGCTTCATCAGCGGAGAGGTAAACTGTCCCGCAGCGGCTTTTGTCCAGTACTGCGCGTTCTGGTTGAACCAGTGTACTACAGCTTCGGAATTGCCCTTCATTCCTGTAGCAAGGCCTGAGACGCTTCCACGCCCACTATCAGGGACGTAGCCATCTATGTTCAACGAGTCGAAAAAGCTCATGTCAATGTCCGCTGGCGGCGGCTGGGTGTTACCTCTGCTTGCGTCGTCAATAATTAACGACTCTGGTACCAAGAAGACGGAGACCCTTACGTGAAGCGCATTGCATAGGGACCAAGGAGCCCGAATCGCCAGGGCTCGGTCCTGACATGGCCGCTGTTCATGTACCAGTAGAGCTCCTGGTCGCCAGTGCTTTGCGAATTGATGTCCCTCATGAAAGGGCCGCCGGCAGAGTGCTCGTAGGCATTACCAGGCATGATCATCCACACCCCGACGTTCTACAATTGTTAGCTCCGTTTGGCCCGTGGCTGTTCTCTTCATGACTTACACTGCCGGTCACGCCGTGGACCTGATCGTCAATGAAGCGGTCAGATGTGTACATCTTGCATCTGGTGGTGCCATCCGGACACTTGAACGTATCCTTGCCTTCAAATGCTACGCATCCATCGAGATCGGCAACGTCGCCATGCACTCCAGTCGGCACCTCTTTGCGCTGGAGCCGGGCAAGCCAGCGCAACTCACCAGGAGCGATCTCGCCCGTGATATGAGTCGCCATGTAGATAGTCGGATCGCCTGGCTTCGCTACATAATAGTGTGTTAACGGCTGCTCGCCGGCCTTTACGATGACCCTGACATGCCCGCTTATAATGTCGGCTGTGACCGTTGAGGTTTCCAGACCGGAGTTGATCTGTGACATCTTGCTTGTGCCTTGAAACTGAACACCGTTGTAGAGCAGACTAGTGATGTCGCCATTGGTGCTTGGATTTCCTGTCAGCTTCCCTAGTCCCGTTTATGGTGAAGGCTGATTATGTTTCATCTCTCATACCGGTTAACTTCGAATACTAGTCCACCGTTGGTGTCGATCGTGTATGTGCTGTCTGATGTCGTCAGGCCAAAGTCGCCAAGTGCCGCGCCAAAGAGCCCGGAAGCGCAAGCAAGAAAACTGATGATATACATGTTGACGTCGGCTGCATTTGGGAACTGGCAGAAAAGGATCTCAAAGATCCAGTCATGCTCTTCGAGCGCGTCGATGTTGTCTATTAAGCTTCTGACCTCAGGAACCCCTCAGCAAACTCCAGTCATGATCAAGCGGTCTGCCACGCACTTCATCCCCACCATCTTCGATCACCAAGGTTCGGACGGCCGGGCAGACTTGTCATTGAGTCTCCTTCCAGTTCGTTGTAAATTACCCTAAAAGCTTATTCCAAAGAACCGAGGAAAAGAGTTACAGAGGTTTCGTGTTGCTGCACTGACCAGTTCCCCTCATCATCATCGTCCCCTAGTCTGATGACAAGCCCATCCCGACAGCGAGTAGCAGGTGGTCTGTGATGCGATTGGTGCGAGTTCTCGGTTCCTGAGCACGTTATCCTATGTCAATGCATTCGCGACGGCAATTGAGAGTCAAGCATTCGGCAACGCGGCAAACTTGAGTTTACCTCAGTTTGAGTCTAACGAAGCATACTGCGTTCGTATTTATCACGAGTGAACTACTTTACTCGAAACATATTGAACTGCCTTGATAGGCATCGGACTTTGCTTTCAGTAGGCTATGCTTGAAGCCTGAAGCATGGGGAAGCCTCATGATAAGACCTATTCCCGTGGTAGGTACCGTCATTCATATGGTTGCTCAGACTTGATTGGGCTGGGTTTCTTGACGGGCTATCCTGTGCCGAAAAGACTCTTGTTAGGGGCTTACTTTCATAGAGAGTCATCTTTCTCAACTATATTCCACAAGCTCGTGAGAGAGGCATGAATCATTCAAGTGAATTGTCATTTTCATGGAATTGCTCAGCAATGAGTGAAGGGAAGGATCCGGAGAGATCGCGCCTGCCACCGTCGCGGGTGGGTCAATCGCGTAAAGTGCGGTTATGCAGGGATACGTACCGACTCCCACAGGGTGACAGGGCCTCAGCTGTGCTTAGTCATTCAGAGCTCCACCAAGATTTCAGGACAGCTTCACGACTCCTTTTCCACCTGTCAGTGCTTCCAAGGGCACAAGAATCGTCACCTCTTCGCCAGCTTTCCAGTCACTCCTTTCAGCCACGATTGCTTCTGCGCAAAGGCAACAGCCTTGATCACATCTCATACCATCAATCATATTCGGCTTTCTACACCACCTGCAAACATGACCCGCGCTCAGCAGACCATCTCTCTTGCGCTCCTCGTGAGCTCGGTACGACCCACCCCTCCCTTGTGTCCAGAGCCATCCCACCTCGCTATGAAGCATCTGCTAATTGTCAATCTGCTTTTGTAGCTCTACCTCGCTCTCTTCCTCCAGCTCATCCCGATTCCCGCCAAGATCCAGAACGATGTTGTCCCTGTTGTACGTAACCGCGATCGCACTCTCGAAGCAACCGCTGCGACCCGACCCAACCTTGCTAACCTGTACTCTGTGCGCACAGCTGCCCTTCTGGGCCTTGATCTCCTTCGGCTCCTACCTCCTCGCCAAGCTCGGATACAATGTCATGACCTTCAACGATGTGCCCGAGGCGCACAAGGAGCTTATGGCCGAGATTGAGGAGGCCGTCGTCGACTTGCGGAAGCTTGGTGTCGATGTGGACTAAGGAAATGATGACGTCTCAAGAGACCCACGACTCGATGCGAAAGCCGACTAGACAACATTGTAGGATATTTGGGGGATGTAGCCTGAGATTTCTCAATGAAAACGGTGTGTCGACGTCAGCATTATTTCGTTCACGACGACCCCACCCTTCGCACCCAGACTTTCACAACACGAATATCCCTGCCACGTATGCGATTTGAGGAGGCGATTTAGCAAGCCAGTAAAGCTCGGTACAGATACGGGATATCATGAGGCTCAAAGAGCTGTGTAGGGTCTACACTATTGTCAATGTCAAGTTTCCATGATTGTAGACTGGGACAAGTAGCAGCTACCAGTGTCTGGGGGACACTTGATTATCGTATTCCTGTATCCTATCAATCGGCTTTCAAAGGCGCAGGATAAGTTGATGTTGAACCTGAAGTTCCAATTCAATGAACACCGCGGCGCCGCGACGTAACCGTCAATGCAGCAAGCCAGTCAGTGTGATGAGCTTTACACCAACGATGGAAATGGCTGATCTGGTGCCGCTCTCGACCCAAGTGGAAGTAGAATCGCTCCATCACGCATGCAGGGCGACAAGCCGGTGATTCTCGCAGGATCCATCTTTCGATGCTATTGAAAAACTCAAGACAGGTTGTTATCTAAGACCACCTTTCTCATCATTGATCTCACCAAAATGCCTGTCCCTTGGTGCAAGAAGCGCCCATGCGCACATGCTGTCTGACGGCGGTATCTCTCTGGGCGAACGTGCGTGCTGTGTTTGTCTCTGCTCCGGCCTTACCATCCGCATCTATCAGCTATACACGAGGCAACTCATCGAACCAAGATGCTCACCAGGTAATGGGGCATGAACTAGGACTCTTCAAGCTGGAGGATGTCCTTCTGGGTTTATTCACTGTAATGCTATAATCATATACCATTGAACGATACAATCCAGCATGCAGGCCAACTTGAGCTTCTGTTCGGCGTATCGACTGAGTGCTGACATGGTGAGGTTGCCCTGGATGAGAGCAAGCTCGAGAGCTCAGAGTTCACTTCTCATTCATAAACCTAGATAGGCACTCCACTCGTCTGGATGACCTGATTTGTACCTAGATGAGTCTCAGGCGCGTTCAAGCCGTTCAGCTGCTCATTATCGCTCTACAGTCTACTCCATACGCTCACAAATACATCTTCGTCAATTGTTGTCAAATGCTTTGATCCCTGCGGGGTTTGGAGGGGTAGCATGACGCAAATCGACCCCTGAGAGCAATGTCGGGCCAAAACTTAAGCTTCCCGACTGCTCCACTAACCGATAAAGCTCCCAGCATAATCTTACCATTGGTGACAGACTGATCATCCAGCGACGGACCCTCGGGCGGGGTGGCACGCTCGCAACGTTGGCTGAGCAGGGCGTCCAGCCGGTGACCGGAGCTCGGAGGAGTTTGCCGGCTAAAGACGTCTGTTGTCGACAGCTTGAGCTATCTGCTTTCGCACAGCTAACAAGTGAAGCTTAACAGTAATCTGAGTGTCTCCAATAGACCGTTCACCAACTATTATCACCCTTTGCGAAAACATCGCCAACATGCCCGAACCGCCCTATCCCCTCCACCCGTCGGTCGTCGACCGCATCAATCCCGAGTACAAGGAATTTTACAACAAATTTGTGTTCGACAAGCAAGTCGTTCACCATCAACCCATCTTCGCGTCTCGTGCTAGCGGCACTCTGATCCCCGGCGCCGGCCCTAAGCTCGAGGTCTCCAGCTCAGAGGATTTCACTATTTCGAGGAAAGAAACGAGCGGGCCTGATATCCTCCTGCGAGCTTTCACGCCCTTGGGAGAAATACCGGCCAAGGGATGGCCACTTTGCTTTTGGTTCCACGGAGGTGGTTGGGTCTTGGGCAACATTGACACGGAGAATGTTATCGCCACGCACCTATGCAACCGGGCGAAGTGTGTCGTTATTTGCGTAGACTATAGGTGAGTAGATTACCATAGCACAAGATGACGCAGTGCCTGGAATATGAGTTGCAAGAGAGCCTGCTAACCTTCACTTCCAGACTGGCACCAGAGAATCCCTTCCCTGCGGCAGTCGACGACTGCTGGGAATCCGTCCTCTGGGCCATCTCCACAACCGGCACCGAAAAGCTCAATCTCGACATCTCGCGCATCGCGATCGGAGGCTCATCAGCAGGCGCAAATCTCACTGCCATCATCTGCCAGCGCGCAACAAAGCGCCCAGACTTCCCGACCGTGGCAACACAACTGCTCTCCGTGCCCGTCGCAGACAACACCGCCACAGTGGACTCGACGAAACCAGAGCACACTTCGTGGAAGGAGAACGAGTTCACGCCCGCGCTGCCGGCAGTGAAGATGATGTGGTATCGTTACCATTACCTCCCAGACAAGGAAACTTGGGCGCACCCCGAGGCAAGCCCGCTGCTGTGGGAAGGCGAGTGGTCTAGGTTGCCTCCTGCTGTTGTGATTGTTGGTGAACTTGATGTTTTGCGGAGCGAGGGCGAGGCTATTGGGAAGAAGCTTCAAGGTGCGGGTGTCAAGACGGATGTGCATATCATGAAGGGGCAGCCGCATCCGTTCATTGCTATGGATGAGGCGTTGGAAGATGGTAGGAGGGCCATCACGTACTTTTGCGACAAGCTTATAGAGCTGTTGTGAGGGAAGGTAGACGAGGTATCAATCAGTTCAAATAAGACTCAACAGAACAACGTCGATCTGATTCCTGATCTGAATTAGACCAGTCAACCTCCACGTAAGGTGTGCTTGTTGTTGAGGTCGTAGACTCAATGTGAAGGGTCCACCACACTGTTAATGCCGACATGGAAAGTGTGCTTACCCACGGTCTTCGCGGTTTAGAGACTTTTCCTTTCACCATTGTTCTCATCATGTTTTCGAATTTTTCGAAGGCTTTTACATTCAATAGAATTTCTTTTGAATTACAGGACAGCTATGCACTCAATCTCCACATCAACGTTCAGAGGAAGGGTCCTGACCGCAACGCAACTATCATATCATCTCAGTCATCATCTTCAATAAACTTAGTCAAGGCATCATACTCACGTTCTAGAAGGCTTGATGTCGCCCCAATAAGTGCAATAGACCTCGTTCATCGCAGCAAAGTCATCCATGTCCGAGAGGAAGACATTCACCTTGACGACCTTATCAATCGTGGTACCGGCGCCTTCCAGAACCGCTGTTAGGTTCTTGATGCATTGATGCTAAAATTACCAGTCAGCGATGAGCGACATCGGGGTCTGCTTGAAAGGCATAACAGGGCTGCAGATCATGGAGTGCTGCATGCACATACCGTGTGTGCCTGAACGTCACCGTCGATGATTTTCATGGTCACCGGGTCCATGGGAACGGCGCCGGAGCAGAAGACCATACCATTGGCGATGATGGCTTGGCTGTAGATGCCCGGCAGGGGCTTAGGAGCCTTATCGGTGATAACGGGGGTCCTTGAGGAGGGCATAGTGATCGGTAAGTACCTAATTTGTGCTGGAAAGTTATAGTACGGGTCGTTCTAAATGGTGTATATTTTACATGAGTGCGTAAGTCAATCTCACAGCCTGTCCGTCACCAACGCGCAGTTAAGAATTCATCATGAAAGCTACTAGTCATTCACGGACCTCGTCGATGATCTATCTCATTCATCGTGAGCGACGTCTTCTCAAGGACAACAATGCCTGTTGAAGGCTCCGTTCTCGGATGAGCTTGAGATGCCCGCGGAGAGTTGTGTGGGATCGTCCTATCAACCCCGCAATCCTGAAGTGAGCGGGATTGCAACGTTTCAACAACCCGGATAGCTCATCCTTATCTTCTCTAAGCATCTCACCTATGGGTCAATTCGGAATCGTATTTCTATCCCTGGATCTCGGGCTTCTCTCTGATCCGGACGTCATTCCACTAGGTAGTTATTACGAGATGCTCGCGCCCCAGAACGTGTTGAGCAGGAGTTGTACCCCCACGGACCACTCATCACCGGCCACTTCGTGTTCAGGGCCGGAGGCCGCTTGTTCGGCTCTTCAGTCCTCGTCGGCTCGCCCCACTATGATGGAGTTGCTGCAAGCTTTGTGGATTGCGGGGTGCAGATTGATAAATGGGTTGCTATGTTATAGGCTATCGGCATCTATCCTTATCAAGCCGTATAACTCAAGTGCAGATATGGCATGCTTGCTTTCAATCACACTCTTCAGCAAGGACTTCCAAACAAGAGGTCCAACACAGGATATGGGTTGGCCAAGCCGTGGGCAGTGATTGAAAGCAGCCTGTCGTTGGAGCTAAAGCGGAGGGGTAATAGTTGACATCGAACCCTAAGGACCTCCCGCCCGTTGTTCCAGGCCTGAAAACTAGCGTACGTCCACGGTAGGGTGTTCGACTTTGGTGAATTGAGGCTGTTGCTTCCATGGACTCGATGGTAGCACGACACGTGTGGAAATAAATATCCCCGTCGCAACCCCTCGCCGACCGTGAGCTGACATGGAAGCTGGAACTCAACCAGTCGAACACTTCCTCGCTGGCGGATGGCTGAGATGGGATACCCGAAGAGAGCAGGAGAGTGCGCGTGGTTGTGTGACCCCACTTGGAGTATCACTCTTATCTCTGGCCACCAACGAGCTTGTCTCTCATATTTACGAACCAGCCACAAGGATTCTAGATGACCGGGATGAGAGATACGTCAATCAGGAAAAAGATATGCTGGATCAGCGAATGCTACTCCAACGAACTCCATCCGAAGCTTATGTGTCGTATGTGTCTACTAAGGCACGGACAGTAATGTCCCAGTTGGGGTAACTGTAACCTTGCATTTTTTCCTCCCTCTCCCTCTCGGGTTGCACTACTTGCGTCGCTCAACCACGATTCTTGGACTCTTCTTTCGCATCGTTCCTGTGGTGTAAGCCATAAGGGCCCTTGAGACGCACAATGGAGGCCGCAAAGGACAACAAGATCACCCCAGCGACACGCGCTGAAGGGTCACTTCGCGATGGATCCGTAGATGGCGAGAACGTCAAGAAGAACAACTACGACGACGATGTGGTTCAAGTCGTCGACAAGGCCGCCGAGAGGGCCCTCTGCAGAAAGCTGGACCTTCACATCTTGCCCGTTCTGGCCGTGATGTGTAAGTAGCCTCTCTATCTCGCCTTCAATTGCGAGAGGATGTGCTCGTGATCGCTTACACATAACCGCCTGCCAGACCTGTTCAACGCACTCGATAAGGGAAACCTAGGTAATGCCGAAACCGACGGCCTAAGCACAGATCTCGGCTTCAAAGATGGCCAGTACAACCTCATCGTCAGCATCTTCTTCGTGCCCTTCGTCGCGGCCGCGCCGTTCGTGGCCCTCATCGGCAAGAAATTCGGCCCAGCCATCGTCCTCCCGATTCTCATGTTCACCTTCGGCACGATGACGATGCTTATGGCTGCCGCGCAAAACTTTGGCGGTGTCTTTGCATTGCGATGGTTCCTCGGCATGGCAGAGTCGGCGTTCTTCCCTCTGGTCATCTATTATCTCACTACCTTTTACCGTCGCGGTGAGCTTGCGCGACGGCTGGCTGTCTTCTATGCCGCTTCCAATATCGTAATGGCCCCTCTGCTACCTATGACGTACTTGCGAGTTTCGCGATTAACCCATCGTAGGCAAACGCGTTCTCCGGTCTTCTGGCATTCGGTGTGTTCCACATCACCAACACCAAATTGCATCCTTGGCGATGGCTCTTCATCATTGAGGCCACTGCGACTATTTTATTCTCGTTCTTTGCGTTCTGGTATCTTCCTCGCAGCGCTGCGGAAGCGAAGTTCCTCACGGAGGAGCAGAAGCAACTTGCTCACCATCGCATCCGAGTCGACAGCTCATCCGTGGTTGGTGAGAAGATGAAGATCCGAGAAGCAGCCAAGGTTTTCAAGCATCCGACAACGGTAAGCATCTGCCCCTTCTTCCGGTTCTTTCACTTTGGCCTTCTGAGAAGAAGACTCTTGCTAATTCGCTCCCAAACAGTTCGGCTTCCTCGCCATCGAGATCTGCCTTGGCGTCCCGCTCCAGAGCGTCGGTCTCTTCATGCCCCAGATCGTGCAGCGCCTGGGATACAGCACCATCAAGACGAACCTCTACACAGTGGCCCCGAACGTCAGCGGTGCTGCCATGCTTCTCATCCTCGCCTTCCTCTCGGATTGGCGACGACTTCGGTTCCCATTCATCGCCTTGGGTTTCATGCTCACGTTCATCGGCTTCATCATCTACGCTGCCATTGACGATGTCGAAGCTGAGATCAAGCTCGCATATTATGCGTGTTTCATGATGACCTGGGGAACTTCAGCACCGAGTGTCCTTCTATCGACTTGGTACAACAACAATGTGGTCAACGAAAACCAGCGTAAGTGAAACTAACCACGTTCTGGCCGTCTGCTAGAGACTAATCTTGAGACTGTAGGTGTACTCCTGACTTCAATCGGTGTCCCGCTGGCGAACCTCATGGGTCTTGTGAGCAGCAACATCTTCCGCAAGCCAGATGCTCCAAAATATGCGCCCGCATTGATCACAACGGCGGCATTTGGCGTGGCTGGTGCCTCGTGCGCGCTCGCTCTAGGATTCTTCATGATGTGGGATAACCGAAAGAGAAACCGGGCCGAAGGCGTGACCTTGACTGCCAGTGAAGTCCCGACATCGAAGTTGGGCGACGGACCTAAGAGCCCTCACTTCCGCTGGTTCTTGTAAGATTACAGTGATTATACAATGAAGCGAGCTGTGTTATCCCTCAGCTAAGTGTGAAACCCAGTCAGGTTGAAATACCCCGCTGCGAAGCTCACACGTACATACATTATCTAGTCTATATTTATTATATAGGCCCAATGAACCCATGACTGTATACTGCTTGGCTTGCCTGCACCACCGTGAGATCTATCTCGATGCGATTTGCTTCAAATCATCGCGATGGTATTTGGAATTGAAACGTCCAAATAGAGTTGTGCTGAGTAGACCATGATTGTGACATGGACTGAGGGTTTGGGGCATGATTAGCTTTGAGGCAAAGAGGCTTGGCTAAACTACTAACCAGAAAGAGTCGCAAATTCCCGTTTGAGGCTTTGCTGCAGCCTGGGCGATCACACCACACATCGAGGAGCTGCGGATACTCAGCTGAACATACGACCCACACACTTCTGGGAGGGGGACAGACTATAATATCACACCGCACTTCACTTCTTGGCCACACCACGACACGGATTTCATGGTACAGCAGTGATTTGCCCCAGCTGGCACAAGAGTCTCTCTAAGATCCGTCAGGTCTACCTCATCCAATCCTTCTAGTCCTTCCGTGGCTCACCACTTTTGGTCTGGTTTGGCAACAGAAATACACGGAGGTAGCTCGTGGTGAACTATCAAAAATGTCTGGCCTCATTGAATACTCTCCGGCACAAGCTGGGAAGACTCTCGAAGTCGAACAACTCTCGGCGGATCTCTTCAAGCTTTCATTAACCAGAGACAACAAGTTCAATCTCTTCTCCGAGGCCATCGGAAACTTAGATTCAGGCCGCGGTGAAGCCGACCTCATACTAAGCAACCTCCAAGCATGGTCCGCAGAAGCTGCGGAACGCTTCCAACGACGCACATCAGACGTCATTCTCGACACTCCTTTCCGGCTGCTTTGTTCGAGCCCAACAGGAATCCCGTTCGACAGTCGTTTCGTGATCCGACAATTTCTAGCCATCAGTTACAGTTGGCACAACCCGAGCTGGCCTGGGACACCTCAATCGGTCCCAGAGCCTGGAGGGGTGTGGCCAGTTGGCAAACGCTTTGCCAACGCAATCCTGGAATTACGAGGTCATCCGCGTGAAGGAATATGGATAGACCAGGTCTGCATCAACCAACGCGATGAGTTTGAGCAGCAAAGAGCTATTGCATCAATGGACGTCGTTTACAAATCTTGCCGCAAGCTAGTCGTACTTCTGGAGGATGTCGAGCTCACCGACGATGAGGCTGAGATATTTGAACTGTACGATGGTTATCGGTCTCCATATGCACTCGAAAAAGGTCCCACTGACGACAGGGAAGTTTCGTTGCTCATTTCACTCTACGATAAAGTGGCCGCTGCGCGGTGGTGGCAGCGTTCATGGTGCTACCATGAGTTCGTCGTTGCTGAGCCTTGGAGTGACAAACGACATCAACGAGTCCACAATACTGTTTTCATCCTGGGACTGGGCGAAGACAGGACTGTGACAGTAGAATGGACTACACTGCACGCAATCCTGGCAACAATCACGGTTCAACTTGGTCATCGGAATGAACGAAGCGTCTACCTCAACCCAATCCTTTCCGGGTTCGCGAATCGGACGTCTCCTCGATTTGATAACCCAGGAGGCAAAGCCGGCGTTGTCAGGTCCAGCTTCATGGCGAAGTTCAACGCCATCGCCCAGACGGGATGCCTGATGCCCGGTGACAGGCTCAGTGTGTGCCTCAACCTCATCGGACTTGGTCTGGCGTTCTTCCGATCTGAGGAGCCAACAGTAGACGAAGTGTACTTTCTGGCAGTATTGCTGGCCCTAGCAGCAGGCGAAAAGATGCCCCTGGCTTTCACCAACATGGATCCCCTGACATTCCACGGAAAAGGATCATGGCTTGCTCGACCTATCACGGCGGCGGACACCACGCTCAACAAGTTCACATTGGGCGGCGTCAGAGGGATCCATGCCGTGAGCTTCAACAAGATAGAAATCGACATGGTCTTTTTCAATCGTGGTGTATTGTGGATTTCGGAGCAGGAGCTTCGGCGCACATATGCCATATTCCCAGATATTATACGAAATACTCCGCCGCCGCTCAAAGCGCAGATCAAGATGCCGGAGTTCCAGGCTGAAGAGGATATGGATATGCCGCGACGACGGTTCCTTGCTGCTGTGCTGTCGAGTGGGCCAGACTTGCTGAAGCGGCTTTGGGTCCAACTCGATCGTGAAGTGGTGAAGTGGAACTACAACACGGGCATTTTTGCAGACTTCAAAGTCAATGAGGATCTCCTCCCCAATGCGAATGATTTTCTCAAAGCTTTTGCCAAGAGCGATCGGGGAGGGGTTGGCAGTGAAGGCCAAATTGCAGTCGAAGTTGCCATGGAATTCCTGACATGGATTACGGATCCTCGATCCATCTACTGGATTTCGACGATGGCCTTGCGCCTTCCGTGTGCACGCGACGGTAAATCCGCACTATTGACGGGCTTCAGCTTCACAAAGAACTTCCGAGAGAGTGATATCGACACTCGAATGCGGGTGGCAGTGCCTACAGATCTGCTGCATGAAGACTGCGCGTGGATGAGAGCTTGGTTGTTGGTGCCGGCAGATAATGAGGATGAAAAGGGGGCTTGGAAAGTCGCGGGTAAAACTTTGCTTCTGGGCGAGCCAGATTTATGCGCGGATCTGAAAGCGGAAGAAGAGGATAGGCTTTCGGATGCATTTAGGAGCTTTCATACTAGACAACTCATTGTAGGTTGACTGTGGTGATCAACGGCACAACAACTATACCCACACATCTGGGGCCCATTCTCTCAAGAAACTGTCAGAAGAGAAGAACAACCTAGCAGTTCTTATATCCTCGCCTTGCTTCCGTAGTAGCGTATGAGCCTTGGCGTGTTACTGATGGGCGTCTTGTGCAAGCTCTCGGAGCCCATGGGTATTTTGACTCAGCGGGTAGGGGGAGCTCATCTCGAAGCTCGGACGGAAGACCTACAGGCGATTCCGACACGAGTCGATTGCGCGCTGACGATTACGGGGTTACGGGATGAACGAGACTCAGGGGGAAGTTAGGATAGAGTTGTTGATTGAAGTTGAGAATTCATACAAGGTGTTATGTATCGCGTTAGGTTCTTTTAATCACACTCAAGTGAATAGAGTCTTTACTGAGGGAGGTATGGCGCAAGGTCATCCGCTTATGGAGAGAAAACAGGACAATGGACGAGGGCGAGGACGTTGAGATCGAAGATGCCGAGGTTATTTGCCAGAAAGGGAGACTTCCGACTTTCCGACGGTGAGGGGTGATAAGGAGGCCGTCTGAGCTTGGGATTAGTGTTGAAAAGGTTTGGGATCCCGATTGATTATATGGAGGGGTGTTCTAATAGGGACTGGATGTTGAGGAGGGTGGGTGATGTTAGAAAGAAGAAGGTGGCGGTGCTTTATCATCAGGTTGGAGCTTTTTAGGTTATGCTATCCTCCGATTGCCTTCACTGAAGCACCGAGGGCATGTTCACGGCTATAATGCTGGCGCTTCCTCATAGAGTGTGGACGAATCCGTGAAAACTCCAATCGAAAGCTGCAGTCCTCAAAAGCCGTCGGGGATACTGTGGTCATCTCGGGCCGTCTATCGAAATCCTGGCGCTTATATGGTTTGAGCCTGAAAGCTGGTTGTGTGCCAACGTCAGTATTTGAGACGGAGCCTTGTAGCTGCTCGTGCTTTATCGATCCTTCATGGACCTCCCGCTCAATGCATGTTGATTGGTACCGTCCATGACATGGAAGCCAACATGACATTTCGGACTATCATTCAAGACCTGTCAAGCCGGCTTATCGGGATGGGGCAAAGAATAGTGCGGTCAGATGCTCTCTTTGAGTTCAGTTTCATATATGAGAAATAACCTTTGTCATCTCAACTCCAACAGCCTATCAAGCGTTAATGATTACTTTGGCTTGTGCATACCGGGTCCTCGGACCCGTATTCGAATTTCTCATCGCTCTCCGAAAGCAACTCGGCTTCTAAAGAGCTAAAACCATCTCGAAATCATTGACTTTCTGCGGAAAGAATGCCTCTGGCTGGCGACGTGTTGAAAGTCCTAAAACGGCAACCAGTCGCGACCTCCCTAGCTTCGCCGGCTTTGCCGGCAACTCAACCCATGATTGAACGTCTAAGAGGACACGGGCCTTTCGTAGAGATATAAAACGTTCAAAGAGAAGAGGTGATGGGGGATGTGGAAGATATGAATGCCAAGCAGATAATCAGGAATATGACTGTGGACATCGACAACCTCAACATGACAGAAACTTACCAGTCTACCATTGTCCCCGACGGCAATCGTGCTACGAAGAATATCTCCAACCTCTACAGCAGAGTCGATCACTCTTTCGCCATCAAAGGAAATTCCCAAGGAAAACCACTCGTCTCCTCATGGGATCCCACCATCCAAGACACTCTCTCCTCGCTTCTACGCTGGACGGACTCCTACTCGGCCGAGTCGCAGGAGTACTATCTCAACTTTGCCCGTGAGGTTGTGGTTCCCCGTCTCAACCCGCCTCGCGCGGCCGACTGGCCGCAATACATAGGGACGCATAACCATGGGCCATACGAGCTAAGCATCGCCTTTGCGCCTCATAAAAAGGCCAAAATACGGTTTTCAGTACAGCCGCTGGCTGAGAGCCATGTGGTCGATGACCCCCTAGGGCAAAAGGATCTACGCAAGAAATGTGAAGATTTCGCGTCTGCATGCCATGCAGACCGTGATCGACTGGATGCCTTTTTTGATTCAATCTTCCTCACTGAAGAGGAGCAGGCCGGCCTACTTGAGAAGCATGCCAGTCGCAGTGACACGGCCGGTGCGCTGCCTCAGCAAAACTGTTTCGTTGCGTTCGATCTCGAGCCCGTTGATAGCGGCAGCCCGGCTATTAATATGAAGCTGTATCTGTTTCCGCAGCTCAAAGCTCTTGCAACAGGCAGGGACCTACTAGACGTCACAGAGTCCATTCTGAGACGACTTGCCGGTGGCGATGAGGAGCTGCTAGCATCCTGGGAAATGGTCCGATCATTTCTGACCTCTGATGGCAAGGATAATCTCATACATTTCCTTGCCATCGACTGTCTGGGGCCCCAGATGAAGCCTCGATTCAAGGTCTACACCCACACACATGTTAACTCACTCGCCTCAGCCCGTCGTGTCATGACCATGGGTGGTCGCGTCCCCTCACCGAAATATCTAGATACTCTCTGGCCGCTCCTTATGGATGTGGAAGATGTTTCTCTGACTGATAGAGAGGGACTGCAAAAGCCTCTCCGCGAACCGGAAAGCAAGTACTGTGGGCTTAATCCAACGTTTGAGCTGGTGCCAGGCAACGCAGTTCCGGTAGTCAAGATGTACGTGCCTATATGGCAATATGCGCGCGACGAGCCCGGAATCGTACGTCGTTACCAGCGCTTGCTACAGACGCAGAGTTTGGGGCATTACGATATTGAGCATGCTGTTCAATGCGTCTTGTGAGTACTCAATCTACCCCAGAAGCTCATACTCCTGAGTCATCACTAATTGTATGAAAATAGCGGTGACGAGAGGGACACAAGCCTGCATAATATGGCATCAATCGTCTCTACGGGAGGCGGAGAAAACGTAGCTTTTACCGCCTACCTCGGGCCAAGGTTCTGGGACTAAGCTTGGTCATCAATCTCTGAAACTTTTATGCTCACTTAGCTTTGAAATTGACAATATAGGATTCTTTAATTGCTATGCTCAACTGCACCGTGAAAGTATTATTGCCAAATTGAATGTGAGACGACCTCGGCAAAGGCCTCTGCACGACAGTTGCTCGAAATGATGTCCACGCTTCCCAATATAACCGGGCACGTCATCCACTATAGTTCAGACAAGGGATGAAGATTATCATCTAGGTTTAGACTCAGACAAAGTCGTAAATTGATACATACGTTTGGTTTTGTCCGGCCTGTGTATAATTCACTGCTTCATACTCACTTAATGATTACTTCTTTCGTCTTCATTTTGGGTTTTCAACTGGAGTTCAAAAGTAGATCCGGTCCTGCGCGTCTTTTCAAGTCTTACATGTTCTGCTTACTGTGGACTCTAGAATTCCCCATATACAAAGTCCCAGGGAATTGGACGCTTTAGTTCAGCGCGCTATCGTAATCATACATGTATCTACTAGACTAAGAGATGCTGTGATAAGTCGCCACTGTTGAGATACTAACAAAGTCACAAGTTTGTCAATATTCTTGAGTAGAGGGTTTAAGATATTGTAAATCGATCCATGCACTCACTACCTGAAGCTCGAGGTGGGTAAGGAGGGTCAAGCGGTGGGTCAACGCCAGGCTTCTTGAGGCATTTCTTTCCTGCACCAACCCACACCAAGCAAGGCACAGCCTTGGTCGTCCTCTCCTTGGTGTAGTTGGTTCATCACGTTCGACTGTAATGGTTTATCCCTTGTCATCGAAAGGTCTCTAGTTCGATTCTGGAAGGAGAGAGTATAACTTTTTGCATTGCTTGTATCCCATGCAGTGCGAGTTGACGTAGATACAAATCTTTCTAGCCTTGCCTTGAATCAACCCTATTCCACATTTCCGATTTGCCGAGATAACTGAAATGGGGGACGTACTCACTGTTACCTGTTGTGAAAGTACGTATGTGTGTACTCGGTCAACTCGCACTCTATGGGATAAATAGACGGGTTCTTTGCGTTTGTTCAACCACTTGAGTGAGTGGGGCAAGTTGTGCGACTCTTATGTTCTGGCCGGGGACTTTTAGTGGATGTACAACGCATGCATAACTACTTGATATGAAATGCCACTACCCTTTCAAAGCGATAACCGGAGCTTCTGGGAAAGCGACATTAGACGTGTCCGACCTACCTATATGAGTAGGGGGAGCTGGGCGAAGTAAGAATGACACCAATCGTAGTAACTTTTGCTCTGGGATCCCGTGCCAGGTATTGATGTTTAGACAACTCACCTGTGTCATCAAACAGTTGACTGACAAACGGCCTTTGAGCACGATTTTACCTCAATTTATTCTGAATGGTGTTGATCCAAGTCTATCAAGAGGACATTCTTCTATGCGTGTGGTTGAGTTGATATGGTGTCACATTAGGTGCCCTACGCTCTGTTTTGACTTCCAATAAAACTGCATTGGATGGTAGGAGCACATCTATTGGCATCATTCGATCTGGTCTTGGCTCCTGCATCTCAGTCCTATTCAAAGAACCCCTTACATCCAATAGGCGTGTGCCTATAGAAGTGCACCTGACACCCTCGCGTCTCCGACCGCGTGTTCCCCTCATTTCCCTCAGTTCACGTGGATCTTCGCGTCAACAACTTCCACTCAGTCAAGTACACGCGCACTCTAACCATGGCCCGACGCAAGAAGCGTAGCACCAAGGCCGAAAACTTCTTCTATAGCCACGATGAACTTGTATCGCTCATTAAGAAACACTATCAACTGCTGATTGACATGGCTTACTTCGAGCCCGAGGATGTCCGCTGGCCACCAGAGCCTGCGGGATGGTCCGACGAAGACCTGAATGTGAACGCCTTGCAAAAATTAGGTCGCGACATCAAGGTCATTCAACTGCTTCGGCGCATCCCTTATCCCCGCAAAAAGAACACCGAGGTCTATTTCGCCTCCATGGCTATTTCCTACTTGCATGAGCACTGGCAGCCCGAGAATGGCCGCCGCGTCAACTGGCACAAGAGGTCCTTCTGTGCTCTTGGCCTGGCGCCTTTCGACGGTCCAATGCCTCCGCATCTCATCACCCTAACATGCGAGGAGTCGGAGATAGGAATCACTTGGGTAATTGATACCGATCGAGGTGAAATCAAACCCTCTAAGCTTGCCAGATATGTACTGATCTACTGCGTCTCATTTGTCAGGCTGTGTCTATCCTCACGCGGATGAATACTACTTGTTTGACGACGAGCCTGCTGAGGTCGACAAACAGCAGATATGGTGGCTCAAAGCAAAGGCTCTCTCGTTTAAAGAATTCTTTGACAAGATTCGAACACAGATTTCTTCTCTAACACTTGTGCCGGCTCCTGCGGCGGGAGATCTCGGGAAGAGCATTTTGAAGAGCGGGGACTCTGGATCGGAGGTGAGCGTACACGTGCATCAACTGGTGAATTTCTCTCCATATGCATAAAACGTGAGTGCTGACCTACTTATGACATCTCCTAGGGTATCAAGAACTTGTATTATGAGTGTGGCTGGCCGGAGACTTTGCGTAAGGAGGAGTTCCTCCAGAAAGTTGTATCAGTGCGTGAGGCTGGCATGCAAGAACTATCACGTCGATATGCTAGTTTCCAGAACTCTTGAGGTAGTCCTGGCATACTTCAATGTTATTGAACTCAACGAAGTGTCGGGCAAGGGAATAGACATCAGGCACCTTTTTGGATACTACACGATGACTTGTCCACTTAACTCTGTTCATAATTCGGATCAAGAAATGCCAAATGTGAGCTCGCTCTAGGAGACATTATTTCGGTGACCTTTCCACTGTTGTCTTGTGATTTGTTATTGTCACTTAACTCCTATCATCTTGCAAAACTTTGTTCCGCGGTGGGCGTTGCCATTCCAGCGTGATGTTGCCTTTCTTTCTCTCGTTGCGGCGTAATCTACTCCAATCCGTTTCCAGCTGGACAATTTCATTTCCTTTCTTATCAACGGCGGTGTACTCTCTTCTCGGAGTTTGGAGCGGAGGCCAGTCGATTGGCTCCGGCGCTTCAGTATAAACAGAAATACCTCTCTCTTCCCGCCTCTTTTTCACCCAACGATTGAGATATGATCGATATTCCGACACCGGATGATCGAGCTGTACCTCTGGATGCTTGGGCCATCTGGACAGCCCTTGAACATCATCCGGGTTCTGTTCCTCGTTGGGCACCTGCCTAAAATGGCCATCGCGAGTAATGATCTCGTACAGTGTGAATATAACACCATTGACATCGTTCCGAGTTTCGATATAGCAGGGACCTCCGATGCGGCCCGAGAAGTTGAAGTCAAATAGCTGCAGGTTGTCTGTCGACGGGTCGACTAGTAAATTCCTTGTCGCAATATCTTGATGCATGATGCCGTGCTTCAGATTGAGAACGTCCACGACATTAGTCAACTGCTCAAACCATCTGAGTTTGAACACGCGGGATTGGTTATCTTCAAGTGTTCCGCCAGGAATATATACACTTGTGAACCCAACAACGCGGCCCTTAAGTTCATCCACCACCAGCCGATCGAAAGGAACAATATTTGGGTGCCGAGGGAGACGCATCCACAGATTCAGTTCATTCCAAACCCTTTGAATGAACTGGAAAATAAAGTAGTATTTGAAGACGACTTTCTATGGTTCATTGTCGTTTGGATGTGGCTGATACGACACAAGATCAGTGTCGGGACCGAGTCGATTAATTTCCTTTAGCTCAGAACGAATGATTGTTCTGATACCCTCAGGACGTTGAATTTCCTCTAGAGGCGGATAATGCACGCAAGAGGTTTCGTCATCTTCGGGGTCGTTGGACATGGAAATCAAATTCCCTTGTGGAGAGACTTTGATTGCGTACACATCAGCTGGGAGAGTATCGATAAAACTTTTGAGGATTTCCACGGCTAGATCCTCGCTTTCTTGCTGCTCATCCATGGTGACTGCTATTATTCTTCTCTGGTCATCACTGAGGATGTACCATGTACTGGGCCCAACTTCCCTCTCGCCTAATTTTTCTTGGCATCTGCTGTTAGTGAATGAGTGAGCCTACCACCAAATTACTAACAGCCGAAAACTCTTCACCTCCCCTTGCCGGAGCCCGCATCCGCGATGGCCTCACAGCCGCCGTCGGGCACCGGACTGATGTCGGCCGACCAAGCCGACCCCGAACCAGGCTCCGGGACACCTCCGGAGCCGAACCCCACCTCAAGAGCTAAGCGACGCCGCGACGCCGAGGCACAGCCGACCCGGCCCAGCCTAACGGGAAGCCAGCTTGATGCCACCACCGACGCCCCTACCTCGGCCGAGGGGCCCGCAGCCTCTACCGCATCTGCTCCGAGCGGATCTGCCACAGGGTCCGTCTTGACAGCCCTTGCAGAAGAAGCTAGACAGTACGAGGCACGGAAAGACGTCTTTCTGACCATTGCACGGTCCGTCGACAGCGTTGTCGCCAGCTTTGACGGTTCTAGAAAGCAGATCGCGAAAGAAGCCACTGCCTATGTCATTCAAACCCTCAAGAGACTGATCAATCACGAGACAAGCCCAATAGCGGCCCGGAGTTGGGCGGCTGTCGTCGCACCGATGGCGGGCAACACCACTGCGGCGACCCGGAGCGGCCAGAGCTGCCAGAGCTCTGCCCGCCCGAAGGCCACACTCCCCGCCGAGGATCAGCCGCAGGCGCAGCCGAAGGAGGACCTCCGCATCTTTGCCCGCGTCCCGGAAGAAAGCTTAGCGGCCGCTCGGAAGATCGCACCGTTCGCCGTACGACAGATCGTCTGTAAGGCC